CTTGTAATAATATTATTTTAGTTGGCGACTTAAATGAGGACCAACTCAATTCAAACAATAACAAATTGCGTAATATACTTCTTTTAAATAATATGGAAAATGTTATAACTGAAGCCACTAGAATTACTCCTTACTCGCAAACTCTATTAGATCCTATTGGAATGTCGTCTTCTTTAGAATGTTTATTCTCGGGTGTTTATAATACAGACAAGTTAATCAGTGACCATTTTGGAACATTTGCCTATATTAGAACAAGAAATCAAATTAATGATCCTTTTAAAAGACGAGTCTGGAACTATAAAAGAGCAAATTTCGAACAACTTAATGAAAAGATTCAAAACACTGACTGGTCATTTCTGACACTCACTGACATTAATACTGCAACAAAACAATTTACAGATAAGTTTTAAATTTGGCAAAAAACGTGTATTCCCTACCACTATGGCAACTATCCGTCCAAAAGATAAAACCTTGGTACAATTCTGAAATTAGGAAAACCACTAAAAGACGAAATAAACAAAAACGAAAAGCTATTTCTACCAGAAAATACGAAGACTGGGTCGGATATAAAACTTTAAGAAATAAGGTTAATAACATGATAAAGCATGCTAAAGAAGAGTTCTTTAATAATATCGAATTTACTTTGAGTGATTGTAGTTCAACGAATCCGCGTCAATATTGGAAACTGGTTAAATTATTAGTCAAAGAAAATTCCCCAAATTGTAAATGTATGCCCCCATTAATAAAAGATGATAATTCCCTAGCCTTTTCTGATAAAGATAAGGCCGATACACTTAATGATTTTTTCGTATCTATTTCAACTATTGATGACTCTAATACCTTTTTACCACCGCTAATATATAAGACGAATAAACAGCTCGATAGTTTCAGCATTACCAATCAAGATATTATTGACGTTCTTTCAAATCTTATTATTAATAAGGCAAGTGGACCTGATGAAATAAGCCATCGTATGTTAAAGGAGACTCGTTTTACTATTTGTGAACCCCTAAAAATATTATTCAACATGTCTGTCAATCTTAATATGTACCCAGATAGCTGGAAAACTGCAAATGTTATGCCTTTATTTAAAAAGGGTGATAGCTCAATGCCGTCAAATTATCGACCAGTTTCACTTATTAGTTGTATAGGTAAAGTTATGGAACGAATTATGTTTAAGTATATCTATAACTATTTTCATGAAAATAATCTAATCTATAAAAATCAGTCAGGTTTCCTACCTGGACATTCTACAGTGTATCAATTAATTGACATTTACAATCAAATTTGCAAAGCATTTGATGACAAGAAATCGACTTGCATCGTTTTTTGTGATATTAGTAAAGCCTTTGATCGTGTATGGCATAAGGGTTTGATTTTCAAATTAAAACAATATGGAATTACAGACAATATTCTTAAATGGATGTCTAGTTACTTAATAAGTCGAAAACAAAAAGTATTCGTTGGATCTACTTTTTCTGAGGAAAGAACTATTAATGCCGGCGTGCCACAGGGCTCAGTACTTGGACCTCTACTTTTTCTTATTTACGTGAACGATATTGCAGATTCTCTGTCTAGTGTAACACGTTTATTTGCCGACGATAGTTCATTATCAGTTAGTTCTAATAATATTATTCATATCGAATCAACATTAAATGACGACCTAAATATATTATCAAAATGGGCAAAACAATGGCTTGTTAAATTTAATCCGACTAAAACAGAAGTATTATTTCTCTCTCTTAATAGACAAAACGTGAACGTACCTACACTTTTCTTTGATAATACACGCTTAACGTTGTTGACAACCATAAACACTTGGGTATTACATTTAGCAAAGATGGTTCATGGCATGAACATATTACAAATATAGCATCTTCCGCCGCAAAAGTTTTAGGATCTATGCGTATGTTAAAGTTTAAGCTTAAACGGAAAACTTTGAATCAAATATATATATCTTATCTTAGACCAATTATTGAATACGCATCGACTGTTTGGGATAGCTGCACAGTTTATGAAAAAGATCTTTTAGACAAAATTCAGTAATGACGCTGCACGAATTGTAACTGGCTTAACAAGATCTGTATCAATAGAACGTTTACTAAAAGAAATAGGGTGGGTTTCATTATCAGACAGAAGAAACATGCAGAAATTAATTTTAGTATATAAATATAGCCGTGGAGAATTACCCTGTTATCTGTCTGAACTTTTTCCAAATACCGTTTTAGAAGCAAATACATACAATTTGAGAAACAATTCTGACTATGCTACTATGGCACGCCGGCTTGAAATCTATGCTAAATCTACCATACCTTCATCTATCAAACTTTGGAACAATTTGGACACTCATTCTCGTACTGTAGACTCATTATCAGCTTTTAAACGTAATCTAAAAGAAAAATTTAAAACCCCCAATAGTTCCCCCATTCTTCATTTCTGGTGAAAGATTTTCACAGGTCCATCATGCAAGAATACGTAATAAATGTAGTAATCTAAACTCCGACTTATTTTACAACCACTTACGTGATAATCAAAAATGTGACTGTGGATATACCATAGAGGATGCAGAACACTATTTTTTCAAATGTCCGTTATTTCATCAACAGCGCCATCAATTATTCATTAATACCCGCCCATATCATCCTTTAAGTGTAAAGAAACTGCTGTTTGGAATTGATAACTTGTCGCCTGACGATAATGACATTATCTTTGGGCATGTTCAAAAATATATAAAGAATACGAATCGTTTTAGAACTTAATATTTCTTAATGATAATTAAATATTACTCCGTGTTTCTATTTTTAATGCTGGTCCAGTAACGGAAATGGAGGCGAAACCTGTTTTTTTGTTTTTGTTTTTTTCTTCAGAGGAAAGGTGAACAGAAGTTTGAATGTTTTTAGAATGTGTATTTTTTTTTCTATTTCATGATATTTAAACCTCATATCAATTTTTTTTTTTGTTGTTGTTTTTTTTTTCTCATAATATTGTCATCTAAATACTTTTAAATCAATATAGATATATATAGAAGCAAACTGTAAATATTGCTCTGATGATGCGCAAAAAACATATATTTTCTTGTTTCTTCGCCTAACACATTAATTACGTAAACAAGTTTTGTATCTTTCTAATGAACATTTTGTTATTTAAACTTGCCTGGGAAGGGCCTTCATTAATGTTGGTAAAACTTGTGGCCCAACCCATTTGCTTCAAACTGTTAACATACATGTTTCCTATTCGTATTTATTGTATTCTGTTTTGTAATAATGTAATCTCTATGTTACATGTACATGTTTCAAGCAATAAAATATGATTAAATCAAATCATAAACAAATAAAACAAAAAGACAAATAAAATGATCATTTTATTCTTTGCTGTTTTTATTTTTTGTCAATCTTTGTAATGCTGATTACAGGTGAATGAATTATGGGAGCAGTGCGCTAGGTAAGTTGAACGGCCTCTGTCAACTTGTTAACACCTCTATAACTCTTGAATTCCTCCATAATGCCTGAAATAAAAAACAAAAATCTTAATTTATTAATGATCATCACAAGACAATTTACTTTTGATTCCAATATCAACATACATCTACATATGACTGATAACAGAATGAGACCGACAGATTTTCGGAGATATTCTTGGAATAAAATTACAACAATATATTACTAATTTTTATGCAGCTTTATTTAGAAACCATTAAGTTAATGTTAATTCTCAAAAATTATATATAAATCAAGTGTCTTCTAATTAAAACGGCGGATGTGACAGGTTGACACGTAACTAAAATACATGTAAACAATGGATTATGAAGAAACATACATGCACATCATCACAAATTTTAAAAACTATAACAAACCAATATAAAAAGTTGGGAAAGTCAATTTTTTTTATGTGCACATGTTATCAATGATTAAAATATTATGAAGATCGAAACTCATTTTCCACATTGAAAAAAGAAAACACAACACAATATTTGGCACCTGAAATAAATTAGAACAGCACGTTATCGGTATTTGATGCATTTAGAAACATTTAAGATTAAGAAGTTTATATAATTAATTCATTTCTTAAAGAAGTATAAAAAAAGTTGGGCCGTTATTATATGGATTTTTTAAATCGTTTTTTGTTTTTGATAGAATTTCGGGTTCCTGTGGTTATTGCTACTGACCTAATTAATCGGGATAAAAATAAACTTGAGAACTGATGACGCTTACGGTAGTGATTTTTTCTAATCAAATGTACCTTTCAACTGTTTCAGGGTAAATAGAAAACAACAACCGTAAAAAACATCTTTATTTTCGAATGGTAATCTAAAGAATTAAATTAAATATAAAATGAGATTGCACTTGCATTTATTTACACCAGCTAGACACCGACACGGAGTTACGCGGTAATTCTCTCTCGGAGTCATGCGCTTTTATTTTCGTCTCTCATCACACGTTTCTCACGCGGAGTCACTCGTTTTTATGGACAAACACTCTCGCGGAGTTGCGAGTGTTTTTCCTCGATCCTCGGAGGATTTTGCATATTCCTCGTTATCTGTACTGTACAAATACCGTAATTCAAAAAAAATTGTGATAATAAATTGAAACCAAAAAAACAAAACAATTTTAAAGGGTTGGGATGAAGGCACAACTGTGGCAAGCCTTTCCTTTTAAAAGGAAACTTTATATTAGTCTCACTCTAGTCGCCAACTAATTAGACTTGTCAAAGAGACACCGAGATAATTTTGGACGGGCGCTGTCTTTTTCCAACGTTTTGACAGTATAAAAAAAAAGTCTGTAAATGGGTCAAACCGTTCACGCCAAATTAATTAGGCTAGTCTCACTCATAATTTTTTGCATTTTTTTATTCATTGTTAAAAAGATTCTTTCTCAAAATGCTGATTCTGGTTAAAGGGCAAACACGTAAAAATATGAATCTATAAAATGTCATCAATTTTAAATGTCTAGTATATAAATGTATAACCTAATTGCTATTTAATATCGTTTTAAAATACATACTTGTCTTGTTTACTTTCTGTTTCGGCCATTTTCAATTTTTAAGCGGTGCGTTATTTCTACTCACTGTGTTCAGTGGCAATTATGCGGCCACGTACTACTAAATGTTCTGATTATATAATAGAATAATTAGAGTTTCTCATTTCTGAAAAAGAGCCCTTCTAATAGCCAAGTTTTACTTTAGAAAATCTCCATAACTCATAAACCATACGGTAAACTTTGTTTAAATTTTGCATTCTTGTGTCTTTTAAGGTATATAACTGACCTATGTTGCCAATTTTATAGTTCCTTCTAGTGCCCATTAGGGGGCTCATACCTTAAAAACGGGAAGGTGCCGCCGAGGTTATGCTTTCAGTGCGCGCAGAGTACGCATCGTGTGTTCATTAAATAGTTCTCTAAATTTCTGAACCAGCACGGACAGACGATCGAAATATTTGATTAGTTTCAAATGCAAAATTGATATTTCAAACCTTAAAGTATAAATATCTTTAAGAAAATCCCGCTCATGTGAAACAAACACTGTTTAAATTAATTCATACACAAACGAAAATGATGAAATCTGGAAACATTGAATTTCTTTTGCGATCATCCAGCAAGCCTGTAATAGCCACACATGGAAGCGATATGTGATGTAGCCGGGCAAATGGAAACAAACCGGTCTCATATTTTTATCTCTTTTAGATATAGTTGGGAACAGGACTGGTTATAAGCCAGTAAATTATCATTTTAGTTATTATCTACACAGTCCTTCTTGGTCAAATGTTAAAATTAACATTTCTGTTATTTCTAAAGAAAGAACTCTTTAAATTCTGGTTAAAAATTATGAAAAACCAGGACTCACCAATGTACAACATGTTTGTAGACCAGTGTACTCGAAATGTTGATTGTAATTGGGCAAGCAGTATAAAAACGCTTGTTAGACAGTTTAGGTTGTAGTGATATTTGGCTTAACTTTAACTTAAATTTTAATTATATGCCAATGTTAAAGCAGCGTCTGCGAGACCAATATTTACAGAACTGGAATACTTCTATACAAAATATGCCCAAGCTTGATTATTACAGAAAAATTAAAACTTCTTTTTGTTATGAAAAATATCTTGATGTTTTAACAAATAATGTGTTAAGAAAAGATTTTGCTTGTTTCAGACTAGGCTCGCATAACCTAGAAATAGAAACTGGAAGATTTTTTTAACATTGATAGAAACGATCGCAAATGTAAACTATGTATATATAATTCTATTGAATCAGAATACCACTTCCTTTTATGTTGTCCAATTTATACTGTTATAAGAACCAAATATTTAGGAAACATTTCATGGCCTACTATACAAAAATTTTCGACTATATTGCCCTCTAATAACACTAATAACAAAAAAGCTTATTCTTACATGTGCTCACTATGTTCATAATGCATTTAAGTTGAGGCAACAGTTTCTTGAAGATGTAACTGCTTCTTAATTAGTTTCATTCTTGTACTCTTTTTGTTATTAGTCGCCGGTAGAAACCGGCGACTATATTTGTAACAGCTTAATATTATATCTATGGTAGGAGAAGGCCTTAAAATCTGAAAATAAAAGCAAATCAATTACTGAACAATTAAGGACCACAATTATTTTTCAGAATCTTAAAAATTCAAAAATAAATTAACGTTGCTAAATGAAATGAAATATACAAATATTGACATCTTAAAAAGCAACATTACAATTTTCATAAAATGAATTAATAACTTATCCCTATGGACCAGTCATTGAATTTAGGGCTACTTTTACTTTTTTTCTAAGTGTCAAGCGTTGCTATTTTATGATTGATAAATCATGAATGATATTTAAAATGACACATTTAAATTATCTGGTTGTTAATATCTTATGACACCTATTATATTTCATTATTTTATCTAATTATAAACAGATTCTCCTTGTTCTATTGTAAGAATCACGTGACTACACGTTGTATGTTAGTGTTATAGAATCTATTAATAGTAACAGATTGCTGGGTTGGAAAACGGTATGGGGGCTAATTAGATGCAAATGTATAAATAATTACAAAGTTATCTTTCATTAATCAGTTTCATATTTTATATCATTAGAAAGGATTAGTACATTAAAGAATTAAATAAATTTTTCAAAAACCTTTTCATTTTATCTTGGTAAAGGGTTAAATTTTTCCCTTTCTGTCAATGTTCAATAGTTTAGTTTAGGTTGAACATCACAAAATAGATTTATGCTAAAGAGGCACATTTATTGAAATAAATAGTGGTAATCGTCGTCTTCGTTATATTCCGTCGATTTCCGTCGCGCAGGTTACCAAAACGGTACGACACATAATAATGAAAACTAATAAAATATCTTTTTGTTAATATTTTATCGAACTGAAAGGCAATTAAACGTTAACTATATCGTATGTAACGACAGGAATATTGATTTCAACTAAATAGCTTATTTTTTTCGATAGCGCATAAAAATAGTTTTATGAAAACTGCAAAAGGGATTTTCAAAGATTCGAATTTGGCCTACTAGGTCACAACTTCGTCCTATACTTACCACATATTAATTAATTTAATATCGAGATCTATACTATCAATAAAATCTTTAGCATAAATCATAATAAGTTACGTAAACTAAGTTAACGTACGAAATACTTGCTTAATAATCATAGCAGTTCCTTAACAATATTGCTAAGCAAGTTTGCTTCATATATGATGTTTTATTGTGAATAAACAGTTACTCAACATAAATTGTTCCTCTTTTCTTTATACCTGAACCATTAATTAAACTGATTTTTTTATATTTATGATAATACAGTCATTTTCTATCCGGCGTCTTGATGCTTTAGCATCAAAATCTCTACTTGTATATTGTATGATATAATGTTTGTAACTATTTAACTTTTGGCCATATTTGTCATGATACTTTGTTAATGGCCAAAGGTAATGTTTATTTGCCGATTTGCCAATAAAATGAAATGAATTAAAACAAAAAACAAATTAAATTATTATAACGACACACTTCAATAGAATGTGGCCAAATGATAAGACTAAGATAATATTTCACAAATCATTATCACTTAATTTGTTGACCTTTATCAGAGGCATATTGTTTACAGGATCTTTTACTTATCATATATACTTATATTCTCTTAAGGAGTGGCAAAATATCTTATCGCCAATTCAAAACTTCTGCCTTTATTCCAGTTTTAATAACTTCAATTTTATTGTATGAATTTCGTTATTAAATATGTTTCAACATAATAATTATATATGATTTAAATCAAAACTAAATATTTAAAAAATAAGACAGATTGTCCTCATAAAAAATATACGTATACTAATTTCTGTCGTCAGAAAACTTAAGGCAAGAAACTTGCAGGTTTCTGTATGGAAAAGAGACAGGAAAGGCGTAATACTTTTGCATGCTAGGTTCTATGCAGTCGTGTGCACATTTCACTATTTCTCATTAATTATGCGGTGCAGTCGGGTGCACATTTCATGATCTTTCCACTTATCTTTTCATTTTTATTCATTGCTCACAAGAAATCTTCCCTTTTCCCGACTTTAATATTTTTGTTACAAAAAGTAATGATAACGGAGATCCCACCGGAATAGTGAAAACGAGTTTGTAATATCATATTCGGTCCTATATGTTGCTGGGTCGTGCGTTGAATACCACTCTTCCTTGTTGATATTGTTTTTCATATTTTGTAAAAGTGAAAGCATATACTGCCTTTCGGGTAATACATGAAAATTCTGTTTACCTACAGTAAAGCTATAAACTGAAATGATGAATTTTAATATTTTGAAATACATGTCAGAAGAATATAATCAGCATAACCAATGGTACTAACAGACATGCATCAAGGTAAATATAGGTACACGTTTCTAAATAAATGAAATAAAACAAATTAATTAATTGCTGCTGTCGCATTGATCATATGAACGTACTTTTAAGAATAATTTGAAAACGCATATAAAGTTTCTTTCTTGCGACGCTTTATACGTACATGTGCAGGAAATTTGTCATTTTATTTATTTTGACAAAATTATAACTATAAACATGATTATTAAAAGCATAATGTTCTTTTTTATCATTATCTGGTATGTTTTTATTAAAAAATATTCAACATTTAAAAAATTCTCTTTGAGAGGGATAACTTTATATAATAACTGTGGCAACCAAATGGTCGTTGTCTTTATGATAACGTACGTCCTGTGTTACCTAGTACATTGTATACAAATACAGCATATATTGTTGGTCATTATAACAATTTAACAAAAGGTCACCAGATAAAATGATGTTTCCTTGAAGGTGGGCAGATGCTATCACACCTAGATCCTGGTATTCTTTATCAGTAAAATAAGCACTCCCACCAGAGGTCAGACAGATCTTTGTTTAATAACACTAGCTGGTATAAATATGAGCATTTTTTGTATTTTGATCACTTTCGACTTTCGACAGAATGATACAAGCTTTCATTCTTTTCCTTGCTGTCACCTGCGGGTCAGCAAGGGCTCAACATGGTATTTATTTTTGCTAAAAAGTTGTTCTCAATTATCTAGTTTATTTAAAAAGGGAACTAATAAATCGTGTTTTTTTTTCTTACGTTACGCAGGTTTTGCGCTGTATATCTAATTAAAATATTACTTTATCAAGTTTCGCTTTTTTATTTTATTCATTAAATTATTTATTTATTTTTGTTTAGTTTTGATTTTTTTTTAACTGGAAGTATGGGGTTTTAAAATTGTATACTCAGTATCATGATGTTTTATGATAGCATCTCTTTCACAATTCATTATATAAACATACATACCAGATCTATTTGATGATAGAAGAAGAAAAAACAAACAAACAGAAAAAACACAAGCAAACGTGCTTTGATATCTTAAATTTATCTAAATATGTATAAAAGACGTAAAAATGATTCAATGACTACATTATTCAAGATGACAGTAACTATTTTTTTTACTGTAATACATGTTTAAACGTGTTTTGAATAAAGCGATAAATATACACGTGTTTTATATCATTCCAAAGCAACAGTTTCATGAAAAATAATACATGTACATACATTTCTTAACACAATAGAATGTTCTGCACATGTACAATAATGATAATTATTGGCATTCGCTATATTTTGCATTAATATTTTCACAAACAGTTTTTACATTTCCTACAAAAAATGAAACACGCGCTTGATACCAACGGATCAGTTTGCATTTTTCTTACCAGCTTTGTAAATTTTATATAAGCGTTTTTAACATTTTTTTTGTGCTTTTATTCAAAGGATGTGACAGCAAGGCGGATGTAACTTTTCTAATAGACTCTTCTGGGAATATAGGACAAAGGAATTTTCAACAAGAACTTGGATTTGTTAAGGATGTAACGAATAGAATGACAATAGCACCAGACAAAATGCAAGTAAGCGCTGTGACGTTTGGAAATACTGTTTCTAGTAAATTCTACTTGAATCAGTATACAAAGTATCCTTCATTGGAAAACGCTATCCAGAATATACCGTACTCAGGCGGACAAGCTAAGATGGCCGAGGCAATCCAGTACGCCACAACCACGGCATTTAATCCATCACATGGAGGGCGGGGCGATACTCCTCACGTGACTGTGCTCCTTACCAATCAGCCGTCAGGATCGATTGACAGGGTGAAATTAGCGTCACAAACTGCACGAGATAATGGATTAGTATTGTATACGGTTGGAATTGGCAATCGTATAGACACGAATGAGTTAAAGGCAATCGCCTCTGATCCAGATTCAAGGCATATGTTCACTTCTCAAAATTTTGACGCACTTACTAGTCTGTCTGATTTACTAGCGAATAAGATATGCAATGGTAAGTTAAAATTGTTGCAATAAATCAACTGTATACATCTGTTTATATGAAACTCGCCCGGGAAATAGTATTAAATTGTAAGTTTGATTCATATTTTCCTGGAATTGTTTTGTAAAATTGATATCAAATGATAACTGGTATCAGATCCTATGTATAATTCATATACATGTATTCCAAAGTCAAGGATCTAGTTCTAAATAAGTTAAATCTAATTAAAAATAATAATAATTCTAATAAAAAACTTTGTACATCTGATGTCATCTTTGTAGGTCATGTGTCACTCCTAACAAACTTGATCTACATATATACCATTTGATTTATGACTGAAAACTTTCCTTTGTATTTCAGAATTGCCTCCAAACCCCCACACACTTCCTGCCCCTACAGGTTTGTTTTCATAATACTATTTATATGAAACACACTATTTTAAATGCTTCTTTGTTCAACAACAATATTATAACAATCAGCAGTTTTCATTCATCTGCATGTTATTTTTTTATGGAAAAATTGACACATTTGATAACCTGATCACATGCCAGGAATTTGAATGAAGAACAGAGAATTTGTCAGAATAATGCATACATTCTTTACTTGGTATAATTGTATAGAACACATTATCTTCAGTATAGATAGCAAAGGCAAGAAATGTTTAAACTTCTGTTAAAGTTATTTTCATAAGCACATACTTTGAGTTGTATAGAGCTTTTTGGGCATGATTTTACAACAGATGGCATTAAGACATATCTAACATACCTTTATTGTCTCTAGATAATCATACTTTATCTGTTCATTGCTCATTGTCTTTGGATAATCATACTTTATTGCTGAATGTACCATATTTTCTATCATAATTCAGGATGTCTTAAAAAAGCTGATCTTGTATTCATGGTGGACTCTTCAAGCAGTGTTGGAAATACTAACTTCCAAAAACTGGAACATTTTCTTAAGGTAATAATAAAAATTGATCAACAAAAGACTATTGATCATCCTTTTATAAGTTAATGGAATATCATTACAAAAAAAAAAGTTTTATGTTTTATAGTTTAAATAAGTGTGAAAATGTTTATAAAAATGAAACATCAAGGGAAACATCCAGACCTATCTAATAAATTGTATTATATAACATTTACATAATACAGTTTGTTTAGTAACTTTCTGGGGAACTGATCTTTTTTTTGAGTTTACAAAGTGATTAGCATAATTTTAACTTTTATATTCTCAATAAGTATTATTTACAAATTGTGAAAATTAACTGTTTTTGTTTATTTTCATCTCTGAATGTTTTAAGCAACAATAATAACTAGCCTGTGTCACTATTCAGTACTGTTAATCTCTGACACTGATTCAATGTTCAACTGCTAATTGATATGCCAAGTGCACTTGTTCTGCACTGATCGCATCGGTAAATTCAGTCACAGCTCAAAGCCAGCCAATATTAACTTGCCTGTGTCACTTTTTAGTGCTGCCTAAACTGAGACACCTTTTAAAATGTTTGACTGCTTATGTTTTAGTCAATTAGTCATATGAAAGCAAATCCTGAAAGGAACAGTACAATTCCAAATTCTTAGCAATTAAGGGGATGTGTCAATTAACCAGTGATTTTAGTGATGTAAGGTTGAACATGTGACTGTCTTTAGTAATGACATCTTGCTAGTTTAAAGAAAAGGGAATGTGTGTGTATGGGTGTGTGTGATGATGCTTGTGGGTGTTTAGTTTGTTAAACCCTTGCCATTGGAATTAACCATATTGGGCTAGCAAGTCAGTCTAATATCTTAACACATTGTATTGTACACTGGGTATATACTGGTGAAAATGTTTAAACATTTCTCACCTATCATAAGCTATAATTCATATCTACATAAAGGAAACACTTAATATTCTTACCAATATACACGTATATCACTATATGTTTTATTTGAAGGATGTTGTATCTAAAATTGATGTTGCACCAAACAAAGTACATGTTGGAGTGGTCAAATATGCAAGCTACCCAACCACAGAATTTTCTCTTGTCCAACATCAGAACAGACCTTCGGTAAGGTTACTGGGTACATCTTTCTACAGTTATTAACAAGTTCAGTCCCCAGCAATTCAAATTATCGGGGTTGGACTGTAACCTGCTCTTCGGTAAGGACTGGATCAAAGAACCAAAGACTGGCATTTTATACCACTGTTAAAACAGTTGAATTGGAAATCACTTTGAAAAGCTAATCATCCCATTATGATTTTTATGATATTTTTGACAGTTTAAGATTTTTGACCCTTTTATAATTAAATGATAGATTATTGATTAAAATTTAAGTATTTATTGATGACATTTTCAACTTTTTATACAAAGCTAATGCAATAACTGTTAAAGATTCAATACATGAATTTGTAGATTTTTCTTAATCTTATATTTTTAACTGATCTTTAACTTAAGAAATGAGTGATACTAGGTAAATTCCTTCCTTATATTTTTTAAAATAATAAATGCCTGTAGAATAAATATCAAGGAAGATTTAAGCTTCCAGTATTTAAAAATCTGTTTGTCAGAGCATTTTCTATGAATAGTTTCTATCATAAAATCAATTTTGATTGGACTTTTACAATGACAGTATTGTTGGCATGAATGTATACTTTTTGGTTTCCAGGTTATGAAAGCCATTGAAGGTATGACATATCTTGGTGGGGGAACCAATGATGCCGATGCTATGCAATTCACAGGACAACAAGTTTTCAGCCAGAATCATGGGGCACGTGGGGAGGTTCCCAGAATAGCAGTGCTTCTCACCAATGGTGGCTCTTCTAATCCTGGGGCTGCTGTTACAGCTGCTGACAAAATGAGATTAGAGAGCATTGGAGCTATTGTTGTTGATGTTGGAAATAATGCTAATCCTAGTAGAATTGCTGATACAAAAGATAGTTACTTCAATGTCAGATCATATGATGATTTAGATAGCATCACAGACAAACTTATTGAACAAATGTGCAAAGGTCATTATAATCATTTTTTAATTCTTTTCTTTTTTTTCAGTCAAAAAAACTTTTTCCAAGATTTTCATATTTAATTATTGATTATTTTTTGCTGACAGAATTGAACTGAAAGGATTTTTTCAAAATAAACATTCTGTCTGGAACAACATGCCAAAGTTCAAGGTTACGTTTGAGGGTCAAAGTTTTGAGCCACAAAATTTGTGTCCACTCTGTAAGATTTTAACTGCTTAAAGAATGTTTAAGCTATGTAGAAAAAATGTCTTTGAGGTGATATTTTACTAAGACTCAACACTCTTGGTGCTCTGCTTTAAGGTCAAGGTCACAGGTAAATAGCTTGAATGTGCAGTAAAGTGTCTACTTTTTATCTCTTACACCTTACACTGTGTTTGAAGAATTTTAATAATATGTGAGTGAAATGTTTATCTTATCAAATGAACATTAAGAATCTAGTCTGGCCCTGTTTTTCTTCTTCTTTTTTTTCTATTTGTCCATCTAAGGAGCTTTTGTAATATACTTGATATTTTGTTTATGATATTCAGTACAGGTTTGACTGTACAGTTGATAATATAGACGTGTAATATTGTATATGTTTTACATTTTTCTTAAATACAATACTCACTTATAGTACATGTAATTTTTTGTCTTCAACTGAATTTACAAATTTTGAATATTTTATTTTAGTGAATCGGACTCAGCCATCACTTACAATAAGTTCTCCAGGAGGTAAGCTGCCAGTAGACCCATGTCAAGACAAAGCAAATAACTGTGACCAATATGGAACCGATGTTTGTTCAAACTATGGACAATGGGCACAGACCAATTGTGCAAAGACATGTGGTTTTTGTACACGTAAGCATTTACTAAACATAAATGATAAAAAACTATTGATTACAAAAATATTTTTTTTTTGATGAAACTAAAAACATACATGTATTTACATATTTTCTAATTTGTTTCTGTTAAAAATTTCTCTGTCTAAAGTTTGGAAACTTATTTAAAGTCTTAGACATTTTCAAAATTGAGAATTAAGAGAAATAATAATTTCAGAGAAATAATAATAAAAACTGAAATCTTGTTTTATATTACAATGAATGATAGATAATTTTCCAACCTAATGTTTTATAACATGTTTTTGACAATTATGATTTGTGCTGACCAAATGAATTCATTTCATCAAAATTGTTTAAAATAAGAGTTATGGTAAATATTGGCATAAAGACAAAATTATTGACAATATATAATGAGAGCTTTTTCAATGAATTTCTCTTACAGTGTATGATATAGTCTAATCCAGCTTTTCTGTTGTTGATACATTTACAGCACTTTATACAGTTGCCCCTCCTAAATGCTCTGACTCCTCATCCAGCTGCGCAAGCCAAAGTTTAGCAGATTGTTCCGTACCAGGATCGTTTGTTCAGCTGAACTGTCAGGAATTTTGCGGTCTTTGTTCAGACAATACAAGCAGCACAGGGTACTATGGGAAATGCTCGTACAAGGGAAAGTTGTACAGTACTGGAGAGAAATGGGTAGACGGATGTGATTATGAATGTTTATGTGAAGACGGCAACACTGGCAGATACAAATGTAACAATAGGTAGGGCCTTCTTGTCTTAAACATTATTTTAAAACATTTTGCTGTTACAATTATAGATAATACAGTAGATACTGATAGTCATCTTCTTTTGTGTTAATATTGTAAAATTACATGTAAGTTGGACTTATGATAGAATGTTATTAACTCTAATCGATGCCTGGAAAATGATTTGCAAGGTTTTTCCTGATTTCTACGGCATATAAAGCTGAAAGTTTGCAGTTAACCATAACTAGTGGATCTCTATATTATTTCTTACTTGATGATCAACCCTTCAAAAAGCAAAATTGCGATCTCACTTGCTAAACATTTGAACTTTGTCTGATAGCTTTCAATATAATCTTTTTTATATCATATTATTCTGATTGCAGATGTCCAGTGTATAATAATCTACCAGGGGACTGTACTCTTACCTCACATCCTGATGATTGCTGTTTACAGCCAGTGTGTAACTTTAACCCTACCATCAATATTCAACAATCTAGTGGCCATGCTGTCACATCCAATGGAATCAGTGAGTGTTTATTTTGGCTGTTAATTTAAATCATTAATTTAGTGAAAAACTGTTCCTTGTTGAACACCTTTGAATACTATTGGTAATAGTATGACTTAATTGTCTGTGGCACCAGTATAAAGCTAATCCAGTCTTCACCTCCATGGTCTTTGACCAGACTCTGTCAGAATGCACTGGCTTTCATGTACTTTGATACATTTGCCTCCATGTCCTTTGAACTTTATACTGCTAGCTGCTCAATTATAGCTTTTTTGCCTACCAAAATTGAAGAAAAAAGAAGTTAAGAAGTATAAATATAAAACTTTCTATACTGCAGTTTATAAAATTTTTAATCTGGCTCTTGTACAAAAATACTCAGGGCAAGTTTATAATTATAGTCTTTAATAGGTAGGACAGTTGAGCATTTTAAATAATTAGTTTATACTGAGCATAATTATGCAACTAAGCTTTGTTTTATAGATTTCAAGATTTTATTGATAAGTCTTTAGGCCTCCGGCCCATAAACATTTACAACATATATATAATATACATACATAAACAGTGAGTGATACAGACATGATTAAATACAAAACTAACATTATTTCAGTATTCATTGAAAAATATCTAAGAAACTTTGTCTTTTATCTAATGCATAGAACAAATACATTGCAGTGTTTCTAATTTCATTTTCGTGAGACATTAATGAATAAAATTTAACAAGTGTTGGTAGCATTCTGTAATTTTCCGAAATATATTGGCAGCGTATATCATTATATAGAGGACAGATTAACATAAAATGGAATTTGTCCTCTATTGAAGTTTCACAATAAGGACATATACTTTCATCTCTACTTAAGCCATAGTGTCTACCTGTTTCAATAAGGAGATTGTGAACAGAGCATCTAAAAGAAGCAAAACATTTTCGAAATTTGACAATATCTAGGACATGTACATAATATTCAACTTATATGATGAATAATATGTCAATTTCTTATTAAGCATACATTTGGCACTCCAATTTTGTAGATATTGATCTTTTAGTCTATTGACATACAGATTCAAAAAATCATCATAAATAGTTTCATTTTGGTTTTCCCAAATATAGCCAAAACCATTACTAAATAAATTTTCTCTGATATCTGAAACCCAATTTTTCCTACCTATTGTATCATAATATAATAGCATATTATAACATAATTTAGGATATCTATCGTTTGGCATTTTTAACAGTCTTAGCCCATTATTTAATACAATTTTTTGATTATACATAGCATCATAATGGAAATAAGCCTCACTTATACAGAGTACATGCAGATAACCCTTGTAGAGAGCATATGCAAATTAGCTCCCTTTCATTATTCATTATATATTGAATTTTGACTTGTGTGTTAAAGTTACACAATATTTATTTATAGATGTGTGTGTCTATAGAGGAAAACAATACTTACAGCGTCAGAGTTGGAGGGACGGCTGTGACTATCAATGTACATGTGTGAATGCCACAACTGGACTCTATCAATGTGACGATTTGTATGTACTGCCATTGTACAACTTTTTAAACACTTTTACCAAATTTGTCTCAATTTATTCTACTAAAATATGAACACTTTATTCATGAATGCTGGATACTAAAATAGGAATACTCTTTTTAAAAGCATTAATGCAAATTGAGTTGAAAGTTTGTGTTAAGCAAATGAAAATGCATAGAAATAATTATTGTACATGTAATAGTAATATTTTTCACAACCTGTTTGTTTATTATAAGCAATGGTCTAAGATAAAATCACAGTAATTGTTTCAATTTCATTTTACCTAACTATACTAGTATCAGTTAAATATTTTAGTAAAGTATTAAGTTGATAAAATTACAACATTTGAAATTTCTGCGTTATAATAATGCATTATAATAATGTATACTAGTATATTTTTTATGTATTTATATATAAAACAGATGTCCAGTATACAGCAGTATTCCACCTTACTGCCACCTGGAGCAACCTCTTGGTGAGTGCTGTAAGAAACCAGTGTGTGAGTTCAATACCCAGTCAGGAAGTTTTACAGGGTATGGCTCAATCAGTGGCTATGGTACAGGTAAGTTTCAATAAATATTCAATATATATAATTCCTACAAATATACAGATGTATGATCACTGTTTTATCATTTAGTTAAATGATATTTAAAGGTTTTTTAGGAGTATTAGTCACTCTGTATGTTCAAGAAAAGTGCAAATTAAAAAAGAAACAACAACCTCAGATTAATTGCAAGATGATTCAGCTTTAAAGATGCTGTACTTTTTCTAAATATGTGTTTTTTTTATAAAATCTACATTGAAGTGAACTCATTCTTACAGGAACTTGGTTTACTACATGAATCTTAGCCGTTGATATTTTTGCTTATTCCTAACATACGCGCTATTTCATAATCGATCGTGCTTTGATAATATCAACAATTTGCCGAACAGAAGCACATAAAAAATGACAGACTGGAACCCAGGCTACATGAGTCTTTATGTAGCATACTTATATTTTATGCAACTGTCTTTGATTTGATGTAGATTATACAGTATAAGCTCTGCAAAGCAACACCCATTGGGAGACCAAAGACCATAATTTTGTTTTTATCGAAAGGTGTTGCACTAGAGAGGTTAACTAATGTTGTGAGGTCTTACTGTGCATCTAGAATACTGCATTAAGATGTTTTTGGGATTAAAATAGGGTTTTTGTTACCATATGTTGATGTGATTATTATAAATAAAACTTTTGACCAGATTGACCAAACAAAGCTGTGATTGACCTTTAGCAATGATTAAAAAATTTCTTGTTAAAGATTGCACCAGATCACAATGACAATACATGTCTGTGTTAATATCGACAAAATATAAAGTAACCATGAAAAGGTCAAATAGCATTTTTTTTTCAAAAATAGTTTCAAAACAATTTGAAATATCTAAAAATTTGAAACTCACTCATGCCGAGTCAGCATAATGTATGTTGACCATTGTATGTAACTACCTGAAATCATTTGTTTTTACTAAAGCACATATTTTTTAAATCATGTTAGGTTGGCCCATTGCAATTAAAAAGTAATAAGTTTTAAACTAATTGTGAATCATTTCAATTGGCAGGTAAGAGCCCCACACAGCATGGAGTATGTACAGATATTGACAATAAATGTACAGAATATGGTAAAGATGTTTGTGTGACATACAGAGGCTGGGCATTGGTCAACTGTAGGAAGTTCTGTAATATGTGTGGTAAGTTAATCTACCTTGTCTGTCTGTCTGTCTGTCTGTCCTTTGGTGATAATTTAGTTGTGTATAACCAATACATGCATAAGAAAATGACTGCTTTTGATTGAATGCCTTTCCTGACCTAAGTACTCTCTAAGTGATCAAAGTTAAAAAAATATAGAATTTGTCTTGTGTATTCATCTGATCAGTGATATAAAATATGTATTCTTATTTGTTATACATGTATTCTCATATAGGGAGCAACTTGTCTAATACAATCAGTATTATATGAGCCAAACCAGCTTGAATACTGCACCTGCCATATTTTATTAATTGATAATGGGACAGTTTCAAAAACATTTTAGAAGTATTATACTTGTTAGTCATTCCCAGATATAAAGCAAGTTGTACAATACAATTCATTATTAGTCTGTGCTGATTCCTATGAGACCTTTAATGTTGAATGATAAAGATAACTTCAGAAGAATCTAATGTTTAATGATAGCATTGTATACATGTTTTGACTATAATGTCTTCCTAAAAAGTAGTAAAACAATATGTTATATAAAACAGGAATGATGTTAAAAGATCTGTAAAATACATCATAAAATGACCAACTTTGATCGATTTGCTTGATAATTTGAAACATCTATTTAAAAACAGATATAGTTTTATCACATACCCATGTTCATTGCATTAAAATTATTAATAAATGATTTTATTTTCTTCTTAGATGATGATTCTGCCCCAGTAGGACCAAAGGGTAGGTGTGAAAACCATAAATTTCAAATTTTACTTTTCTTGGCTTTTATACCTGCTAATTATTTCTCAGATCAATATATTTTACTGACCTTTTCCCCCATTAAAGCTGCAGCCAAAATGTTTTTAAAAATTCAAACTTGAGAAAATGAGTTTTTTTATAAAAGTAAAAAAAAGATTCAATACTCAAGTGATAATTTACATTTTATGTGTGATTAATGGCTGATGAAGTTAGTTACACAATTTCAGCTGAGTTAGAGTTAATACATTTAATGTATTAAACCTCATGTATCTATTATTTTAAGTACAAATCTCAAATTCTAAAGTGATAATTTGCTTTATATTTAGATCATTGTGTTTATGGTGGAATTATTCGTAACCAAGGTGATACATGGAATGCATCATGTGACACTGTATGTACATGTGAGAATGCAGCATATGGCTACTACAGGTGTAATAACATGTAAGTATTTGAATAAAAGGTATATTGATGTGTTTGATCAAAACTTTAAAGTATGTAATACATCATGTGCAGATTATATACCAATTCCAAGATATAGTTGTGAGTATAAATAATACAAATTGTAGGTCATTATGAATTGCAAATCAATATGAATTATATAAATTGCAAGTCAATATGAATTACAAGTTAATATGAATTATATAAATTGCAAGTCAATATGAATTACAAGTTAATATGAATTATATAAATTGCAAGTCAATATGAATTACAAGTTAATATGAATTATATAAATTGCAAGTCAATATGAATTGCAAATCAGTATGAATTATAAATTGCAGGTCAATATGAATTACAAGTCAATATGAATTATATAAATTGCAGGTCAATATGAATATCAAGTCAATATGAATAAAATAAATTTCAGGTCAATATGAAATGCAAGTCAATATAAATAATATAAATTGCAGGTCAATATGAATGAAAGTCAATACAAATAAAATGAAAATGATTTAAATATTATATAAATACTTTGTAGTCTATTTTATAGTTCATTCAACTTGTCTGATAACTATTTCTTTTGTATTGATGATAAAGATGTCCAACCTACAACAACTTACCCAGTGGTTGTAATGTGATAAAGAAAGCTGGTGAATGCTGCCCAGTGGCCCAGTGCCAGAATGGTTACTTTTATTCGTCATCTACTAACATTGGTTCACTTGCAAATGGCATGACAATTAATGTATTGAAGCCACCTGCAGGTAAGAAATCATGAACCTATAAAATATGTCAGTGAAAGTGTTTTGAATTTGACATCTCGGGATTACATGTTTTTGAAGTATTAACCGTAGGCTTGATGGCTGAATCTACATATGTAACTAGTGCAGACCAAGATCAGCAAGCACATCTGTAGGTCTTATCAGTGTCTGCACTGATCGCTGTTCAGTCAGTACTTATTTTGAAGATTTTCCTTAAAAGTTTTTGTTTTTTTCTTATTGAAAGATTGACAAGTCCATTTAAGATATTTAGCATGATTGCTGTTAAAGATTTTTTTGTGGTCAACTTTCAATCACTACAATCACTATTTGGCATAGTGGTATATGTCAAATTTTGCATCCACACCTCTGTACGGTGATTGTTTATTATTGTAATTCTACATGTGAGTCAGAAATTTAATGTTTAAAGTATGAAGTTAATCATGATTTATCTGTGTCACATGTGTTTTATATGTCAGTAAGATAATATAAAATTGGATGGATCTCTTTTAGGAATGACTGCAGTACAGCCAACTTTACCATCAGGGGAGGTAATTCCTCTTGGAGGAGGCAGCACTGGCTTTACACCTCCTAAGATATGTAAGTGTATAAATTTACCACTATTAAGTATTTTCCACATATAAATTCCTGCATAATATCAACAAAATATTTTCTGACATCTTTACAATTTTGTAGTAACAAAATTTGGCTTTAAAGTGCTAGTTTGTTATTGAAATAGATCACTTATTTTGGATAGATCACTTATTTTGGCATATTTTTAACATATTGTAATGAGATAATTTTCGTGAGATAATACAAAAAAAAATGATGAAGGAATAATGTAATGAGATAATACTATCTATTTGACTAGCTTCAGGAATGTTGGTGATTTTCCTTAGGTGCCCATTCGAGCCTGAAATAAGGCACAGAGGAGCTCCAGAGGTCTCCCTTCACCAGTAAAGTTGGAAAGTCACCATATGACCTTTACAGACTGTTGGTGTGACATTATTAAAAACCCAACAAACAAACAAAATAAAAAGGAGTAAAAAAAAAGGATAATAATAAAATTGTTTACATTTCAGATGGTTGTTTGTATAAAGGACAGTTGTATATACAGGATCAGGCATGGGAAGATGGTTGTCAATTATCTTGTATATGTAAAGATGCCAACTCTGGACTCTATTCATGTCGACAGAAGTACTAACATTATTATCTATATAGATTATATGAGTTTAATTTAACATTGAATTTTAGATTATTTTTATAATTTTGTATAATTCAAACATTGCTGTAAGACTTATGAATACGAACATTGAACCTTTCGGTAATTATTTGTTTTATAAGTTTATTGTTTTTCTAGTAGTTTTTGCCATTCAGATAATCAAAATACATTTTTTTCTCAAATTTCATGTAAAACCCACAGAACTTGAGAAATTATAAAAGAATAACTTATAATTAATGAATGTTTTGATTGACCTGAACATATAGCAGTTTAAAACAGTTTTTGTTTAGAAATCTATGCATATTATTAAAGTGGCAAAATGACATGTTTATCTACTTCGTAGCTCATGCAATGTTATTTTCTTTTTTCATAGATGTCCTAGTTACCCAGCATTACCAGCCTCGTGTAAACTGGTCCCAGATGTCAATGATGAATGCTGTCAGACCCCACAATGTGGGCTCGATCCTATCACCCAGAAAGTTCCAGTTCCCATGCCTGTGTTTAGACCTGCCATACAGACTCATGGTGCAGTAAAACCTCCAGGAGTGAAGGACACAGACTACGGTCACTATTCTATGACAGTTTATCTGGCACAAACTGGTATGACTCCGCCACCACCCACAGCTCCACAGATTGTACCAACCGGAGGCATAGGTAAATGCATTTTTTAATCTTATGAAATACTGTTAATCACTTCATATTCGCGTGATCTATATTTCGCGAAAACCCCATTCCTGAATTATTTCGTGTATTCATGAATTCTCGAGGGCATGGTCAAAACTTTAAATTCGCGATTTGTTGTATTTTATCTCTGCAGTAAAGCAGGGTATAATGTCTTAACTATGTTAATATCATACTGTGCAAAACTTATTGACAATTAACATACATGTACCTGTAATGTTGTCCCATTAAGTGACATTGTGGTAGATAGTGGCATCTATCTGAAAGCATTTTCTTGAAAAAAATACTAATGTCAGTACATGTATTTTGTTTTATGATTACTCGATATATTTTGCAGTTGAATAGAATGATAAACTCACATGAAAAGTCAGTATACAAATGCATTATGTTTAACATGTAATTTTCGAAGAATTCACATAAATGATTTTGTAATTATTTGCAGGATTTTGTACATACAATGGAAAACAATACAAACAAGGGGAATTATGGGAAGATGGCTGTAATTTTAACTGCATATGTGAAGATGCCAGTAGGGGCCATTATAATTGTCTGGAAAAGTAAGTGTGAAAAAACGAAAACCAGTGGCTACAAATTTGTGAATTTATTATTCTTTAAATCATAGCAAGCAATTATGCTGTTTGTTAATTTATTGACTGTTGAAAGTTTATAAAGCATAGTGTTTAAACTGTTGCTTGCAATGTTACTTTTTCCTATAGACTTGTGTGCTGCTTGAAGCTGTTTAATATACTGAGCCATGTATCTTGACAAAAACTTTTATACCTATTGATATGACGAAACTTACTAATTTTGATTTTTTAATTCTACAATGATTTATAATGCTACTTTTTATTTCAATTTATTCTTGACAGACTATATAAATATTTATAGCAATATTATAAGATACTGTAGTTTTTATAAAGACTTCTACAATTGTTTTACACAGATGCGTACATTACGATACATTGCCAGAACATTGTTATCTGAAAACAGACCCAGTCAACCCGTGCTGTGATGTCCCAGTCTGTAATATACCGGTTAATTTTGGAGGTCATTTTGGTGAAGTTACAACAACCCTCAAACCAACAGGAGGTTTGTAAAAATAAGTTAAACAACTTTATTAAGCTATATTTAGACATTAATTAATTATTTAGAAATATATCATTTATTGGCATAAGTTAAGATTTGATTGTCTGAGATGTAAGTCGAAGTAAACCTCTGTCTTGTTAGTTTAATGTTTGGTTACAACTTTCAAGGAACAAGGTCTGAATTAGTTTTCTGAAACTCTTTCATTTTCACCCTTAACAAATCTTCATTAGAGTTTATTTACTTATAATCGCCAACCCTAATTTTTTAGTAAGAACATAATGTATATTTTAACTTGACTGTAAATCAAGAGTTTTATTTTGCGATGTTTTCAATATTAAAATATTTCTTTTTTTTGGTAGATCATTGTGTATATGAAGGACAGAAGTACCTTCAAGGACAAACATGGTTTGATGGTTGTAGTTATAAATGTACATGTGAAGATGCTACCAACAATATTTACAGATGTCTCAGCAGGTAATATAAATAAAACATACTATTTCTGTTTTGGTGATTTTGGTAGAAACTATGCTTCTTGTTTTTGTTTCTCCGACTTGTTCATTTGGGAAAGTTCTATTTGTTCATTGCACATTTGTATTCTGCTTGGTCAGCCGGGGCAGAAGACACTGTAACATTTTGTAGGAAAACATTTTAACTATAGTTTACCATATTCTTACCAGGAGACTGACACTGTTAGTCGATTCTTCATCATCAAGATTGGTATACAGTTCATGGGCCATATTCCTCCTAATATATTTCACAAATAAGTGATAAGACATGGTTTTGATGTAAATTGTAAAATTGAGACAGCACAGACACAAGTGTTTAACAACTTGTTATCTGAATCAGATAGTATCAGATCAAAAAGTTCTTATAATTGCCACAGACCTATAAGAGTCCTCCTTTGTTGGAATGTAATCATTTTCCACATATTAAAAAGAAAAGAAGTAAAAAATATGTGTGTGTTTGCAGATGTTTGGAGTATGAAAATGTAGCTGAGAGCTGTAGATTCATACCTGATCCACGTGATCCAGGATGCTGCGTGATGCCAGAGTGTCCAACAACCGGAACACCAGACCCTTACCCGACACCGGCAATACCAGGAAAATACACTGGACATAGTATGACAACAGGTTAGTTCATGGAATGAAAGTGTGGCTGTCAAAAGTTGTTAAGAATAAATTTTGGCATTTTCAGCTTGTCTGTTTTGAAGAAGAAGTCAAGCTATTCATAATCATCATTGTGCAAATTTGTTTATGTATTTGAACATTTTAAAAATTATCAACATTAAACCTAGAATACTTGCTTATCATGACAAGGTGCACTCGTTAAACAAGGGGCATGACTCTGAAAGCAATATTTTTTGAAGTCATGCCCCTTTTTAACTAAGAATTTTTAACATATGAGTGTTTAAATGTGGCATGGGGTGCTCTTGTTAATCTATATTACTACATTATTATCTGTGATATTGATTATTAATATATTGTGTGGCCTGAACGTAAATGTCAATACAGTTAGATAAGGCCCCCACGGTTACGCGTTTAAACGGATTCGTTTCGATTTCAGTCGAAAACGTTTACAATAATTTTAACCGTTTAATCGAAATGACCATATTGTCTTACAAAATATCCCAATCATTGCCGTAATCATGAATTTTATCAATTTTAATTGGTTTATTCCAAAGTAAAATAGGTATTTACAACCCTCCACACACCATTACCGTGCACTAATCGTGACATAATATATTGGTAAAGTTAATTATCCTTTGATCTTTCAAAAGAGCGAAACAGGGATACAATGCAGAAAATGTGTGTGGACTCAATCTTGATGAGCCCTGAACATTAAATTATTTGTAAATAAAAAGTAAGTCATCATTTGGAGACTTGAATACATGGTGCAGTATAGTTAAAAAAAGTTACATCGTTTAAACGGTATCGTTTCGGTTCTTAGCAATCGTGTAAACGTTTACAAAAATATGTAAACGTGGGAGCCTTACAGTTAGACCTGCTCTGTTGAAATATCTAACTATAATATAACTTTACATATTGATGAAACTGTGTATCCTGTTTTGTGTATATGTCATGGTGGCCAAATATAATACAATAAGAAATTAAAATAAATTTAAACCAATTTGTTACTTTTGATTGTTGCAAATTAAAAGTATGTCTTGTTCATTACCAGTTTAGCATGGTATTATATACATATATGTTAGAATTTTCTTCACAGATTAGTATTTTACTAGCTTTTATATACTAGTATAATCATTATTATGTTAAAATATGTTAATATTTCACTAGGTTTTTGTGAGTACAAGGGGTCACATTACGGTCAAGGTGAGCAGTGGAAAGATGGCTGTGACCTAACTTGTCAGTGCACAGATGCTCAGTCAGGGTTTTACAGATGTACCGAAATGTATGTCCATCTTATTACATATATACTTTTTTTTTTTGGTTTTGAAAATATCATTATAAAGAAAGTGTTTGTTTGTGAATGAACTGAATTTGAAGTTTTTTTTTTTAACAATTTAAACTGTGATGAAAAGAATGCTTTCTTAGGATGTTATACACTAATGGATAAAATTTGTCACATGATGGCCTGACACAAATAAATAATAAATAGATTATGATTTGTATTTTACTGTGCTGTTAAACTATTTTGTCTTAAAACCCCATGGACACTGCGGAATTTAACCATTAACCTCAAAATTACCTAAATATCTTAATTGGACTTGTCCATCTTTTAATTTAGTCAAAACGATTCATCATTTTAAGGGAAAATTTCATTATATGTACAGACTGAATGAATAGCAAACAGTGCAGACCATGATCAGATGACAAAGATGTGCTGGCTGATCTTGGTCTGCACTGTTGGTATGGGTAGAATCTGATGGCAGGCTATGAGTTAACCATTGCTGCCACAGTGACAGCTCTTTATTCTAATAATGACTTTCAATATTTGCACTAAAATGTATTTTCTACTTGTTTTCAGTTGTCCTCGTTACACACAAATTCCACGCTACTGTAAATTAGTCACCGATTTTACCAACCCGTGCTGTCAGACTGTGAGATGTGAATTCCCTGCAACTACTGGCTCAATCACAGGAAGTATGACCCCTAGCACCATGCGTATACCTACGCCAAAGACCTCTGGTCAGACACCTTCATTCGTTACAGGAACATACCCAATACCTCACTACAGTGAGTGGTATTTTCTATATTTCATGCCAAAAATATATTGTATATTGTACATGCATGGAATTCAGGTCCAATGTAAATATGTTGCCACATACTTAATATATTGAATTGCTACCTAAAATATTTACTATATTTTATCAGTTTTTGGGGTATTGTTTGATTTATCTGTCTACCTTCCATTGAGTCAAACCCATGCTGAGGATATATAGGATTGCATTGAAATTATTATGTCACAATGCATTAAACTTAAATTTTATTTTCAGAATATTGTGTGTATAAGCAAGTTCAATATAGTGAGGGTCAGACATGGAATGATGGATGTGAATTCACCTGTAGATGTGATGATGCAGACAAGGGACTTTATACATGTAATCAAAGGTTAGTACTATAACCTGTTGAGCAGCAACAGCAATGATACAAATACTTGCCTTTGGCACCAATATAAACCCTGACAAGCCTGTAGGGTCCATTCATTGTTGATCAGTGTCAGAAGTGTTGTGGCTGTTAAATTTAGTATTTTTTCTCAACCCTTCATGGACAATTTCCAATTCTAAGACAGGTCTTTTATATATAAAAAAGGTATTGGACAGTATTAACTCTTTACCTGCTGGAAGTGATTATTAGCCTTTGCCATCATCATAAAGTGAGGCCATCCTTCATGTCCATGCAGTCTGACATAAGGTTCTATACTGTTGGCTGACTATCTTTATCTTTATATCTTGATATTTCCGAATTGATACCAAAAATGGAAGCTGGAAAAATATCCATTTAGGAAATTCACCAGGTTAAAGTATAATTATCAAATGCAATGATCTTCCTAAAATACCAAGACTGGTCTACAAAAACCTTTGTGTCCAACAGATTGATACTGCTGGCTTTTCATTTTATAGTATTAATTTTATATTCACATTATGTTACTGAACTTAAAAGGTTTGAATTGTAGCTATACCTCTTATGGAAACCCCAAGATTTTTATATAAATTATTTCTGAAACTGTCCATTTAATGTTTGATCTTATACTTTTAATGTTCAATCTCTTATCTAATCTTAAGAATGCTTTTTTTGCCATAAAAAAATTCATTTATAGATATACACTTTTCATTATTCAGATGTGCCTCCTATGAAGATAATGCAGATGGTTGTCAGTTGGTCACTGATCCGAGAGACTCCTGCTGTCTGGTACCCTCCTGCACACCACAACCTCAGTCTACCAGACATCCAGTCTCAGGGCCTACAGTCCCTACACCATACAAAATACCTACACTTAAACCAGGAACCATCACTGGTACAGCTAATAGGCCAACACTGAAACCAGACCTAACAGTCCCACCACTTAGTAAGTCAAAGTTAATCTACAAATAAAATATTTGAACCTGAACTTCAAAGTTTAAGTTGTTCTTACATTTCCTTAAAATCTCAATTCCACAAAAAGTACATCATGTTATTAATTTTTTCACAGAATTGTTTAAGATATTCATACAGATCTTGGCAAATACCATGGCTAGCAAGAGCAAATAGGTTAAAGGACAAGACCTTAGATTTTGTGAAGATGGTGATAGATCAATCTCATGCCCCTTGGGCAAGAATCTTTGTAGCAACAGCTCCATAACATGTTGCAGCAGATTATAACTACATGTAGCTTCTTCCCATTTGAATACAACTTTTTGGTCTATTTCATATTCAGAAATAAGATTTGATTTAGGTTTCAAAAACATGTTTAAATGTATGTTCATTATGTAACATTGTTTAAATCATGTGACTTTCATAGATTACTGTGAGTACAAAGGACAACAATACAAGTTGCACGAGAAATGGGATGATGGTTGTCAATGGCAGTGTGAGTGTGTAGATGATAAGATTGGGAAATATGCCTGCACAGAGAGGTTTGTGTTTTATTAGCTCAACTATACAAAAAGAGGGAAAGCTATTATATTCATCAAGGCATCAGCATCCCACTTTGGTTAAGGTTTTGCATACAAGTTGGTATCTCCAAAACTACTGAAGGGAATAGGTTGAAACTTCAAAAACTTATGTGAAAGCATAATAGGAGGTCACTATTCAATGCCCATAACTCTAACATGGATTTGGACAGAATTATTATTGCCTTTTTTCAACTTTGAAAATTCTACATTATCAAGGCTCATTTTTACAATGAAGCACTGAGAATAGTGTAGCATGCTATCTTACTGACAGCTCTTATAGACAGTTTATATTTTGGTTATATTACTGGAAATTCCCATTCTTCTATTATTGTCACTAAATATCTGAAAAACTGGAGGAAATATCACAATCTACCATAAGAAATTAATATCTTATTTGTAAATTGACTGTACCAAACTGACAAACAAAACGTGTGCCTTAAATTACCAAAGTAAGTTACCAATGACATAAATGACTTACATTAATTGTTCATTTCATTGAATACTTATTTTGTAAATTATGGTGAATTTTTATAAAATGAATCAGGCAAATATGTATTTGTAATTTCAACAACATTTTACCTCTATACTCTAATAATTACTTTCATAATGTGAGTTGTGTTTATCTTTGATTTGTACTTTTAATTACTGTTTATTACAGATGCCCACCACTTGTGAATTTACCATCAAATTGTCGACTTGTGAGAGATGTTGCTAATCCTTGCTGTAAAGTTCCAGTCTGTAATCCCACACCATTCCCGCCAACCACGCAGGGACCAGGTCTTCTTCCTCCATCTACAACTAAATCACCTAAACTAGAAAGTAAAGCAGTTTAATTATCAAATGATATGAGCCGCGTCATAACAAAACCAACATAATGGGTTTGCGAACAGCGGATGTGTAGACTGGTCTGGATCCTTGCTGGTCGCAAACGCACTATGTTGGTTTTGTCGTGACATGGCTCAAATGATATGATGATTTGTCAGATAAGCACAAAGAAAGTTTTAGCAGTTGTAACATTGTTGCAAGCTGATTTCATATTTATAGTCTCATGATTTATGCCTTCGTCATAAGCCTGCATTGAAATAAACATTATGTTTCTTTAAGTGGAGATTCCTAAATCATGGTAAGATCGGAAATTAGTAAAAATAAAAATTCTAAATTATCATGTTATTCTTAATTCTTAGTTAATTCTTTGAAATTGACTGAATGGTAATGTTCCATTTTAGGGAAGGCTTAAGAAAATGTATTCTCACTTAATGCCTTTATATTCAGTAGTAAGAAAATATATCATTGTTGCAGACGTATGTACATACAAAGGACAGACATATACACAGGGCCAGCAATGGTATGATGGTTGTGACTATGTATGTATATGCGAGAATAGCGAGCAAGGTGTTTACACGTGTAATGACAGGTGAGGTTGATCTCATTAAGTATAATGCTAGGTCAATGAATTATTAATTTTGTGACTTTGAATTTTTTATGCACCCTCTCAACATTTAACCTTGAAGTAAGGGCACCAACAGTCATCTTTTACCAGCAAAATTGCAGAGTCCCCACATCATCTTTTCTTCAGTCCTATATATGACTTGAAACGAAAAAGTGATGAGTGCTAAAAGACTAATCTTCTCTAAATAAATTACTGTAACATATTGTTTGAAACAAATTTAAAATTTAACATATTTATTTAATCAACTGATGTATAATTCATTTTTAAAGAGAATTTGTTAACATAAAGATTCTTTTTTGTTTTTCCAGATGTCCTAGTTTTCCCTCTCTACCTGCTGAGTGTTCACTGGTACCCAGTAGAAATGATCCATTATGCTGCAAGGAACCAAAATGCACATTTCCTCATGTCACAAATGACACAACTGGCTACTACATCCCATCTACCTTACCCACAGGTGTTGTCACAGGTGGGCGAGCAACATTACCTACACAGTTCACCATATCACCCCTTCCTTTATCTGTACAACCATCTGTTAGCCCACCATATGGAGTATCCACCATAAGTCCACCATATGGAGTATCCACCATTACCACATATGGATATAACATTAGCCGAGGGGATTTAAAACCTTTACCACCATAGGGAGAAAATCAAATTGGGCCCACCATATGGTATAAAACATTTACAATTGAGCCCACTGTTAGTCCACCGTATGGAGTATCAACTATTAGTCCACCATATGGAGTATCCACAATCAGACCACCATATGGAGTATCAACCATTAGTCCACCATATGGAGTATCCAGCATAAAGCCACCATATGCTAATGGTTAGTACTCAAAGTCCTTCAGTGACATTGTACAGTAAAAACTCTGAAAACCGGACCCTCTCGGGACTTGACCAAAAGTCCGGTTTTCAGAGGATTCCGGTTTTCAGAGGTTTTATACATTTATTAATAATAACAATGTGTTTGAACAATGACTTTGTTAAAACATTTTGTATTTACTTTTTAGCATATTTGTCCTAGTCATATTTTAATTTATTTTAGCAATAAATGTCTTAAGTAATTTTATTATGCAAATCCATGAATATAATTCAGAAAATCAGAAATTAAAACAACACATTGTCTAAAATATGTCTTTTTAATTGGCTTTTGAAATATGTAATTCATGGAATTTAGTATTACTATTTTTGCATATAGATCTAATAAATATCCAAACAAAGATCAATTTTTTGCCTAAACAAGAATCATTTTACAAAAGTTTCAAATTCTTTAAGACATTTAAAAACACAGCAAATTAAAAATATTTAGATAAATCAGGGAAAGGCACAATTATAATGAAAGAGCTATAATTTAATTGCCAATAAGAAATTAACACACACTAACAAGTGTTTTCACACCTGCATAAATAAAAAAGGTGATAATTTACTGGTAATTGAACATGACACCTGTTGAGATTATGTTTAGATCTACATTAAAGTACACAGAAAGTTGACACTTAAAATTGCTGTCCGGTTTTCAGAGGATTTTTTATGCATGTTAAGCATTAGAAGCCATAGAAAATAGTCCGGTTTTCGGAATTCAGAGGTTCCGGTATTCAGAGGTTTTTTTTCAATGAACATATAAGGAGAAAATACGGGACTTTTGAAATGGTCCGGTTTTCAGAGGATTCCGGTTTTCAGAGGGTCCGGTTTTCAGAGTTTTTACTGTATATTGTTATGAACATGACTGTATAGTTCCAGTCTCATATGAAAATTGTTTAATTTCTTTTGGTTCCAAAAGTTAATAGCAGGTTAATTGTCCTTCACTATTTTGACTGTTGTTTACAATAAAATATGTGAAGTGTGTGAAATATAAGTTTGCGTGATTGTTTTCAATAATGGGCTCAGGTTGTTTGTTAATTATATACATTTAAAATGGTTTAAAGCTGCCATTGCCTCCAGGCTAGCCAAAACATTTCAAGAAAATCAAACATGAGAAAAATGTACTAGGATTTTACGAAAAGTAAAAGGAATCAAGATTCAAGTAATAATTTACATGTTATGCTTTATTTATGACTGATTTAGCTGTATTTATCACTAATTATATCTACTGATGATTAATGCAGTAAGGGTAATTTTTACATATTTTGACCTTTTTGTTAATTTACATGGATTGTAAGTGCTGTTTACAATGGGTAAATTACTCTCTCTGTTGTGTTGACTTCACAATATTTTGCTTTTAATTACATTTTCAAAATGTTCATAAAAATTATTAATTAATCTGGAAGTATGCCTGCTTTAAAATATGTTTATGTTTATACATCAGCTATGTGTGTGTACAAGAACCAGTTCTATAAACAAGGACAGACCTGGCAGGATGGGTGTGACTACAGATGCGAATGCCTTGATGCATCTACTGGCCAATATAAATGTACTCCTGTGTAAGTAATTTTATTGTCATTTTCTTTTCTCTATTTATAATCATTAAACTATTTTTTCCCTTTTTTCGTATGAACTCATTTAGAATGACTTCAGATTAATTGAATATGATATGCCGCGCTGACAAACAAATACATGTAATGTTCGACCAGATGATCAGACAGCTCGTGCATCGCCATCTATCAAAATACATGCTGTTCGCTTTCAGTTCCTATTGAATAGGGTTTGTAACGAACATATCGGTCTGATAATGCGCTTATGCGCAGTGTCTGGATCATGTGTCGAACCATTTAGTTATCATGAGGCTTATATATTTAGGAGACTAGAGAACATCAGACTGAAGCTACATGTATATTATTGAAATAGCATTTGGATGATTATTTAGTTTTATTCAGAATACTGTTGTTGACTTGAGTAAGCAAGGCATAAATTGGCATTTTGGGTCCAACCCCCAGGTATAAATGTGGAATATTGCCTGTTGACATTAACATTTCAATTTTTAAATAAAAATAAAGAAGAAAATTTTATACAGGCTTGTCAGACTCTACACAGTCTGCCATCCTGCAACTAGAGCACTTAACCATTGACCCATAATTACTGCCATTCAGAAAAAGTTTGACACAGATGACAAAAAATTTGCTCACCTTTCAAGAAATAATATGCTTTTGCAAAGTAAGTTTTGCAAACATTGTAGCATTAACTTTATTTGTAAAACAAGCTTGGATGAATCAAAAGTTAACAGTTCTGGGACAAATTGATGCATGAACAGTTTCAACATTTTCTATTGTAGATGTCCATTATATCCTCCTCTTCCAGCCAACTGTAAATTGATAACTGATCCATATCAACCATGCTGTAAGAAGCCATATTGTACCAACAGTCCAACACTGTCACCCAATAAAACAATGCCATCAGTTACAACTCCTCCTGTCAAGCCAGGTTTGGAATTTGATCACATATATTTTAGATTTCTGTATGTATGAGGGTGATATGACTTTATTATACATTGTTGGATACAATATTGAATTCTATTGGATGAGTAAACAGCTGCCCAAACTTTGTTGGATGAGGCTTAAGCTGAGTTGCAGCTGTATATGAGTCCAATATAATCAGTATTGGTCTCAATAATCTTTAATGACCTCTTTATTTTATACCAACAGTTTTGAGATTTTGACAGAACTTTGTTACTTCATGTACAATAAGGATTTGATTTGGTTTTTTGGACTCTCAAAAATGAAAACAAGGCTAGATGGAGTGTGATATGCATTTGATATAGATTTTTGGACTCTGAAAATTTTAAAAGGTTATATGGGGAAGAATATGCTTAAGTATGAATTTTTTTTCAAATGAAAATGAGGCTTAAATCCTTAAATCCAATAACAGGTGTTAATAACGTGTGAAATAAATGATCATTTATAATTTAGATTTCTGTGTGTATAATGGTGCACCATTTCTACAAGGCCAACAATGGAATGATGGGTGTGACCTTCAATGTATCTGTGAGGATGCAAAGAATAACTTGTATAAATGTAGAGATAGGTAAATATCTTTTGAATATTACAGATTAATAATATCTGTCATATGTTGCGGTTCATATCAGAATATCCGTCCCAGGGGGACCCCGCCAATGGGGGGTAATGAGGCTAGCTGACTTTGTTGTGCATATTCTGCCATATTATTTCATATTTAAAATAGTTTACCTCAATAAGATATTTGTTCATGGAAAATAATATCATTTCATCCATAACTATTTTCTTACAATAGTGTATGAATTTACAACTTTAATAACAATGGCGAAGTGACGTCATCCTAAGCACATTGTTCCCGTCTAAAATGACATCATTTTAACACGGTTCATTCATAAAAAGTGCTAAAATGACGTTGTTGTTTGGCACGAAACTCATCTTGCACCCCCCATGTCAGATGAAATTCCCAGCATGGGTAAAACTCATGGAATAATAATATCTGTCATATTTTACGGTTCGGATCGAAATATCCGTCGCAAGGTGACTCGCCCATGGGCGGGTGACTGAGGGACGGATATTCCGATCCGAACCGCAAACATATGTCAGATATTTTTTCTTGCATATTCTACCATATTCCATTATATTTTAAATTCTTTATCTTTATTTTCAATGGAAATTTATATCATTATAACCGTAACTTAACTTTCTTACAACAGCGTATGAATTACAACTTCATTCATAACGGTAAAATGATGTCATCCTAATTTCCGGCATGGGTAAAACTCACGGAAACGCCAGTCTGATATGCAAGAAACGCCTGAGTCAGCTATACAAGAAATGTCTTTCTTGATTTACTCAGGTGCCTGTTTGTGCCTGAAATAAGGCACGGAAGAGCACCTTAGGTCTTCCTTTACCAGTAACAAACTGGAAAGTTGCCATATGACCTATACTGTGTTGGTGCTATGTAAAGCCCAAGCAAAAATAATTGTATATTTGAAATTATTTATCATTTTATACTTGTTTCAGATGTAATACATATGATGTGCCACCAGGCTGTATATTGATGACTGATCCGCAAGATGTCTGCTGCAAGGTTCCCAACTGTAATATACCTTCTCCTCCCACAACAGGTTAATATGTTTAATTCAAAGTGATTATATAACCTTTAATTGCCATCAATATAGAGCCGGGGCCCTTTTATGTTGGCAGCTTAATTATTTATTTTTTTTTATTGAAATCCTTTAACTTTTGAATGGAAAGTTCAAAATTTATAACTACATTTTTGTATGTAAATTGATTTAGCAAATTCAGCAGAATAAGTTAAGTGGTTGAGTTTAAGTGTTACTTCCTTATATAATACTGATGGGCATTTATCTTGAAATTATTTCACTGTTTTCACATTGATGTGACAAAGTCATTATTTGATTATTGAAATTTATCAATTTTTATTTTGGAAATGTAAAGATTAAAAATATTTCAGTACCCACTTATCAATGGCCAACACCACCAAAATCTGGTACTGGGCCAACACCACCAACATCTGGTACAGGACCAACACCACCAAAATCTGGCACTGGGCCAACACCACCAAAATCTGGTACTGGGCCAACACCACCAAAATCTGGTACAGGGCCAACACCACCAACATCTGGTACAGGACCAACCCCACCAAAATCTGGAACAGGACCAACACCTACATATACTGATTCCCTCACATCAACAACATTACAACCTCCATCACCAGTTCCTGTGACTGGAAAATTTGATGTTTACTCCTCATCAGGCAATAGAAGTAAGTATTCTCTTATTTACATTTGGGAACTTTTTAAGGTATCCACCATGTATAAAACTTATAGTACATTCATACATGTTAAAGGGAAGCCTCCATAACTGTAACAACTTAATTTATGCCACAAATCAAAATGGAAGTCCAAATTTAAATACAGTATGTAATTGTTTTCCTAAGGATATACTTATTCAGCCTAGATGTCCAGATCTAACTTATTCTTAAAATCAATCTGAAAAAAACAAACAAGTGGTATCAAGACTTTAGAAAGGCCAATATATATACAAATTCTGGAAAGGAGTAATTGCTCAATAGCAATGAAAGCAAAAGCAAGAAGTTGAAAAGCGCAGACTTGGTTTTATTTAGTCACCATGACCATTTATATACAGAGAATTATTAAATTGTTGCAAAAAATAAAACAAATAAGTGTAGGCATGAATAAACATGTGTGTTAACTGATTACAGGTGGATGTCTAGATCAAGGTGTAGTACATAAAGTTGGAGAGAGATGGCAACAGGGTTGTCAGTATAATTGTGTATGTTTAACTGACACAGGGAGGTACCAGTGTACAGACAGGTAAACAGCCCCTATTATATTTTGTGTCAGATATATTGTACAGTTGAACCTGTACTTGTGTTCACCACTTTTTTGTTGCCACCTGGTCTTTAGCAACCAATATGACAGCATCCCTTGGCTGGCTGCTTAAGATAGTATTGACTGTACATATATGCCATTAATATAGCACAAGTCTTTTGTATCTGTTTGTTCATTTAACCATAACAGACTTAAATATATATCCCTCTTTTAAATTGAAAGTACTGGCTGGTCTAGCGTTAAAATGAATTGGGGACATTGGATTGTTGAAATCAAACCACTTGCCCCTCACCATGACGGGGTCTTTGGATTCTTTCATTTGAGGAAGCTATTCAGCTAACTTACAGTAACTGAATGTTTGTGGTTCTACTCAGGTGCCCGTTTGTGCCTGAAGTAATGCATGGAAGGGCTTCTGAGATCTTCTTTCACCAGTAAAGCTGGAAAGTCGCCATGTTACCAATACTGTGTTGGTGGGAAGCGAAACCCAACCAAATAAAGCTTTATACTGGTGGCATAGACTAGTTATTTTTAATTTTATAACTGCTTGTATTTATAGGGATGAAATTAAATTGAGTTTAAACAGACTCCTGCTGAATTGGTATATATATACATACAATAGTAAATTATATGTATGTGCAACAAAATCTTTAATGATATCCGAATTTCATTCCTTTTAAATCTGTTAATCAAAAATATTGTTCAGAGATGAGTTTCACAGTTGTTGTATAATGCTGGTCTGTATTTTTTATATGACATGATTATATTCACAGGTGCCCTGTCTATACAAATCTGGCACCAAGCTGTAGATTGGAAATAGATCCTAAAGATTCATGCTGTAAGGTTGCTGTTTGTGTTACACAGTCTCCAACACCACCTAGATATATCTCCAGTCAGTCTCCTGTAACCCCAAATTACCATGGTTCAACACAAATTTACCATGGTTCAACACAAATTTACCAGGGTTCCACAATAAGCCAAGGACCAACACTAGTACCCAGCACCCAACGTCCACCAATGACACTACCAACTCAGAAAGGTAACATTCTCTTTTCTACATGTTCTATTGTTTCACTTTCTTAGAATCACCAGCCAGTAATATTTAGCCTGCTCAGGTGGCACCATATTCTACTCATGTGACTAGTGCATATCTGTGCTGTCTGATTATGGCATTGGTCTGCACTATTTGCTATTTGATTAGTAAATATTTTTGAAAATTACCGCAAAAAAAAATGATGAATGGTTAAGATAAACCAGTCTATTTAAGATATTTAGTGTGGTTGGATTAAAACAATTAGAATTTATGAAAATGTCCCACTAGACCCTGTATCATCACTTTACTTCAGTAATGGGTTAACTCCCTTTATATATTAACTAACTGAGGTGGCTTTTATAGATTAACCCACTAAGTCAACAATTTCTGCTGGCTGTTTTATGCATGCACAAGGATAAAGAAAACAATTAATATAACATTGAAAAGTTTCAAATTTATAACAATTAGCAAGTTCATTCTCACATAATTATTATAATAAGCAGGTAAAGTGTAGATTGAAGAATTCAGCCGTTTCCTTCCATGTTTTACTATAATACTATATTTATATGGAACGTACTGTGTCATATAACAGGTTGTGTTATGGATGGACATCATTATGTAGCAGGGCAAACATGGTACCGAGGTTGTAGTCAGCAATGTGTTTGTGAGGACGGTATAACTGGCTTATATAGATGTCATGATAGGTAAGAATCAGTGCACAGTTTTATTGATATTTTAATAGCAGTGATCTAATTATGTAAGGGCATAATTTATGGAAGTAAAAGAACATGTAGAAAATTAACCTTTGAACTTTAAGATATTAGCTAGCTTAAAACATTTTAAGTTGCACATTTCACTGGTAACATGGGGAAAATCTGTTGCTGCGATTCGGTGAGTGAGGCTTATGATGTAAATAATTGAAGCATGTGCAATACTTATAAATAAGAGTCACAAATCAACGAGAGAAAAGCATACTGTTAAAAACAGGAGCTACTGTCCTTATGTTTTAAGACAATAATGTCTTTATGTTCATGTTCATTGATAATTATTGTTTATGAAATATTTTCAATATTCAGTATTTAATGTACATGTTTTATTAATCACAGATGTGCAAAATATGACTCAGTACCAAACAATTGTACTCTGGTTCCTGACCCGAGTAATCCAGCTTGCTGCAAGGTACCACAGTGTATACCATTACCGGTTCCTGGCATGGTGACACCTACTGGACCCCCTTACACTATAACAGGGGTAACAGGGAAAATTTCAGGAAATCTGCCGTCTGCTTTTAATGGGAATAGAAGTGAGTGTTTCTGACTTACATTTTGCTAGAAGTAAGGGTCATTTTTAACAGATTTGTTTGCCCTTTCTTTTTAGAGTGAATTTTTACTACTTAAATGAAACATGAAAGAATCACTGAATTCTGGTGAGCATTGAAGGGTCATCTCTGCTCTTTTGCCATGTAGTTTTGTTTGATGTCATTTTTTAGACTATTTATCTATTTAATATAACCTTTATATCATTCCCTTAATTTATTTTTAACTCAACATTTGACACAGTTTGAATGTAGTATTTTCATTATATGTTAATTACATATTCATTTTTATTTTTTTTTGAATTTATGCAGGAACAATTTTCTTGACAAAGCATAGTTTAAATTGGCAATTGGTAACTGTTGATAAAACTTTGTGTGATATTATTTGAAGTGTCAAACATGTACATATGTAGTCATTTGCAACATGAATTTATTGATTATTTCTTGATACGTTAAGATCTCAAATACAATATGATTTTTTGCTTGGTATGTAGGTGTTTGTGTATACAAGGGTAGAATGTACACGCAGGGCCAGAAATGGCAGGACGATTGCCAATATAACTGTATGTGTACTGATGCCAAATCTGGCAAATACGAGTGCATTCAAAGGTAAGTCACTTGGTTTTCTCTTTGCTTTACAAACACCAATCAATTCTGATAACTTTGAAAAAGTTTTGTTTTCAGTGCTTTTTCATAACAATCACTTTCTCTTTTAAATTCTAATGAATTTTCATTATTTTCTCTTACAGACAATTCATATTGTTAACTTTCATCACTAATCACTGTAATTTCAGGTGTGCAAGCTTTCCCATTGTTCCACCACAGTGCAGTATGCAGAGAAATTTGTCAGATATTTGTTGCTTTAACCCTGTGTGTGACAACAATAAAAAACCAACACCATTCCCACCATTGGTGTCTCAGGCACCAAACACCACATCAGTTGTAGTACCTGTTCTTCCTCCTTGTAAGTGCATATTTGTAATCTTAACTTGGAGATTTTTTTTATGTATGTATGCATTCTAGGCTTAATATATGTCCAACAGTAGCTGAGCCTTTTAGACACAAAAAGTTGCTTTCACATTAACATCCCCCACACTCCCTGGCCATGTCAACAGAAATAGTTTGAGATATTTATACTAGTTGCAATAATTATACATATACCACTATTATAGAATCAGGTGAGACTGCAAAAATTATACTATTACTGTTTAGATTGGTAACTTCGATTTGATATTAAAATCTGGAGTCAGAAGAAGCACTAATCTATCATATATAATGTTGGATAAAGAAATTAAAGACAAAGTATGCCCACCTTTGAGACATGTTTGTATTTTCTTGAACATATGAATGGAAAACATGAAAGGAAAACTTTTTCTAGAAATCCTCTTATCTTAGAAAGACTGAGCATTGAATTCTTTTTCTTCTGAATAACTAAATCTTGTATAATCAGTCATAATCAAGAGAATTGTTAATGGATTTAACAATATTATATTTATCATTTTCATGACCAGTCAGTTATGAGTTTAGATATTTCCTGCAAAAATTTGTGAACATATAATTAGATAATCACATATTTCTTTCTTTTTGTATATGTAGCATTCTGTGTATATAAGGGTGTAGCCTACCAACAAGGGCAAACCTGGGACATTGGCTGCCAGAAGAAATGCAGATGTGATAATTCAGACAACAATATTTACACATGTTTTGACAGGTATGTTATAATAAACATAATCATTTTTATGAATAAAAATCTGAATGAAAGACAGCATCTAAAAGAATGAAAGACAGCATCTAAAAAATAAAGTGTTTTGTTAAGGCTACTCTGTTTAAGGTTTAATTAAAATAATTTCAGTATTTTAATGAAAAATAACCTGTTTACAAGTAAATTGTATATTGAGAACCTTTTTCTTTCACATTTGTGTTGGTATGGGAACAGTTATTAAGTTTCTTTTTCATTTTTCATTGTTTTTCATTTCAGATGTAAAACGTATAACAATCTAGGCCCAGATTGTGTAATGATTGCTGACCCAAAAGATGGCTGTTGTCAGATACCCAAATGTTTAAAGGTCCCAACACCAAAACCATCACAAGGGCCAATACCAAAACCATCACAAGGGCCAACACCATTGGGGTATACCGGCCCAACACCAGCAACAAGCCCTGCAACAACAATATGTTCAAATCCAATCCCAACTGCAGTACCTGGAGTAATAATGGGCAGCCCTCTGTTAGATCCAAGGACTGGCGCCCTGTCAGCTAATATTGGTATATTCATTATTTTCTTATCACATAAATGATTTAAGTGTGATATTGAGGTAAATCAGAAAGTCTGTTCACAAAATCTTGCATTTTAAAATTGTTAACATGGTTAAAGTTGAATTTTCCATTCTTAACAATATGAAAAGTATATCATTTTGCTGTTGTAATTAAGAGATATTAACAAAAATATGCCAAACTGATTTTTAGATTTGAAAGGTTATATTATTGTTATACTGGAGAGATAAAAGATTATTAGTTTGTTGCAACAGCCTATATACTGGCAACAACATTTAAATTGCCACATGGGATAATTCATATGGTTATTTCTTTCAAAGTGACCTAGTTTGTTAGTATATTAGTTTGTTGCAACAGCCTACAGGTTGTGACATACTGTCAATTTTCATTTTTTTTCATTTTAATTGCCACCTGAGATATCATATGGTATTTCTTCAAAAGTGATATTATAATTGAGCCGCGCCATGACAAAACCAACATAGTGGGTTTGCGACCAGCATGAATCCAGACCAGTCTGCGCATCCACGCAGTCTGATCAGGATCCATGCTGTTCGCTATCAGTTTCTCTACTTGTTATAGGGTTTGCAAGGGAACAGCATGGATCCTGATCAGACTGTGCGGATGCGCAGGCTGGTATGGATCCATACTGGTCGCAAACACACTATGTTGGTTTTGTCATGATGCAGCTCATATATTGGTTTGAATACTGTAGGCTACTGTGAGTATAAAGGCTCAAGATACACACAGGATGAGAGATGGGAAGACGGTTGTTCGTATGTCTGTACATGTATCGATGCTAACAGTGGACAATACCAATGTCAGGAAAAGTAAGAAATTATTTTTTCTACTTGATTTTCATTTCATCACAGAGAGTGCTGAATTTGTAACTTCGTACAATTATTTACAGCATAGTAATTCCTTAAATATATGCTACAAATAAGGAAAAAAATACAGGCTTATATTAGACTTAAATCTTAATTAGGAGACTGCTGGTTTTGTACCTTTCACTCAATTTTAGAGCAAGTCTGAGATCTTAGAATGCTAGCTATAAAAAGTATAGGCCTCTGCCATCAGTTTAGGCTTAGCAAATCTGTAGTTTGACTAGGCTTTATGCTGTGGTCTGTTTGTCTATGAAAAACCCTTTAAAATTGCAATGGACAATTCCCAATTCAAAGCACAGTAATTTCATTGCAAAAAATTTAGCTAGGAAAGAATTATGGTTTTATAGAAATAAATTGCATCTCTTCTCTTATTTCATACAAATTATATGTACAAATCAAATTTTAATTCATGCATACAACCTTTTTTAGTGTAGTAACAAATCTCAGTCAGGTTAATACAATGAAAACAGGTTAGCCACAGCCCCTCTATAGTCCTTAGGAGAATGGGAAAACCTTTGTTCGCATGCATAGTTATACACATTTATAAAATGTTTCAGTTAAAATGTTTAAAATTCATACCCATTAATTAATATTGATTTAATAGTCTCTCATAACACACAGATATACTATATGTATTTATGAAATTTTAAAAGAATGACATTATTACTAGATGCCCACGCTACGTAGATCCACCTTCCTACTGTAAAATGATACAGGACCCTGTGGACAAATGCTGCACAAAAATGTCTTGTAATGCCTGCCCACAGACACCTACCCCACAAACATACACACCAGGTAAATTTGAATGTCTTCTATTACATTTGTATAACTTGATATTTATAGATAAGACTTGTGAGCATTGGAAATTTAAATATAAAAAACAACAACAATTTATTCAATTGAAGATTCATGATCATAGTAATTGTTTGATCTTCATCATCCATTTTTTTCCTCTCACTTTGTTAATATGTAATTACATATGTATTACATTTTAGGTATTCATTTGTAAATGTATATGTCTCAGTAACTACACATGTAAAATTTGGCTGGTATTTTCTTTATCAGTCAAAAATGATCTTCTCCAAATATTTGATGATTGTTGATATAATGTATATAATTATGTTGATGTCATACACTGTTTGTTATTTGCATGGTTTGTGTCCTCATAGGCTTTTGGAATTTAAAATGTCTACTGTCTACTGTCTCAGTATTAAAGATATTGATATCTTTTAAATGAAGTCAAATAAAATAAGTGGCCGTCATCTGTGAGCCAGGACACTGAATAAATATTTAAATGGACAACAATTTTATATTTCAGTGTCTGGCCTTTATCCACCTTCCCCAACTCCACCTACTCAAGGCAAGTTTTTATATGTTTATTGCATGTTATCAGTTTACAAATCTCAAATCTTTAATCATTTAAAACATGAAACTGATTTCTGAACATGTTTAATGCTTTTGCAATATCTTTCTTATAAACATATAGCAAAGCAACCTGTATTATTGGACAGTAAGTCATAGCTGGTATAATTTACTCCCCAGTACATTTATTTATTTTAACAAACTGATGTTGTAAGATTCAGTATAATGAATATAATTACAGATATTTTGTAATGGATTGAAATATAGGCTTTTACTTTGGACAAGAAATAAAATGTATGATATGTGCTTATGCTCTTTTGAATTTTATTGTTTTGACTCATATGAATAACTGATAAAACAATGGGTTTTATTTTTCATTTCTCAATGCATTGATTAAATTATTTTTGTTCATATTGTTAGGTTTGTGTGTCATGAATGGTAAGACTTACAGTGAAGGCCAAAAGTGGTATGTTGGCTGTGACAAGATGTGTGTATGTGATGATGGGAAAACTGGCATTTACAGTTGCTATGATAGGTCAGTTTTCTATACTTTATTACTAGAAGATCATTATTTAATGTGAGTTTAAAGTCTGAGAAAGAGTGACCTAATGGTTGAAGTGTTTGTCTTTTTAACATGTCTTTTAAACATAGTGAGTGCAGGTTCAAGCCCTGCACTGGTCACACCCATGTTTCGTCATATGACACCAGTACTGGTGAGTTCTAGGGAATGGACTTGAGAAAGGTTCAAAAAGCTTGACGGCTTTACAATAATGAGCTTAGATAAATAATGTTGAAACTAATTGGAAAAATTTACAGTGAGGGTTCATAGTTTTTACATAATATATCATTATGAAAATATGATATATTACATCATTATTATATGATGTAAAAGTTAATTATACATGTACTGAAATTTGCACAAAAGTCTTTAAAAGAAAGATATTTGAAAAAGAAAGTGCTGTGTTCAGCCCTAAATTTATAGTTTTTTTCAATACCTTGAGCTGAAATAACTATTAGTTAATGTAATTTTTTTTTTATATTTCAGATGTCCAAGTTATCCACTGAAAGATGGCTGCATAATGGTACCCGACCTGAGAGACCCAGAATGCTGCCAGGTACCAAGCTGTCTTGGAGGAACAGTTATGCCTATTTATGGAAACACAACTGGATTTGGTATAGCCCCATCAACAACAGCTGCTCCAAGTTCTAGAATTCCTCCAAGTCCTGGTCTAATTCCAAGTTCAAGTGTACCACCAAGTCCTGGAATAGTGTCTGGTACCCCTGCTATCCAAGGTCCAAATACAATTTCCACTAAGAAGCCAGGATTCATTGTCACCTCAAGTGCTGCACCAGGTTTGTAAATAACAAATTAATGTTCTTATTTAGCTTCCTTATTTAGCTTCCTTATTCATAACTGTTAAACTATTTTAGTAATATTTTATAAGTTATATTAGCAAAACTTCCAGAAAATATGTTCTCAAATTAAAATCTTACAATCTATGATTTGCATGGCATCACCAATGAATTTAGGAGTATAATGTTCCAATAATAATATGTTGAAATTGTAATTTATTCTTAGCCAGAATAGCTGTTATAATTTTGAGATTTTGTCCTTTTTCATTTAAGAGTGTTTTTTATGCCCCCGCCATGTAATGGCCGGGGCATATAGTGTTACCCTGTTCCGTCATTCCGTCCTTCCGTCCTTCTGTCATTCCGTCATCTTCAGTTTCCGTTCATTATCTTAAGAACGGTTGCACACATTCAACTCAAATTTGACATATGGATATGTCATGACAAAATACAGGTCAAGTTCGAATTTGGTCATGGTTCGATGATTTTTGGCAGAGTTATGCCCCTTTTACTTTGAAAATAATATGAAATTTCAGTTTCCGTTCATTATCTTCCCAACGGTACAACACATTCAACTCAAACTTGACATATGGATATGTCATGAGAAAATACAGGTCAAGTTCGAATTTGGTCATGGTTCGATGATTTTTGGCAGAGTTATGCCCCTTTTACTTTGAAAATAATATGAAATTTTCAGTTTCCGTTCATTATCTCCCCAACGGTACAACACATTCAACTCAAACTTGACATATGGATATGTCATGAGAAAATACAGGTCAAGTTTGAATTTGGTGATGGTTCGATGATTTTTGGCAGAGTTATGCCCCTTTTACTTTGAAAATAATATGAAATTTTCAGTTTCCGTTCATTATCTCCCCAACGGTACAACACATTCAACTCAAACTTGACACATGGATGCGTCAAAGGAATGGGCAGGTCAACTTCAAATTTGGTCATGGTTCAATGATTTTTGGCAGAGTTATGCCCCTTTCACTTTGAAAGTAATATGAAATTTTCAGTTTCCGTTTATTATCTCCCCAATGGTACAACACATTCAACTAAAATTTGACATATGGATATGTTTTTGGAATGCCCAGGCCAAGTTCGAATTTGGTCATGATTCAATGATTTTTGGCAGAGTAATGCCCCTTTCACTTTGAAAGTAATATGAAATTTTCAGTTTCCGTTTATTATCTCCCCAATGGTACAACACATTCAACTCAAATTTGACATATGGATATGTTTTTGGAATGCCCAGGCCAAGTTCGAATTTGGTCATGGTTCAATGATTTTTGGCAAAGTAATGCCCCTTTCACTTTGAAAATAATATGAAATTTACAGTTTCTGTTCATTATCTACCCAACAGTGTTACATATTCAACTTAAATTTGACATATGGATATGTCAAAGGAATGGGCAGGTCAAGTTGGAATTTGGTCATGGTTTGATGATTTTTTTGCAGAGTTATGTCCCTTTCACTTTGAAAATAATATAGATACATCTTAGAATAAGCAGTTTAAGTTTGAATTTGGTTGTGGTTCAATGATTTTAGACAAACTTATCTTTCCTGAATGTTGGAAAAATTTTGAACTTTCAGTTTCAGCACTCATACTTTTAGCCATTATTTTGGCTACAAATATGCAATATGCTATTTTTAAAAGGTTAAGACTGAATAATTTCAGTGCCTTGAACATTGTATGAAAATGGTTTGTGTTAACATTGAAAAGTTTTAAGGGCTTTGAACTTAAAATGAAAAAAATAATTAATGCACCATCTGAAATTTTGGCTGCATGCGGGGGCATCCGTGGCATGATGACACATTTCTAGTTTTTTTATCTTTTTTCTTTGATAATGTAATAGCACACACCATGTCAAGTCTGCACTTTAATGCAGTTTGGAAATACTCTTTTTGTGTTGGTTGCTTACTCTAATTAGTTCCAAATTCAAAAGTATTTTAAAAGTCTTTTATGACTATGAGTGAAAATAAAGATAACTCTTATATCATTATGTATTTTAATCTAGCTCTGGAGGTATGTGTTTACAAGGGTAACATGTACAGTCAAGGTCAAAGGTGGCAAGATGGCTGCCAGTTTGAGTGTTACTGTGACGATGCAAAGACTGGACATTTTCAGTGTACTGATAGGTCTGTTTGATTTTTTATTTTCATTTTGATAACATTGTTAAAATAGTTTTAAATTATTATAGTACAGTAAAAGTGTGTATTTGTGGCAAAAATGATTAAGAGTAATGGAATGGGTTAAAAAATAAAGGTCATCTTTTAACTTGCTTCGCATAAGTTACTCCATTGTGCTATGAAACCTGCTAAGAAATATTGCAAAAATGACAATTGAATATAACATATAACAGAAAGAGAATAAAGTAAGACTGTCAGGTTAGTGTGAATCTATTATATATGCATGATACTATACCATTTAATATTCAAGAATGCAATAGTAGTTTGATAACTGTTCCATTGAGATCACCAGACCAGTAAGCATTTAAGCGGGGTCTGATCTAGCTCTGTATTGTTGCCTATCGGCTGCTCATCTTATCTACTTTGTTACTGACCAGGGTCTTTCAAAATTCTATTTGAAAGACCATGAACTAACATTCTCTATATTAAAGTATTTTTATTAATTGTATGTTCATATCAGATGTCCCAGATATCCAAATCTACCTGCTACTTGCGAATTGAAACATGACCCAAATGACCCCTGCTGCCAGAAACCAGTTTGTCCTACAATTCCAACACCTGGTACCATTGGCCCCAATGGCCAGACACCTACAGTAGGCCCATACCCACAACCTGCCAAAGAGTTCTGTGTTTACCAGGGTGTTCCACTAAGACAAGATCAGACGTTTAACCAAGGATGTGATAAAGTATGCAAATGTGAGGATGCAAAAATGGGAATGATTACATGCACAGACAGGTATTTTTTGTGCAATTTCTTTTGTGTTTAATTAAGAGTCTATGACTGTGCAGTTCCAAGTAAATGTACTATAAAGGAGAGCATCAAATTTGTAATCCATTGCTTGTTCAATAATCAGGCAAGATAAAAAAATGTCTATGACAATTGATTTTGGACATTGGGAGTCTAATGGTCATTTGTCTCTTACTGCTTATTCCGAAATCATGTAGGACTATAGTTTGTCACTTGCGGAGATACTGTTAATTTAAAAGTTATCCATAAAAGTTGGTTTGTTGGACCTACCACTGAGGTATGACCAAAAATGTGTTAAAATTGATGTAAAAAAAACAACCAAACAAAATTTTAATGCAATAATGTAATTTTCTATTATCATTTTATGTATTCTATGAATTCTTGGCAAGTGTTTCTCTATGCCTTCTTTGTACACATGTACAATGGTCAATGGCACAATTGTAGATGTTTCTTATGTAAAGAGTGGTCAATCCACCTTTGTCCTAGTAGATGCAACAAACTTTATCTTAAAATGATGTGGGATCGTCAATCCCGAATCCTGACTTGGACTTTTGATTCTTTCATGTGAGGAAGCTATCCAGCTAGCTTACAGAATGTCGGTGGTTCTACTCAGGTGCCCGTTCGTGCCTGAAGTAATGCACGGAAGGGCACCTGAGGTCTTCCTCCACCAGTAAAGCTGGAACATCGCCATATGACCTATAATGTGTCGGTGTGACATAAAACTCAATAAAACAAACTTTATCTTAAAATGATGTAACAATATCATTATACAGCCATGCATGATCTTATTTATGTATGAAACATAAAAAAGAAAATGATTTCAACATTTTCAAATCATTGATAATGAAGATTTAATGTACTTTAAGAATTTTCTGATATTATACAAGGGATGATGTCAAGCCTAAAGCTTTATGTAAAAAATTCAAATGATTGTTACAACTACCGGTATAATACATTTTTTTAATTCTTTAATAAATTTGAAACAGTTAATGGATAAGCATGGTTTTAGTTTTTTAGCCACCATTTGTAAGCTTGCTGGTTTGAAATATTTCTGAATTGCACCGGTCATCTATGTTATTGAATTTAAATTCATGTCTTATCTTCAGGTGCCCAACATTCCCTGCTCTGACCCCCAACTGTTCCCTAGTAACAGATCCTAGTGACGAATGTTGTCAGGTACCATTGTGTGTAAACAAAGAGAACAGTTCAACTAACATCAGTGGAGTACCAGGCTATGTTTATGGTCTTAGTTTACCAGTCAAAAATCAATTTGGTGGTGTTAGAAGTAAGTCAAAACTTTATGTTTTAAGCAAAAACAAACTCAAATTAACCATTATGCTTTTATTGTAAACCCCAGTGAAAATGTCTCAAAATTAAATCTCAGTGAATTTCACCAAATTTCAGTAAGATTTCACCAAAATACATAGAATTTATCAAAATGATAGAATTTTGGTGAAATTTAAATGAAATTATAATGGGTTTCGGTGTAATTTCAGTGAAATTTTAATGAAATGTCACTGAATTTTGGTGCAATTCATTTATCATAAGTCTTTTTAACTAGGTTTTAATGTAAAGCCATTTAAAAGATAAAAATTTGGGGGTGATTGTTTTTAAAGAATTTATTTTAAAGACATTCGATTTAAAGTAAATTTCTTTTTTGTTACTGTTTTCTTTTAATACTGTTTATTTCAACCCTGTATTAATGACACATCGCTATTAAATTAACATTGTCCAAGTATTTTTGTACTGGGTGGCAATTCGTATTTTTGATCCAGTTCAACAAAAATGAAATGTTTATGGGAAATTTGTTTTCTTCTCACAAAATGTTGCTAAAAGATGAAACTCTATACAGACATAGCAGGAATGAAGAGCTAAGTCAGATGTCACTTTTCTGTCGTTTGACTATACTGTCTACTGCATAAAAAACTTTAGCATTACTTTTAATATTAATTTTAATACCTTAACCCTTTAATAAAATAAAAGATTCAGATTAAAAACAGAACAATTCTATTACACAGAATCAGTAGGGTTAAGGTAATGGTTCTTTAATCTGTACAAGCTTAATCTTTAAATAAGCTACTGCTCAGACTTTGGTTTCCAATTCTTGATAACATCCAGCTGGAAATTAACTTTAAAAACATTCTCAAACAAGGAAACCTTTTCCATTAAAAGAGTTATGTGTATACCTATATTATCATTCTTTTGAGCATGACATCTAACTTCTACCTACAGATGGATGTGTATACAATGGTAAAGTGTACAGTGAAGGACAGACCTGGGATGATGGCTGCTCATATACATGTGAATGTTTAGATATGTCAACTGGGCAATACAGATGTACTCAAATGTAAGTCAACCATTAGTTACCCTTGTTACTACACTGGCATACTATATATTGATTGATATCATTATGTTCATTCTTGTATTCACACAGTCATGTCCTTATTGTGTTCATTCCTGTACAGATGGCCTTATTATTTTCATTCCTGTGTTTACAAATGACCTCATTATGTGCATCCCTCTTTTTACAAATGTCCTCCTTATATTCTTTCCCGTATTTACAGATGTCTTCATTATGTTCATTCTTGTATTCACAGATGTCCTCATAATGTTAATTCTTGTATTTACATATGTCCTCATTATGTTCATTCTTGTAATTACAGATGTCCTCATTTATCCTGTATTTACAGATGTCCTCATTATGTTCATTCCTGTACTTACAAATGTCCTCATAATGTTAATTCCTATATGTGTAGATGTCCTCATTATGTTCATCGTCCTGTGTTTACAGATGTCCTCATTATGTTCATTCTTGTATTCACAGATGTCCTCATTATCCAGCATTGCCATCAAACTGTGGTTTAAGCCAAGATCCTAGCAACAAGTGCTGTCAGAAACCTTACTGCCGACAGGGACTTACACCTACTATCAGCCCATCAGTGTCAACAAATACTTCAGTAGTGCCACATTATAGTAAGAATAATTTCTTTGTATCAGTATTATATGTAGTGATTAGCAACAAACTCATACATATTTTGAATTTTTGTAAAGAGGTCACCTGAAATCATGTTTTATAAATATTTATAATTTTGTAACAGAATGATGCAAATACATTAAAAATAAATCCTGCTCTGTGAAGCATTCAAACTCTTTTAAATGCCCACAATTGGCAAATGTCAAGAATGTGCCTAAACAGCATGCACAATCATTATTTGTGCAGTAAAAGTATTCATTACAAGGAAATTATAATTATTTTCAGATGAATGTGTATACAAGGGAAGTACGTATCAGAAAGGACAAGCATGGTATGATGGTTGTAACTTGAAGTGTCAATGTGATGATGCTGTTAACAACTTATACACATGTAGACAAAGGTAAACAAAATTTTATTTTCAGTCCGGTTTTAATACAAATAACTAAGGTTACTAGATTGGTGAATGGTAGGTGACTTGACATAGGCAATTTATTATATTGACAACTAACTTCTCCAGCATTTCTCTAGGAATTTCTACCAAACATTATTCAGAATGATGGCTATCAAGTTCCTGGTTTTGTGATGATTTTCTGTCACTTGTTTCTTTATTATGCTGAAATCTTCTGTTTGTTATGCTTTAATCTTATACCTATACAAGACTTCCTGGAATTAATAATTTAATATTATTGTTCCATTGTTGTTTTTTTTGTGTTGCTTCTAGTATATGTCATTATATTAGCAAAAGGAAAAAGAGGCATTTGCTGAGATGATGTCTACTTAGATATGCTTCGCATCAATTTAAAAATCCAGGTAATCTTAGTTCTATGTTTTTTTAAAAAAAAAAGAAATCTGTATTTTTAATAGGTATGTGGTTCATTTTTGGAACTTTTCAGATGTGCTGTTTATGAAAATATCCCACAAGGCTGTGTACTGGTTCCAGACATGAAAGATCCATCTTGCTGCCAGGTACCAAGCTGTCCAATACCTCCAAAACCAACCATTGGTATAATTGCTGTTCCACAACCTATAGGTAGCATTACAGGTAAAAAAATGATAATCTGTTTTCCTAAAATTATTAAAGAATACCTGATTTTTTTAAAAGGAAGATGGGGTGGATGACTTTGGGATGGAGGCTGTGGTCACATCTGTTTTGTCATTAAAGTTTGTTTGTATTTCTATTGACAAAACAATGTTCATAATTGTTTCCAGTTATGATAAGAAAAGCATGAGAATATCTTAACTTTTAGAATATAAAATATATCATGGAAGATTCCCATTAGTGAATGTTACTAAATCTTGAAGAAGAAAGATTAATGATAATGTACCATATACACGTATTTCAGGTACCCGACCAACTTCGTCATTAGGAACAAGCACTGGATCAAATAAAGCAGGTATGTATAATAATAGATTTTTAGACTTTTATCAGTAATATCATTTTCTTTTAAATAACATACGATGGTTCTGAATCAAATTTTTATCAAACTTGTATGTTATCAGCTCTATACATTCATTGCAGGGTGTATTTTGTAATTTGACAGCCTGATTTATTAGTTGATAAAGTTCATTCATTTGTTTGGAAATTTAAAAAAAAAGGTTGGCATAAATACTCAGCCTGGTAATGTAATGTGGGGTCATTTAACCCATGTTTAGAGGTGCAAGGTAACAATTGAATACCATAAAAAAATAAATTGAGCCGTGTCATTACAAAACCAACATAGTGCGTTTGCGACAAGCATGGATCCAGACCAGCCTGCGCATCCGCGCAGTCTGATCAGTATCCATGCTGTTCGCTATCAGTTTCTCTACTTGCTATAGAGTTTGTAAGCGAACAGCATGGATCCTGATCAGACTGCGCGGATGCGCAGGCTGGTCTGGATCCATGCTGGTCGCAAACCCATTATGTTGGTTTTGTCCTGACGCGGCTCAATTTAATTTTGAAATTCAGATATCATTTTGTTTGGTATTTTTAGTTTATGTTTTTTTATGTAAGATTTGCCATTTAATTAAAGCACCAGCGCTTATAATGAGTTTATCATTCTTATATTAGGATGTGTATATAGGGGAACACTGGTGTACGAGGGACAAAAATTTGATGACGGTTGTGATTACACATGTGAATGTCTCGACAATGTCACTGGAAAATATAAATGTGATAAAAGGTATGAATAATGAACTGATGATTCAGTGGACTGTCTTTAACATTAAACTATTTAATGCCTTAATGTTCTGCTACAGATACTGATTTTGATTTAACCAGTAAACTGGTTTGGAAAAAATCTTCTTGATTTTTAGTAATTTTTTTAGAAATATACATGTAATTGGCATTTTTACCTTTGTTGTCAGAAAAATGCCTATATTTGTTCTCTATTTTATAAAAATAATCACTGTAATTATGTCAATCAAAGATTATGTAAATCTAAAGCTTTGTGCTAAAAAGTTGGAAATAATTTATTAATAAGTTTAAAGAGTCAGTAAAGTTCCGTATCAAGTCTATTTAGTTTGATTCATTATAATAAAATGTCATTTATTTCTTTCTTTTTTACAGATGTCCAGAGTTTACATCTCTACCTAGAGAATGTATTCTGGTACAAGACCCCAAGCAACCTTGCTGCCAGGTACCATACTGCGACTTTGTCAATCCAACGCCTTTCCCAACCGGTTACCCTACACCTCCATCTGTTGTGACACCAACACCACAACCTAATGTAATAACTGTAGCACCATACAAAATACCAACAATAAATAATGCAAGTAAACATGGTAAGCAATGGATATTACAGTATATTCAATTCATTTTGCATTGTTTGATTCTAACGTTGCCGTAAAAAGGAGATACTCCTATGTCCATTTCAGTTAATGTGAAATCTTTTATTTTTAGATCAATTTTACTTATGGCAGTCTTCACTTAAACTTATCTGTTAATTCATAAACTTTCTCCTTCTTACCAAGGAAAACTTTGTTATGTTCTTTTTAATTATGATTTAGTATTTTGTGTAAGTTTTCCATTGTGCCAATGGTGTCCAATGATATTATCTGAGGTAATTAACATCCAAATTCTATATATTTGAGGTTATGTTGTGTACATAAATGTGAGTATTATGTTTCAGGTTACTGTGTTTACAAGAGTGTGTACTACTCACAAGGACAGACATGGTATGACGGATGTGATATGAGATGTACATGTGAAAATGTCACCACTGGTTACTATACTTGCTCTCAAAGGTATACATATATACATATATAACCACAGCAACTGAATAACTGTGGGGTATATCAAGTAATGCCAATTAATGTGCTTTTCATATCTATCACTAATATTAATAATTAAAATAATTTATCGAGAAAACATCTAGACCTATACATTTTTATTACATGCTTTTCGATGGTTTATAGAAATATATCAGTGATATAAAACTGGTAATTTCACTGCTTGAAACAGTGAAATTACCACTTTGATAATCTCACTGTTTTGAATTTAAGCCCCTTATGTTGTTTCAGTGAAATACCAGCGTGCACGGTACTGGGTACCAACTTAATGACGTGACGTCGTAAATGACGTCACGTTGTATCATCATTTGGCGCGATTTTCATTCAGTATTAGGTTTAATGTGTTTTTAAAACGTTTCTTTGCATGTAATAAAAAGAAAATTTGTTTAGTTTAGTGTAAGATCGAAATATATTTCACCTTGTGAACACCAAAAGTTCATATTTCACTCGTGGCTGCGCCACTCGTGAAATATACCTTTTGGTAGTCACTCGGTGAAATATATTCCAATCTTACACTGAACTAAACAAATATCCTCTATGTATTATTATACTTCAACAATTAATAATGTGCTTAAGTTTTAATGGATTTATCATCACAAGTGTACTTTGTCAAAGCAAAAAGTATGTTTAATTTCCACTTTCAGGCTCATAATTCATGGTTTTTGCATGTGGTTAAGAAGAAAAAAATATTTTTGCTTATTTTGTGTCTTAAAAGAAAGAAAATCTACCAAGTTTTTTTTGGAGAGGCTACTTATGACAGAGGCATTGTTCTTTTTTTATTTCTATGATTTTTTGTTTGTTTCCCTTTGTTACATGAAAGCAATTTTCATCAAAACTCTTTCTTATATTGTACAGGTGTCCATCATTCCCGCCATCGTCTTGTCCATGGCGAGCTGATCCCTCTGATTCATGCTGTTTGATACCAGACTGTAATGTTGGTAAAATACCTGCCACAGTCTACCCACCCAGACATGACCAGTCTACGATGAACCCAATTTTCAAACCAATTCCTGTTACAGGGGGTTACTTTATTGGTGGAGGACTTGTACCCTATCAGACTGGTTCAAGCTTTACAGGATCAACAGGTACTTTTAAAAAATAAAATGTACAAAACTTATATAATGTACTATTAGGGAAAATATAATTATGTTATTAGATAATTAGATAATTGAAAAATGTTTCCCGCTCTTTGAACCAAGTTTAGAGATGAACTAAGGTAAATGTGGAAGAAATTGTAAGTGACTTTAATTCCAATATTTTATAGTTCAGATTTCTGCCAGTATTCAGTTTCAAGGCAGTTTGGAAATTATTTTGAAATTTTCATTTTTTTTAGTGTTACAAATTTTTTTTTTGTATTCACCAATGTATGAAGACAGTCTGGGAATACTCAATTTGCCTATTTCTTTTGTTACACCACCAATTACATGATGACTTCTTAAATTAGAAGACCAAAGTGTGGACTTTAATGTGTGCCATTTGATCTTTTTGTCTCACCACATGAAAATCTACAGATTTGATTATCCATAGTTCAGTCATCATAGAAACCTAAAAGCTGAGCTTATTTATTTTCATGTATATTTTCATTTAAATATTTCAGCTGCATGTGTTTACAATGGTCATGTGTACAAACAAGGGGACACATGGACAGATGGTTGTAAATATAATTGTGAATGCATCGATGTTTCCCGTGGACAATACAAATGTACAGAAAGGTATCAATAATGATATAATATATTGTTTGATGTAGCTTGCCTCCAGATTCATGATTAATTTGTTAAGGAAACTAAAAAAAGATTGTCTAAATCAATAAGTGAAGCTTTTGTCAAGTGGACAAATACAAGTGATTTAAGCTAGTTAAGAGCCTTTCAAGCCATGGTCTACATTGGTTCATCATTTTAGCCTTTAGGAATTAGAGAATTATAGAATATCCAAGGTACAATGGTGTGTTGAATTTTACAATATCTAGGCAGCAATAAAAAAAAAAGACCAATTGATGTATTGTTCAGGTAAATATCAAATAAACAGATACAATGCATAAAATTACAGGGAGTTTCAAATCTTACTTTTATGCACGATATACCTTTTGTCTTTAGTCTCATATAGGCAGTTAAAATTTAATTTTTTGTTTTCTAAAGGTGTGCAAGATACCCCAGTTTACCTGCTCAGTGCTTCTATAAGCCATCCAGCAATGATGTCTGTTGTCAGGAAGCAGAGTGTCATGTGTATGGATCTACAACTGTCACACCCTCAACTGTCTCAAAGCTGGTTACAGTTCAATCAACATCAAGTGTCTCGTCTACAATAAAACCTACCTCATGTAAGTTTTCTTTAGTCTAGAATAGTGTTGAAAATGATAGATTTTATGCTCTTTTGTTTATAATAATGTTCTTGTCTTAAAGGGACTCCACTGAGATATTTTGACATGGTAGGCCTGGAAATAATTTTTCAAGGTCAACATTCTTTTTTATGAAGATCTAGGATCAATAACAATTGTACAAAATTGCACATCATAATTATGCTCACTACATTTTTCCAAAATAATTATTCTAATTGTGAAAAAGGACCAAAAACTGTGTTGCAATGTTTTTCACTCAAATCAGGCTAAGAATAGCACAACATACAATTTTCCATTTATTACTGAGTATATCTTTTAATAACATTTTTCATATTTTTCTGTTTTAAATGTCCCAGCTTATCTATGTAAGAACTTCAAATTATTTTTTTTTTTAAGCTTAACCTCAGTGAAGGTCCTTTACAATATTAACTTTATCATGACCATAATACTGTTGCTGAGTTTGCTAATTTGAAAAATATATCTGTCATTTTGAGAAATATCTTGTAGATTTATTGTATATTAATTTCAGATGAATGTATGTATGTAAATGGAAAGAGATATCCACAAGGGGCAGTATGGACAGACGGCTGCTCTGAATGTACATGTGAAAATGCACCGGCCAACTTTTACTCCTGTAACCAGAGGTAACTATAGCAACAAAGTTTGAATAAAAAACAAATTCGTAATGAGCAAACATATAACAGTTATTAGTCCCCTACCGGTTTACCGGAGGGGACTTTAGGTTTACCCTCCGTCCGTCTGTCCGTCTGTCTGTCCGTCCGTCTGTCTGTCAGTCCGTCAGTCCGTCCGTCCACAAACCTGGATCCCGCGATAACTTGAAAAGTACTGAAAATATTTTTATGAAACTTGATATATGGATAGATGGCACAAATTCATAATGAGCATTCATATAACAGTTATTAAATTTCGTTCGCATTCGTTGTTTTGTAACTTAAATGATAAAACAAATGTATAAACAATTCCAGTTGTTATTTCATGACATTATTATTATTAATCACCAGCCTGATTTTAAGATTAATGGAATGAGTGTTTTACCAATGATTGTCATTTAATGCATTAAAAGTCAGAATAATTCTGTAAAGAATGTTTGTAATAGTAATGTTTTATGTTCACACACTGAACCGATTTCACATTAATTTTATATTTATTTCCAGTTGTCCTATATATTCTGGTCTGCCAGCATTTTGCACACTTACTAGCAACCCAAATGATCAGTGTTGTCAGAGGCCCACTTGTTCACCAACTAATGGAATCACCCTCACCCCTCTGATTGGTAATGGCACATACCCTCCAAGCTCCCTCAGCGTGCTGCCACTTGGATCACATACAATGTTTACTGGATATAGTAGACCAACCAGTGGAGGCAGGAGTAAGTTTCTTTCTGTAAAAGTGCTTGTCTAATAAGTTGTCAGTATATTAGTTAAACTTTCAATAGACAATGACTATAGATTCAATGCCAGAATATATTTGAGCCAAGTCACGACAAAACCAACATAATGGGTTTGCGACCAGCATGGATCCAGACCAGCCTGCGCATCCACGCAGTCTGATCAGGATCCATGCTGTTCGCTATCAGTTTCTCTACTTGTAATAGAGTTGGTAAGGGAACAGCATTGATCCTGATCAGACTGCGCGGATGCGCAGCCTGGTCTGGATCCATGCTGGTCGCAAATGCACTATGTTGGTTTTGTTGTGACATGGCTCATTTGATACAGGACAGCTCAGTCTACTAAGATATAGCCATTAAAACCATATTTGTGTTCCATATCAATCACTACTGGTGTTTCAATGAATAAAATATATACAATGTACTATCTGGTTATTGCAGTAGACTATTACTTTAATAATAATGACTATAAGTCAGACAGATATTTCATGTGTACACATGTACATTTTGTATTTTGTTGATTTTGTTTAATTTGCCCCTACACCTGGTTTGATTCTCTTCCTAAGACTAAATTATATGATTGCTATAATTTAATTCAATGACCATTATGGCATTTTTCGAATGTTACAGACGCGTGTGTTTATAAGGGGACTGTGCACAATCAAGGTGAATCATGGGAAGATGGCTGTGATTTTGTCTGTGCATGTCAAGATGCCAGTACAGGAATGTACAAATGTGCTGACAAGTAAGTCTAGTATTATTAATTTATTATATCCGACAAGCAAAGAAAGCTTTATTTTCAATTCAATATAAACATTTTCTGTAGTCCTGGAGGAGTTGTTGTTCTTTTATAGAGAATAGGTGGGCGAACGATATTACTTATAAAATAATTATTATGTCAACATTTTAATATTAACAATGCACTTTGAAACAATTATATTCTTTAAAGAAGATGAAGTCTTAGGGCCAATAACGATATTGATAAGAAACAAGTGATTTAAAAGAGTAGATTAACAGTGCACCATCATATTAAAAAGGTCGCGAAAATTGGTTACGTCATATCAACTGTCTCAGGCTTAAATAATGATCCGAACATCCGGATGTATTCAGATGTCTGATCCGAATATCCGGATAGTAAATTTGGCTCCAGATGACATCCCTACTTTATATATAATTCTATTTTATGTCTCTGGTAGCATGATTGATTGATTAATCATGACTGTGTTTTTGCCTGTTTTGCAACTCTATTTTGATTGATTCCTTTGCTTAGTGTCTAGTCATGTTTCCAATTCATTTGCCTTTAAAAAAATCAACTTTTATAACATTTTATATACTAATAACATATAAGGAGTAGTATCACACACCCAGTTAGTGGTGAATATTTGGGACATTTAACTGTAAATTTGTTGTTAAGAATGGAGGGATAAAGTAATTATATACCGTATAAGTGGTTTTTTCTGCGGGCTCCAAATTCTGCGGTTTTTCCAAATTTTGGCATGTTTTTATTTCTGCGGCCTTTATTTCTGCGGCACATTCTTTGGACAAAACGTGATTTAATTTCTGCGACTTTCCTTATCTAAGTAACATTTCTCTAGTTTATTTTCATGTACGCATTCGCATTTGTTTGTCGTCGTCACCAAAAAACTGTACAGTAATTACAAACAATTATAATGTTTGCTTGCAAACAAATATAATGCGCAACAAAAGAAAGGTATGCATCTTTTGATCAGCGTGAAATGACGTGTGAAAAATATACATACCCCTGTAGTATCTTCAATTTAATATCGTAAAGCAGATGCCAATTAAAGTATTCGACGATTATCTAGCAGTATAAGGGTTGAAATGGTTTGAATGATTTAGTGATAAACAAACATTTAGCGTATCGGCAAACAATATAAATTACATGCTGTTTAAATATTTTTATTCTTAAGTTAAAATAATTAACAATAAGTACATCCTTACAAACAAACACTTACATACTTAGCAGACTTAGCAGACAACAGTTTTATTCAACTTGAAAACCCGCTAACCGTTATAATCCGTTAGTCGTTATTACTTTTAAGGTTTATATGAAACAGGTCATAATGCAGTGCACATATAGTACCAGGTTAAAAAAAACAAAAACATGGAAAATATTCTGCGGTTTTTATTTCTGCGGTGCTGAAGCTGACCGCAGAAAACGCAGAAATAAAGTCACCGCAGAAAAAACCACTTATACGGTATTACCGGTATGTGTCTATAAGCCAGGATTGCTGTCAAACAAGTTTTGTCATAACATTACTCTTTGCTAGAACTTATAATATTCTAGAATGCAGTATAACTTATGGCACATATTTTATGATTTTCATTTAGTTAGAAAAATATTGTTACATTGTACAAATGTATTTATAAATATGCTCTTGAGGAATTATTATATCATTTTCACACTCGCCTATAACTTTTTAAGTTAAGTTAAGCTTAAAATTTTGTTTGTATTTTTAAACAGGTGTCCAAATTATCCTCAGCTACCAAGTTACTGCAAGTTAGTAGCTATACCAGGTAGATGCTGTTCAAGTATTGTTTGTGATATACCAGGATATGGGGTGTACCAACCTGTGATTCAACTGAATGGTTCTTCATGGTCCAACTATAGCAGCAAACCTGTCTTCTCTATCCCAAGCACCGGATTCTGTAAGACACATTATTTTCTATTATCTAAGATATCTTCATCACTGCTGTGATTAAGTCATATAAGATTAATTTAGGGTAAATTAAGCAAAGTAAAGTGCCAGCAAAATTGCTTTTGTGAAAGACATTTTATACTGTTTGACCACACAAGTATTACGGTAAATACATGTACAGTTAAACCTGTGATATAGACCACATCTGAATAAAATCACCCTGTCAATAAAGGCCGCTATTTGCCGACCCTTCATTGATTAAATAGAACAGAGTAACCTCCAAATAGAGACCATTTGTCTTTAAAAGCCATTTCCAGTCCTTCCCTTTGGATGAACTTTGTTTACAAGTTTGACTAGACATGTACACATACTGAAGTGTTATATGTGTTGATCACTTTCTTATAAGACAACAACTGTAACACTTTTTGCCAAAAAGCATTCTTTAGATTAAGTCTTCCATAACAATAGAAGTCAAATGAAATAAACTTTACCTGTTTATATAGTGCAATTTTCATTGTAACATTAATTTTACATCTGTATATTCAGTACAATTGTATGCTTACCTATGATTTTCATGGTAACCCCTTACAATGGTTTTCATTCTTAGATATTGAAATATTAAAAAAAGTATGATCCTTGAATTACATGAAAACACTGTAAATGCCATTTTCAGATTTTTTCTTATGAAAACATTTTATTTCAGTTGGAGGGTCCAGATATCCAGGTGGAGGTTATTATTTGGCGAATGCTACCAAACCCACTGTCCTAGTTGATCTTAGAGGTATTTATACAGTCATAGTCTGATATTTTAGCACTTATTTGATATTTGAAGAATATCTGGTCTCAATATTTCTTTATTGATCTCGGGTGTTGTTGGTTATCTAATATAGGTAGGTTTTTAAATGATATTAAAACTGAATACACTAGCCTTGGACGACTGTTACTTGACACCCAAAACATTTTTTCCAGCATAAGTTTTGTACACTATGATTCTACTAGTTCTAACATTGGAATCTTCTGTGACAGACATTTGCAGATTATATAATCTGTAAATGTAGATAAAATTTGCTATGTTTGTTTGCATATTAGTAACAACTCAGGAGACTGAGATGTAACAGAAATTAAGTTAAATGAGGCGCATCACGACAAAACCAACATAGTGGGTTTGCGACCAGCGTGGATCCAGACCAGCCTGCGCCTCCGCGCAGTCTAATCAGGATCCATGCTGTTCGCTTACCAACTCTATTACAAGTAGAGAAACTGATAGCGAACAGCATGGATTCTGATCAGACTGTGCGGATTCGCAGACTGGTCTGGATCCATGCTGGTCGCAAACCCACTATGTTGGTTTTGTCGTGGCGCGGCTCAAATTAAGCAATAATTAGTAAAATCAATGACACCAAAGATTGAAATATTCAACTCATTATACAAATGAAATGTAGTTTTAGAAAACACAAAGCTTTTATTGCATAGAAAGATTCCAAATTGGTTAATTTCTATCATTAAGATGGACATAATTATGTATTTATTAATTTTTCATGTTCATTTAATTATATGTAAGTTTTTTTTGCAGATAAATGTATATACAAGAATCACTTGTATAACCAAGGTGAGGTGTGGAATATTGACTGTAGTTACAGGTGTGAATGTATGGACAGCACAACAGGATACTATGTCTGTAAACAACTGTAAGTATTACTTAAAGGAACATTAAGGTCGTTGACTTCAAATCACTTTCTCCTCACCGCTGTGGGTTCAAATCCCCACAGGGACTTTGGATTCTTTCATGTGAGGAAGCTATCCAGCTAGCTTACGGAACGTCGGTGGTTCTAATCAGGTGCCCGTTTGTGCCTGAAATAATACACAGAAGGGCACCTGAGGTCTTTCTTCACCAGTAAAACTGGAACGTCGCCACATGACCTATAATGTGTTGGTGTGATGTAAAACCCAATTAAACAAACAAACAAATAAAGGAACATTATGCCTCAGAAACAAAATATTTACTTCCATACAAAATACTACTTCATTTTAAGTGTTCTAAGTGCCAAAAGATGGCTCAGGTAGTTGGCCAATGTGTAACCTTTTGGATACTATAAAGTAAACCAAACTTAAACAGTTTTAAAAGGCATAATGGGCCTTAGAATTATCATTCTTGTTTTAGAATCTATATGAATTCCATATTTCACCAACTCATGTAAATTAAGTCAACTCTTGTTTGTTTTCTGTATCTGATATATTTTGAAGAATGTTGAGTCAACAACAAGACATTTAGAAGTTTCATATTTAAATTAACCCTTAACCTGCTGTATTCGTGTAATGGATTGGCCAACTGTTTAATTTAGACAGTCCATTCAAATAATTTAAATCATTTAATGGATTAAATAGTCAAAATACATGTACAAAAATATCCATTATTAGCTTTTTTCATATTTAGGAAAACACAACAACAACTTAAATATTTCCTATTTTTTTCATCAGTTGCCCAGTATACAGTCGCCTGCCGTCAAACATCTGCTACCTTGAAAAGAGAGACGGACAATGTTGTTCCGAACCAAAATGTCTTGACAAAGAGACAGGAGAGTATGTTAACCCATTCAACAGTACAAAAGAATTTCCCGTTGTCGGAACATATTCTGAAGGATTTTCTGCATTCAGACCGCTATCATTTCCAGGATATCATGAATTTACTGGCTCCAGCAGAGGTATATTGGAGTTTTGTTAACATCAGTTCTTGTATTAAAGCTTGGATTGAAACTGAGTCATCATAAGAATATTTTATTATTTCATTTATTTATGATGAAATTGTCACTTTAAATGCAGTCATATGAGATATTGAATAACACCCGAACAGCAGTCACAGCAATGATGATTTTTTTGTTCCTCCAGTAAAGAGTGGTGTAGTTGTTCAGGTGTCTGACCTCTTAACCCAGGGATCATTGGTTCAAGCCTTGCTTGGGTCATATATGCATGAAATCAGCGCAAACTAAAGGTTAAAATACAGTGTAGTAGTTGTCAGTATTAGATGGTAGTTATATGATTATACCCAACTTTAAAATGTTCTTTAAAAGATTATTTTCCACAGGATGCAGATGTTTAAAGAATTATAAAACTATAGAATGCTGCAATTGAAAATATGTAATCATTTTATCAAAACGAATTATTTCACCTGTAGCATTATATAAAAATTGAATGCTGGAATTGAAACTGCTTAACCATTTCAACTAGTAAAAGCTGGAATAGACTGTACAACATCCTATATGGACTAACATTTTGGCTGCCATATTAATTTCAACTTTTTCCATTGTATCAATAACCCTAAAATTGATAATGGATTGTTTTTATTGAACTTGAACATTCTTGGTCCAGTAAAACCCTTGTACAGTGTACAAAATGTTGTTATGTTTTTAGGTGGTTGCTATTATAAAGGAGTGCTGCACAATGAGGGTGAGAAATGGGAAGACAACTGTGACTTCACATGTACCTGTCAAAATCAAACGTCTGGTCTCTACGCCTGCACACCAAAGTAAATATTTTGAAAGATATCTTTGTTTGTGAAATAACTTGAGATTTAAATTGAAAACTAATGAGAAACATAGATGTTACAATTTGCCATGGCAACAAAACATATTATTTTGGTTCTAGCACCTGTGCACAGCCTATTTTAACCTACTGTTATTGTAAATATTAGTGGTGCACAAAATACACTGCTTTTATTTAGTACACTTGTAGTTTGCATTAGAAACCACATGTTTTTACCAGCCTTCGTTAAAGGAAGAATTTATTATAAAAACAGTGTTTATTTCAGAATTATATATTAATCTAAGAACAAAGAATAAACTTTAGATGTATTACTGGATTAGATGATTCAAGGTATTCCAGGTTTCTACCAGGCCATACTGTTAATTTGCATCACTATTGATAGTCTTGAAATAATGATTGTTATGACATTTTATTGTAAAATATATGAGTGATATTTCACTTTTAAATATATTTTACAAAATATTGATTTATAAAAATTAGTGCCATGTCTTCAAACAGTTTTTCCAACAGCATTACATTTTTTTTGCATTTGCATAACTTACTTATTCTCTTGTCTGAAGGTGTCCAACATACACCAATCTGCCACAAATGTGTAGACTAGAGTCAAACACCAGAAGTTGTTGTAAAGAAGTTGTTTGCGACCATCAGTTGCCTATTGGTCCCACACACGCTCCGGTTATCAACACAAAACCTCCAACACAGTGCCCTGGATTACACCCTTACTGCTATGACCGGTTAGACAATTGCAGAGCCTATGGGCCTAAGGCCTGTGGTAGTCCTTACGTTGCATGGGCAAAAAGGAACTGTCCATTTACATGCGGATTCTGTGATTGCTGTAAGTAGATTTAATTAATCCATACTGGCTCAATTTTGTTGTGACTTGTTTCATATTTGTGCATGTTTGATGGTTTACTGTGAGATTGTTTGTGTTTGCTGATAAAATTCTTCTTAGTATATATTCAAATAACAGATAATAATCATGCAAAGTACGTAACCCAGATATTAAAATACATGTAGGAAGCTCAATATAGTCATTGCATAAATGATTTCCAATCAATTATGTAATGTGCATTATGAATATTTATAAAAGGGACACTGAGCTAAATGAAAAATTGCTTTAGTCTAGCAAACCTTTGCTGATAGTTATAAATGAGCTTCTGCCCTTTACTACAGTAACTTTGAATCTTGCAAGGGAAATCAGAATCTATAATATCCAGAAACTTAACTTAGATGTTCCTTTGTACCTGGAATTGATTTGTCTTTGCTTGAATTTGGAACCTGAGTTCCAAATAAAAAGGATTTCAATATCAATACTAGTATACAAAAATTGAGTGACCAATAGTATAGAGCCTGGTCAGACTGCCCGGATGTGCACTGTCAAGCAAGCCTGTTTCTATACTGTTGGCAAAGGATTGAATCTTTATTTGCGTATTATTGCATTTCAGCTGAACATGGCAATTCACTACAAGTATGTGAGGATAAGCTGGAAGATTGTAAAGATTTCGGCAATACTTCGTGTACTGGTATATACGAAGCTTGGGCTAGAGATAACTGCAAGTTGTTCTGCGGATATTGTCCCGTTCAAACCACCAAAACCATGACAACATGTAAGTTGTGAATTCTGTGATATGATGTCATGTACATGTTTATTACATACTCAAAATGAGCTTATAACATAATGTACATAATGGTAAGCAAGTTTGTGAAAATCAGACCTTGAATAATTTGGTGAAACCTCAAACCTGAGTGTTTAACATTTTTGGACATGGTTCTATCTTTAAGTCAGTACATTGAATATTGTTGGATAATAAGATGACTGATATAGTGATATTTTGCAGAATGGATACAGAATAGTACTAAAAATGTGCATGTATTGTTACAATATTTAACCTTTTATCATCAATATGTTGTTTAATAGTATTTAATAATGCTTCTTGCCTGGCAAATTAGTCTTCTTGGACGTGGCATTCTTTTCCTTCCATAAATTAATTGATACAGTTGATATTAATTGTTCTCTAGAATATCTGAAATATTTTTGTTTGTTAATTCCTCGAAATTTTACATGCAATATTTTAAAAGTTAAGAAACCCAAAAACTTGTTCTTCTGTTAGATTGTGTTTTAACTGAAATTAAGTTATTTTTTTGCAGATTTATTTATTGAAGTTGCCCTTTTTGTGTAAATTTTCTTATTTGCCCCTGCTATGTTGTATGGATGGTAACAGATTCAACATATGTTATTTACTTATGAACACAGCTCATATGTCAAAGTCACATGCATAATATATTCATTGCATTATTAATATAACAAATAAAGGGAAGTAACACAATAACCAGTATGCAGTATTATTTAAAGAGTTATCTATTCTTGATATTGTTTTTCTCTATCCTGAGATGTATTCATCTGTTTCAGCTACACAAACAACCCCAGGTGGACCTGATTGTGTAGACAAGTTAAGCACATGTTCTTTACTTGATCCCAGCTATTATTGTCAAGGAGAGTATTTACAGTATGGCTATGATAATTGCCGTAAATCATGCAATCTCTGTGGAACCACTACCATGCCAACACCAACAAGAATAGTCTCAACACAAGGTATTCTATTTATAGAACTTTTTGAAGACTTTAAGAGGGAGGGACATACTTGATTTCATCTTCCGATGATGTAAAAGACATCCCCCGCTATAAATTTGGACTTGAAAATATGATTTTTTTTATTTAAATGATATAAACTGATATAAAGCTGTACATTATAAATGAAATATTATTATGATATTCATAAATGGTAAAATTATATGCTGTTTCCATAATCTTACAGGTGATTTTATTTTCAAAACACTTGAAACGGAGTACATAGAATGTCTCTGTTAGTCTTAACACACATGAATATTTTATGTAAAATAGAAAAGACTGTTCCAGAAGAAATATTATACTGTTATTTAAGTATTAAAGGTTGAAACTATTTAGCACTGATTTAAAGAAATATGTTTTGTATATTTCCTTAGGAGCAATTGCTACACTGTTAAACCTCTTCTAAAAATAGCAGTATGATGTTTTGTTTCAGAACATTTAATTCTGTTTACATTACAATGTTCATGTATAATTAATAAACAACCAAAAAGTCTGCTAAATATTGAAACGAGACATTCTTAAATTTGTTACAGTTCTTTTGAGAAACTGTACAATAATATTATGAAATTAACATGTATAAATTTTATAAAAATATTTCATTAGATATAGCTTTTAAAAGACCAGGATTATCTCTAATGTTCAAAATATGAGATCAATCAGAGACTTTGAAATTATAATTTTGTTTCTTTTTCAGGGGTTTCACTAACAAGGGCAACTATGTCACCAGCCAGTCAAAGTACAACAACTGTGAGACCATCTGAAGGTAGATAATAAGTGGTCTTTGGTTATTGTGTAAAAATAAAACACTATGATTTACATAATTATTTTGTTACATTCGCCACCACTTTTGGTATTTCAGTTCAAATAATTATCATTTTAACACAAAACCAACATAGTGTGTTTGCGACCAGCATGGATCCAGACCAGTCTGCGCATTCGCGCAGTCTGATCAGGATCCATGCTGTTTGCTATCAGTTTCTCTACTTGTTATAGGGTTTGTAAGCGAACAGCATGGATCCTGATCAGACTGCGGGGATGCGCTGGCTAGTCTGGATTCATGCTGGTCGCAAACACATTATGTTGGTTTTGTCATGGAGCGGCTCATTTATATAGCATGCTTGTAGATTATTCGAAAGTCTATCAAGTCTACTATCTACCAGCACTTACCTTGTGTCATATAAGGAATAGTTGTGAGCCCAGTATGGCTTAAAAACCCATGATTCCTAGGTGAAGATTTAGAAGAAGACACCTTTGCCACTAAAATGCCACTAAAACACCACAAACTACACTTAGGCATTACGACTCAGCTCTCCCCACATTTTATTTAAATCTCATTCTTTGAAGTTGCATTATTTAGACCAGTTTATACGGTTTACTGTATCATATAACTTTTAATAAAGACAAACAACATTCATTGCACACATTGTATTTTAAGGAAAATATAGCTAAAATTATATTATGATTGTTTTTAATACAATATATATTGGATGATTTGATATTGTCCAAATTCTGGTATAAATTCCTGTTGGAAAAGCATAAAAAAATGATTTGATACTGTAATAGATCATTGTCAGATATACAATGTATAAACTTCTTTGTATCATTTATTACCCCCAATTACCCAGCTAAAATCCTGAAATAGACCAATTATGGCTTTGCCTTTTAACCCTTTGCCTTCTAGAACTGAAAGTGATCAGCCTTTACCACTAATATAGAGCCAGGCCAGCATGCACACCATGTAGTCTGACCTGAGGCTCTAATACTGTTGGCCAACCAACTTCAAAATTTCATCTTGATATCTTCAAAATTGATAATGGATAATGTCAAAAATGGAAGCTTGAAATCGCCTAAATAAGCAGCATTTTAAAAATGCAACAGGTTAACGGTTAGATTATGTTAAAAATTAAATTAAAATATGTTAAAATATAGGACTTGGTCAGACTGCATTAAAGTGCTTGCTTTTCTGGCTCTATGCTGCTGGCAAAAGTCTTGTTTTAATCTCTAAGGCTTATTTTTTTTACATTGTATTTCAGCGTGCAACTATAATGGACACTTTTATTCAAAGGGAGAAACCTGGAACAGTGGCACAAAAACATGCACTTGTGAAGACGCCTCCATAGGATACTATAACTGTGTTGACAAACCAAGGTAAAGAAAATATATCACAATTATAAGGTGCAGTTACAAAACCATCTTATTCTATATAAAGATTTGCTTTTCTTTATTCTGCACAATACATAGTATAAAGTACTTAAACTTAAAACTATATAACATGTTGCTTTCTTTTTTTGTTGAACTACATGTAGGAATGTTGAATTGTGGAATAAGTAATTAATTTGATCATTTTTATGAAATGTATGATGAAATTGTTTCTTCATGCTTCTTAGAAATATTTGAAGTGTAAAAGTGGTTTTTTTTTTAACTTAATCTTTTTTTAAGAAAAAAGAAGTTCATGAATATAAATGAATCAAACATGTTTAAATAAGTTTACCTCTTTTGTAGAAAAACAAAGTTTTAATGCAAGTTTTATAATTATTTCTACAGATGTCCGGACTACCAGACCTCTGGTATCCCACCAGTATGTCATATTGTACAAGTGCAAGGTCAATGCCCTACAGTTCAGTGTCCGCCTGGAGTGACCATTAAACCACAAAATATTACAGTTACTGTTTCAGGTCAGTATAGAATATTTAAAAGAATATTATTCTTTATTAAATGCCCCTGGATTTATACATCTGGGGGCATAATAATTGTCTTTTTGTTTTTCTATCTCGAAAAACTTTAACTGTGAGCCCTTTCACATACAGCCTCCAAATGTCTCAGGTATATATACACCTTGATGAGCTCTTCCTGCCAGAGGTCAAAGGTTAAGATCACCACTGTTGTCATCATGCGTTCATTTGAATGTAGCACTTGTTCATTCTTGTGTATTTGGTAACAAATATTCTTTGGTAACAAATATTCAATAACTGATAACAGTTAATAAGGTGACTTGAATACTAGCTAAGCTTTATTTCAAATGCTACTTCAGGAATCATGTTGGGTAATAGTTAATGTATGTCACATGTGAGATATTGGGAAATACTATTAATTATCCAGCAAAGCAGTTATATAGACTTACTGCCATGAAGTGTGCTTAAAATTGTGTAAAATCCCAGAAAATCTAAAAAACAAACATTGTCATAGACTTACTGACTACAACACGCTATAAATTTGGAAGCAGCAAAGTGTGTTGAATTGGTAATACAGCATAGGCAAATCCACCAGAGCATGCAAAAGCATAATTATCTATATTAGATTGCTGTTATTATGCAATATTAATATTTTAAAACTTTACTTGAATTAGACTTCAACAAAAAGAACCAGTGGACAAAAGAAGCTGTCAAAGTTTATCTCTTAAACACTTAATTGCACAGATTTTATGGTTTTGAAAGGACTAATGAAAGTGTTGTTTTTGAGTGATTATAATAATAATATTTTATTCTTTATTTTTATAGGATTCTGTGAATACAAGGGTCAATATTACAGTCAAGATCAGACCTGGAATGATGGCTGTAGGCAGACTTGCACCTGTACAGATGCCTCAGTAGGATTGTCCATGTGTAGATCTCTGTAAGATATATTTTTTTAGCTTTGTTAGAATTTTTTTTATTATACTTACATGACTTGTACATTATAAATATTTCCATGAGCATGTCCTGATGAGTGTTTTCATTGTGGACTAGTCCATATGAAGTCTTTTGGGAGGGTATTTAGTTGGACTGACATAAAACTTTACCCGCCTGATTTTTGTAATAATCTTGCTCTGCTTTAATTGTGGTATTGTCCATTTTAAGTTTTTTGGGGAGGATATTTAGTTAAATATCCCAGAATTTGACTTATTTATATCTTCATTTGTGCATGTGTTACAATTTATTAGGAATGTGGAAGAGGAATCGTTATAACTTTTGGTTGTTTAAAATCTGAAACACCGTTTAAATGGAACAATACTCAAGTTAACAAATTTAAACATTATTTCTTGATTAAATGCTAGTTCTTTATTCTTGCAGCATCAACTTATAACAAAGAAATTCCATTGTTATTTCAGATGTTTGAATTTCAATAACCTACCAAGTATCTGCCACTTAGAGGACCCACCTCAAGGACTATGTTGTATGCAGCCTAGATGTCCACCAAATATATTTATACCCATCAAAGTTGCTTACAAAGACCAGTATCCGGGATATCAATATGAGTGAACTGATAAAATATTTGACTGACAATAAAAATAAAAAATAAAATAAGTGTTTTTTCTTTATTTTGTTACATATGTTTAATGAACCTTATTTTCATCATACCAAAAAAAAAATACATTGTAGATGAAATGCCCAAGTCCCAGGTTGTCCATCTGTCCATAATATAGCAAGTTCATGTATGCTTTATATCTTAAAGATAGTTAGAGGGAAATTGAAACTACTTGGCAGATTAATGTTAACTAAAATGAGACAATGTGCAAAGTTCATGTTTTGGCTTCCTCAAATTGAGCTTGGGATTCTTATTTACTAGTAAGTATATGACTTTGTACATATCAAAGGGAAATTATATTCTTTTTACAACTTCTTGTCAAACATGATATCTCATAAAGAACTGAACACATTTGCCAAGGAGATAGTAATTGGAGGTCTAAGGCCCATATTAGTCTTGTGGATTTGATTTCCATAGCTTATTGTGAACTTTAAAGTTCTTTCATCAATATCCAAGACTCCTACATTGTAACTATGTCATGTGCACAAAGGTGAGTTTTTACTATCACTCTATGTAAGCTGTGCATCGGTAATGGCATTGGACATTTTATAACAACATCATCAATAGGCTAATAGTGTTAAAACTTATCAGGAATGTTCCTCACTGACATGATCTCTAAAACTACAAGAACTAGAGCTTAGATATTTGGCATTTTACAGTCAAGAAGGGTTAAACACACAATTCCTTTGTGATTGGAGCATTATTTACCACTTATACACTTGTTACTTTATCTAGTAACAAAATTTTTATTTTTCAACTGATCATAAGTGTCATGTGAGACCAACCAAAAAAGAAAAATCAACCACAGCAACCATTGACTTTCCATAGCAATCAGTGACCTTCCTTGGTATCCAGTGACTTCAATAGCAACCACTGACTTCCAATCAGCAAGCACTGACTTTTCATGGCAAACATTTACTTTCCTAAGCAACAAGTGACTTTCCTTAGAAACCGTTGACTTTCCATATTAACCAATGACTTTCCATAGCAACCATGCATTGACTTTCCTAAGCAACCATTGACTCCATACCAACCAGTGATGACTATAGCAATCATTTACTTTCCATAGCAACCATTTGACTTTCCTAAGCAACCAGTGACTCCATACCAACCAGTGATGACTATAGCAACTATTAACTTTGATTAATAACCAGTGACTTCTATAGTAACCATTGACTTTTCATAAAACCATGGACTTTCCTTAGTAATTGTTTACATCCTAAGCAACCATTAACTTTTCTAGACTACCAATGTAGAAAGTAACCATTGACTTTCTCTGGCAACCATTGACTTTCCATATCAAACATTGTCTTTCATAGCAACCATTGAAATTCCATAGCAACCTGTGACTTTCATAGCAACTAATGACTTCCATAGCAACCACTGAATTCCCGTTTTTATCCCTCTTGGTCAAAATTGGCCCGCCAATGACAGGAGGCAGGTCATACAGTACATATTTCTTGTATATAATTAGTTAAAACTTTTTAAAAATATCCTCCTTCAAAGCTTATATATTTTGGCATGAAACATAATCCTGTGGACTCCACCAAGTTTGTTCAATTAAGTTTCAGCAACGAGGTCTAAATTTGCCCAATTCATTCACTTCCATAATATATAGCAACAATTGACTTTCCATAGAAACCATAAACTTTCGAACCAGTGACTTCTATATCAATCAATGGCATTTCTTAGCAACCATTGACAACTTTTGACTTTCCCTAGCAACCACTGAGTGAAAATAAATACATTAAATTAGTAATAGTTAACATCTAGGGTATATACATTATTAAAAACTTACTAAAAGATTTAAATTAACTTAATTAAAGAAGCACATAAAACAAAAACTGCATGGCAATACCTGTAGACACTATTCAGTAGGAACTGAACTGTATGAAGCATCAGTCTTTCTTTTTCAAAGGACAATAAACACACTAGTTTTACTTAACAACGTGTTGTTCGATTCCTACTTGAAAACAAATTGATAAGTCTGACCTTTCACATTTTTTACGAAATATGGTACGTTGACTGGATTTTAGCTAAATCCGCTCCACATCCTGTTTCAGTTTTGTTTACTTCCGGTTATAATTTGTTTCGTGAAATTTAGTGAATTTATCTGATTATGCCTGTGCAATTTAAGGTAAGAGGTTACATACGTTTGGATATCATTTTTAATGCAATATAAATACATTTGCGCCTTAAGCTTGGATTCTTTGGAGCATGAATTGAAAAATTCCTAGCCTGAAAGCGCGAGCGGCATAAACTTGGCTTGGTTTTCAATGCCATGTACAGTTAATTAGCAGTATCTCATGTTTTATAGAATTTGGTCTTTTATAAAGCTTCTATGTGGAAAGAAATTGCCTGTGTCATGGTTTAAGATGAAATTGCATTTCATAAATTTGACTGTAATCAAATGTCTGCAAAGTAAAGAAATTTAACATGTCACAACATGTTTTGTCACTAACTTTGTGACATAGAGAAAATGTAATCAAAGTTCAAGAGAGAGTTATTTAAGCAGGGATTTTTTAAGGATTTTGGGAACATGACCCATACCCATGGAATTGGGAATTTCAGCGGTGTTTTGTTAAAAATTGGGAAAAATGCATGACTGAAATTTAACAGTGATTAAATGGATGCAAACACAGGAACTTGAAATTCTATCAATATTAATGATAATATCCAAAATATACCCCCTATACAGTATAAATAAACACAAGGAATGAAACGCCTTTTCCCCACCCCAACATAATTTACGCCGAACAAATCAACAAAACAACGGATCAAAATAATCTATCGGGCCATTTCGATAAACAATACATAAATGCATCAAATACCACCGATAACTTTTTTTAATCGCGTAGCTATGTAGGGATTATTCAACATTTTCTGATTATTTCCCACGATCTGAGTTTGTCGCCGACTCCATTCCGTGATTTCACTTGATGTTGATTCGAGGAGAATAATATTTATTAAAATTATTTTTAACAAGTTCAGGGCTCTCAGTAGGGTCAGAATTTCACGAGTCAAAGACTCTTTGGCCAAAATTTTCATGAGTCAAATATTTTTTTTCTAGTGTCATTTGACTACATGAATCATTTTTATGTTACAAAAATTACTGTATTGGAGGTCATTTTGTGTTGATTCTCAAGTCTAAATTGATAATATTCAACATGTAAAAAATGCCTAGTTATAATGTATTTATACCCTCCCCCTCCAAAAAAAGACAACAAAAAAACTAAAGAAATAAAAAAAATGTATTGCATCTTTACTGTGAAAGAATAAAATAAGCAGCAGCTTTTATGATTAAATGTATAAAATATAAAAAAAATATCTTTACTGATATGCTATGTATCATATTAATTTTAAATACCAAAATGCACTAGGAATATTTAATGGAGAAAGAAATAACAAATGCACAGGTACTCCAAGTAAGTCAAAGACGTATTATAAACCTTTAAAAGCCACCTCAAGTATGTAATTCTTATCAGTTGTGTAAAGCTATTTTTAGCACTGTCAAATTATTGCATCCAATGATGTCGCGCTTCAGTGCACAGGCTATAAACAATGCTGTGTATTACACACGGTGACATTTTTTTGAGTGTGATTTGAACATATGTAGGATTTGATAGGTAATTAGGGATGGATTTAAGGTAATTATTATTGCATATATAGCTGAAAATCCCATGTGGCAAATTGACTCTTGTGCAGATTTTATCACGTGTCAAATTTGATCATTTCCTGATTTTCAGGAGTCAAAACCCGGATCCCCGTGTCAATCGAGAGCCCTGAAGTTCCAAAAAAATAACAAGTTTGCAAGTAAAATACTGTCAAACTAAAACAAATGACTAATTTCTTTCCTACGACATGGCTGAATTTATTTGCTGGACCATATTAAATAGAGTACTCAAATATTTTTTAAAACAAAAGTACTATTTCAAAGATTTACCGTTCTTGTTTGGGGTTGCCGTTTCAAATGTATTTATAAAAGTAATTCGTTAAAAAGGTTTTACATAAAGATGTTTAAATCTATTTACATAGAATAATTTATATAAAAGTTTGATACATACCTGTTATTTTTTTGGAACTTATTAAAAATAATTTTAATAAATATTATTCTCCTCGAATCAAAATCCAGTGACGTCACAGAATGGAGTCGGCGACAAACTCAGATCGCGGAAAATAATCAGAAAATGTTGAATATTTTCTACACAGCTACGCAATTTTTAAAAGTTATCGGTGGTATTTGATGCATTTATGTATTGCTTATCGAAATGACCCGATAGATTATTTTGATCCATTGTTTTGTTGATTTGTTCGGCGTAAATTATGTTGGGGTGGGGAAAAGGCGTTTCATTCCTTGTGTTTATTTATACTGTATGGGGGGTATATTTTGGATATTATCTTTAATATTGATAGAATTTCAAGTTCCTGTGATGCAAACAATCACTGTCTAGGATGGCATCTTCAAGCATTTAAGCACTATTACAGTGAAGAAGCCCTTATTAAACTTATTTTCAAAGATTTTAGAAATTTTATTCAATATTTTTTTGTAACTTTCAATTGGGAATTTTTTCCTGTGAATTGGGAAAATAATATACTATTTTCAATTGGGAATATGACCCAATAACGGCTATAAAATAAGCCAAAAAAAATCCCTGTTAAGCTATAGCAAACATCTTTCAAAAATCAGATGGTATAATCTATTTAATGACATACATTGTTATAGACTTCATGTATATATTTAAAAGGAAATCAAATAAAAAACAATTAAAAATTATATTGAATTCTTAACCTATCAGTGAAATATCAGTATCATTTCTTAATGGGCGCTGTCATTTTTAATGTAATACAATGATAAACGACGGGGTTTTCAGATAATAGACCAACAGCAACTTATTGAGTAGACAATGATGTAACAATAATTGTTGAGGTTTTCCGATTGAAAACGAAAGCAGTGCATAAAATAACTGATCAGTGATAGCACTTTTAAGAAAACTAAAAATGTAAAATACAAAATTGTGAACAATTTTTTTTGTCTGACTCTCCGTTCATAGGGTTTGCCACTGATTGGTCTTTGCCATTGTTTATGTGATAGGAGAAATATCAAATGGTGGTAATGGGGGGGGGGTCAGAAATGTGTATAAACAGAGATGAATAACCAAGGACTTGCATTATTTTTCATAGGAAAAAAACTCCTTAAATAAATGGTATTTAGCTATTTTTTCTTTCAGGGAAAATCTGAATATGACAGACATTATATTTGGAGAGATTCTTACCGTAGTAAGAAATTTCACCCAACTCCAGAACAAAGTGCAGATTCGGCTGGACTACAATCTGCCTACATAGGTTATTCGTGCATCAAAAATACTGCATGCCTCATATGTATGGTGTATGATTCATGATTACTGTATTCGTATTTTAACAAAATCAGATCTACCAAGTCTATACAGGGATTGCATGTATGAATCCTTAAGAGGGTCGGACATACAGATTTGCAGCTGTCAGCCCATCATTCTGTCTTGTCACACTGTCCCTCCATAGACTGATCATGAATCATGCATTCATATAGAAGACACACATAATCAGATTGAGAATCCATGCTAGCAGGTTATGGTTATGCTTTAAACAGTCCTGTGGTGCAGACATTGATTGCTTTAATGTAGTCATTTTCTTTCATTGTATTATGTTATTTTCATTACCTGTATTCAAGTAACTGGTGAAAATATACCCAATTTTGAGTAATAATAATTATAATAATAATTACAAAGGCTTTATTTAACGAGGCTACATATTCGCCAAAACTTCCATATGTACCTCAACATTTTTACAACATATTTACATTGATCAAATAGTTGTACCAAAGACAATGTAATATTATCACATAAAGCATTAAATAATTAGAAATGAAATGATGTACTCAAAATAAATATTAATTGTTAGAATGAAAATTTCAGTAAATATAATTATATAAACTAGCCAGAGTACATCCACTTTATGTAAGCTTTTTTGAATTTTTCAGATAGAACAATTTTATGTTAAATAAATCGTCACTGGTTTTTTTAAACATCTTTTTTAAATTTTGAATTCAAAAGAGGTAAATTTTCACCATTGCAGTGATGTATTGCTTTTATGCCACATTGAATCACTTTTATTTGCAGCCAGTGATTTTTCTCGCTTAATTGGGAAGAGATCTTGGCCTCTTGACTTTGGGGAAAATTATCTCTAAAATTTCAAATTTTTGAAGAAAAACAAGATGGTGGCCTTAAATTTTTGGGAAAATTATCACTTAAATTTCAAATTTTTGAAGAAAAAAAGCTGGGGTAAGTTCAGATATTTGGTAAAACTGTATGATTTTGAAAAAAGTTAAATTGGGATTGGGAAGAGGCCTTTTATAGTCCTTAGTTTAATTAAGTGAAAAATCACTGGTAGCTGAATGGTCATTTTACTAAACGCATGTACATGAATGTTTAAATTGTATTCACATCACATGTAGACTGGTTTGGTTCATGTTTACAGACTAGAACAGATTAGAACAAAGAATATACTAGAATATAAACCATGCCAGTGCAAATTCAGAGCCAGTCTGCAGGTCAAATGTCATCAAAATTGGGTAAGTCTTTCATTATACCACTCAACCAAACACTTTTTTTTTTGGTCTCCACTTATTTGCTATCGATAATCTTCACATTAAATTGTACATTTTTAAAATTATTAATGCTGCACACCTCCAGATTCATGCTATATTTTATGAAAAATTTGAAAATGTATTTTAAAGTTAAATATTATCATGTGAACAAAGAAAATACAATTCTTATTTATAACACTTCCAGTTCATGTAAATTACCAAATAAAATGAATGCCAAAAAGGTTACGGTGTCAGTCACTTAGTAGAAATATAATGATAAGTACTGCAAAATCAGTCATTCATTGCATTGTAACATGTAAATTATTACTTGAATTGTAAATAATTTTACTTTTCGTAAAGATCTTAGTACATAAATTTGTCTTAAGTTTGATTTCTTGATTTTTTTGTGCCTCATCTGGAGGAACATGTTACTTGTGTGCAGCTTAAAATGTTTCAGTGTTTTTTTTTAATTTTAAACTGAACATGGCTTTCTTTGATATTTCAAAGAAATTTTACACAGAGATATTGACTATGTCTATGACTTTATTTTACTTACTTTAAACTCAAGTTTTTATTATACAAATGTATGTATTGATTATTGATTGAATTAATTGTTTATTACAATGTGAACTCTCTGTAATATTGTATGTTCTTCATTTTATTTTAAAAAGATTGGTCAGTAATATGTCTTTTCTTTACTTTTGTATTGTTTACTACACAAATAAATTTTATGACAATACTAAATTGTTTAACTTTGAAATATGTGCTTCATTGTTGATGATTTTTTTTCTTATTTAAAAAAAAAAAAAGAGATCAACATAATTAGTTACAGTGGTTTACTTGTAGGTATTTATTCAGAAATTAATTGGGTATATATTGGATTGGTTTTGATGACATGCATACTAAAGCAAATACTCTATTATATAGCTTGATATAATATTTTGTTTGTCTCAAAAACCTCACATTGATTATACTTTCTTAAAAATTACAGCGTTTTAGAGTTACATGTACATACATTCATTTGATTATATTTTCAAAATATTGCTTAATGTATCTATAAATAAATATTTGAACTAACATATATTATCAAGATTGATAAACTTACTTTTAATATAAATTGTAGTTAAATACATATACTCATTTCGGAAAAATGAAAAATGTCTTGCTTAGCAATATTTATCATGATTACACTATCTGCAGAAAAAAAAAATTGAAATTTAAAGATAGAAAAATACATGCTTATATATGTTTTAAGCATATTTAACAGGCTTTTTTATCTGATCTCCACCAACAATGGATGGCATTTGAAACAATAAAATCCACCATTGAGAACTTCAGATTTATAATGAGGGCATCACATAAAATGAAAATAAAATTGATACGTTGTATCCTTGGCATTGCAGGAAAGACTTTAATTTCAAAAGTCTGTTCTTTTTTTAACGTTTTTGAACATTACATGTATAAAAAGTAATGTTAAACAATATAAACTGTAACCAATTGTAAATTTTTGCTTCAAATTTGAGGAGAAAACTGAGCATTACTATTAATCATTGTAAAATCCTCATTTTGCTGAAGGTATATTCATGTATCAAGGAAAAAGGCCTGTTTAACTAATTACTTCACATTTTTGAAAACAGATTTAAACGTTTAACATATGAGCCGCGTCACGACACAAAACCAACATAATGTGTTTGCGACCAGCATGGATCCAGACCAGCTTGCGCATTAGCGCAGACTGATCAGAATCCATGCTGTTTGCTATCAGTTTCTCTACTTGTAATAGGTTTGGTAAGCGAACAGCATTGATCCTGATCAGACTGCGCGGATGCACAGGATGGTCTGGATCCATGCTGGTCGCAAACGCATTACGTTGGTTTTGTCGTGACGCGGCTCTTTTTAACTTTTTAACGTAGTTGAACCAGCTTTACAAAGGAAAAAGAGAGTTCCATTCCATGCTGATCAGCCGTTTACAATGAAACGTGAGAGAATCCACGCTTGTCTTGGGTCCAGTCTGTCTTGTTTTCCAAGTACTTTAAACCTTCACCTGCTGAATTTGTGTAATAAATTTACCCGGTTCTGAAGTTTAGACAATTAAATATTATGGAAAAAAACAACAATTTCATTAAAACTTACAAAATATAGAGTTGCCAACTGTATAGAGCCGTATCAGACTCAGGCATTGAAAAATATTTCCACAGTCACTTGTCCTGCAAGACGACTAGCTTCTAAAATCAATATGCATCAATGGGCAAAATTTTTGTACTTGTCCTGGTGTTTTCTTAAATTCTACTTGTAATTACAAGCAGACAAGTGGAATGTTCGATGTCTGAGACTGTACAGCTGTGCAGGCTGGAATGGTTGTGTACTCGTGACTTATCACTATGATTTCCAGCAGGTTAAGGGTTAAGTTCTTACTATGTTATGTATAGTAATGTTTATATCCTAACATTGTGGACTTGATATTCATTCAGTAGAGTAGAAATGTGTTTACCTCTAGTTTGATGGTGCATGCACATTGTATGTAAACTGTACATGTATTTGCTGTATTGTAAAGCTACATGCGTTAATATCTTATTTAAAAGGAAACTGTTAAACACTTCAAAATGCACATCGAGTGTCGGTCTATGTTACACATTTATAGTTTAACTTTTATTAGAGATGAATTGTACAAGAAATTTTTTTTTAAACTATGATAATACCTTCTTGAATACACATTATTACAATTGTTAAAACCTTTTACAACATTGTTATAACTTATACATGTATAGTATTGTATATAACTTCATTTTTGTGATAAGATTGTACAATATAACCAGCCTGTACAATATGATAATATTACCAGATTCTAGTACTATAAGGGTCTTACACCGGCTACTAGTACAGATCAGAATATCTTGTTTGAGGGTAACTGTTTACGACGGTTACAAGCCTGTACTGAGTTTCCCCTAAACATTTACCCGAGAGCTAGATTAATTCCAGATGTTTGAATTTTTTTTGCATTTTAAATAATCATATATAGAAAGAAATTATGAAAACTAAATGCTTTTATGTCATACTTTTTTCTTATAGTAGGGTATAAAGTTACAACTTCATTCATAACGGCAAAATTGAAAGGTGTTTTTTTTCCCAAAAAATTTTCCTTTTTAATTTTTTAATTTCCAAAAAAAGGTAGCGCGGAATGAAACGCCCAATCAAAGCACACAACCTTGTTTAAATTTACACGGGGCTAGGGTAGGAGATGGTGGTGCAAGACAGTTTTTTTAGCACCAGTTTAAAGTGTAGAATTTAGCACCAGTTTAAAGTGTAGATAATTTTGTTTGAAATGTAAGAAAATATTAGTAGGAGGGTCAAATTATTGGGATTATTTTTTTACCCGCCTAGATATCACTTGTATTACCGGCATGTAGAATATTACCAGCTTGTACATTATTTAACTGGTATTGATAATAATCAATGGTATAGAACTAGAACAGAGGATGACACAAATTAAAAAAACATTGAGTTTTATCAAAATTAAAATTATCATGAAGATTAAAAGCCTTTTATGAATACACACATTATGATAATATTGCCCCGCCTTTACAGTGCTTTCGTACATCTAGAACTGAAAAATTAATGCCTATTGAAAATTTGTAATATTTTATATTTATAACTTATACATATAGATAAGCAACTTAACACAGTGAGGGGATTGAACGTAATTTGGCATGTTTCATGTTTTTTTTTCTTTACCAAAAAGATGTACAATGTATTTTAAAGCGATGTCTGGTGTCATAAAATAATTTTCGATTTGATTCATAGTAGTAAATTTTTATGGATAGAAATTTCAAAATAAGGCAAGGATATTGATTTTTAAATTTATTTCAACCCAATTGGAACCATTTTGCAGCACAAAAGGGGTGATTCCCCTTTTATGAAACACCCCAATGGAAATGTGAGGATTTAATTTATTAAATAATTATTAAATTAGTATTGAAAGGTGCACATTTTTTAATGATAAATGAAATATTAACTTATTAAATGGGATAGGCTATGTAGAATCATAGATGATAAATTCTGCAAAATTTTATAAATGCATGGTGGATGAGCTGTATAAATAAGCTTTTAAATATAAAATGTATTATATAAAATGTATTACTACTGTACATGTATTAAGGTATCTAAGTTGTAATGTAATATTACATTTTAGCTTAATGAAATAGTATAAAAATAAAATTCTCCTTGATTTTACTACCTGATTTTAAAGGAGCTCCACTGCAGTCCAAAAGCCTAAACACATCAAAAGAAATCAGATACAATGAAATGTATGATTGTGTTTTAAGAATTAAATTCAAAAACAATATTTGTAGTGATTGGTTAAAAGCTTTTAAATCTTTTTTTAATTTTACGGCATGATAAAAATTACTATTCTAGAAAAACAATGTGAGCAAATGATAGAATTATTGGTAAAGACCTACATCAAATAGTTTTGAAAGTCTCAAAAATTATATTTCAAGCATTGTAATGAAAATAAATTGCAGTGGAGTCCCTTTAAAAGTGTATGTGAGAAAACAATTGATCAGCTATATTTAAACACATGAAGGGACAGTCATAATAAGCAATTATTGATGAAAAGGAATGCAAAAAAAGATTAATGTTTGTTATTTATTATTTTATTGCATAATCATATATCAATTATGCAAGTGTCTTTTTGAGTTTGTTATGGCATTTTGTGTTACAGCCGAGTTTGATGGAGTTCCGCTCCAGAGTAAAAAGCGTGTACCGTCACCATCACATAAAACAAGTGAGAACTACTTTAGTATGCTTACTCTACTCTACTCTCTGTTATTCTTTTCTTCACATAAATCAAAGTCATCAAGATTCAGAATTTATTTATACAAAGGGGAGGAAATAGTGACTGTGTAAATTTCGTTCAAATGAAAAAGGCTGGGGCATTATTTTTTCCTTGCTTTGTATGACACATTGGCACTTTTATGATGGCAGTCAAGGTTTCTTTACTATTTAGTTTACGTTCATAGCACACTTCATTGCGCTTCTTGGTGGATACAGTGTTGCTTTTTAATTGACATGGTACAAATCATTAATGATAAACTTACATACTGTACTTTATCTGAGATCCTTTATTATATTTCAAACATTCTTTAATCAATTCTAATGGATGACATTAGATTTGACAGGCAGTTTTGGTAATGTTAGGTTATGTCCCAGACTGTAATAAGAGAAATAAGTTTAGATGGTATTGTTATATTTAGTGTATGGATAGTCACTAGTCTGTGGTCTAATTGTTTGACATTTGGGTGAACAGAAATACAAGCAATTGCTTGTTGATACCTTCTGAAGAAAATCAAGCCAGCTTCATTATACTTCTCTTTTAATCTGACCATATTCAATACTTTCAGATGCTTAATTTTATCAATTTGTTAAAAGAAATCCTTTATGACAGATGGGTCCTTATGTAAAATAGGATAAGACAATAAAATCCATTATTCAAATTTATAAGTATTACTCTATTGATTTACTGGAAAGGTTGAATGTAATTTGTACTGAAAATTTATTGTGTAATTTCTTGCTGAAATTCACTGAGAATTGGCTAATCGTTATGTTTCCATGAACATTTTTTCAGTTAAGTTAATGTGTATGCCCAAGGTCATGTGACTAAGATATGATTTAATAAAGATAATAGTTGATATATAATCATTTGTGCATCTATCATATTCACAGTTTGTGGTGTTAATTTACTCTTAAACTTTTCACTTGCAACAACATGAGTATATTAATCTGTGACAATAACTTGCATGAAGTTTTCATTCTTTTTCACATATTTATGCCTTTGGGCTCTTTAAATTGTCAATTGAAACTTTTAAATTCTGTGTTTGAAGACCAGTCTAAATGTAAAAATGTAATTGGCTAGTCTGAAGTTTCTTTGAAATCATCTTCATGTAGTTACATATCAGGGCTGCTTTTGTAGGTAATGAATTTTCATAATATTCATTATACATGAAAGTATAAAATAGATCATTGGTATTTAAAGCTACACATTAAATTTTATGATTTCTCCTATATTGACATCACTTTTTTGCACTTTCTATTTAATTTCAATATTCACAAAATGCTAATAAATGAATTGCAGAAGGTTTATTTTAAGGTTTTAAACCAATTTTCCAGCACTGGTTGAGCCTGTCATGCAAGCAAAGAAGAGAATTGTTCCAGATTTTGCTAAAACTGCTCCGTGTGAATGTAAGACTTCCCATATCTGTGCTTTACGGGCAGAAATCCTGGCATAGTCAATAGAAATAAAAATTTGTATCATTAATTATTTGCATTCAAGTTATTTAATGTTGATTGGACCTTTAATGGACAAATCTGTCTATACAAGTATGTCTTGTATGAATTGCTTCTGGCCAGTTAGTTTAAGTTTCATTTTGATAAAATAAAGCACTGTATCCATTTGTTTTGGGTTTGTTAAAGGGAAAAAAATGTTTATGTTTTTACATGTTTATGTCAAACAATTTTTTTTCTGGCATACAGTTAGTGAGTGGTTGAATCAGTAAAAGTAGCAAGATATCTCTGAAATGGGAAGAAAAGTCTTTGTTAAAGAAATAGAATCTTTTGGCAATTAATAAAGCATGCCATTTTTTAATGCAATTTTTTTTTTAAATATTCACTTTACTTCAGATAGATTATTTCATTAAGAAGTTATTGATGATAAAAAATGTACTAGTTTTATTTTCACATTTTGAAAGTTTGAGAAGTTATAACATTTGAATCATATTTTTGTAGCCATCGGTGACAACCTAATGCAAAGTAAAAAGAAAGTTGAAAATCACCATGACAATGAAACAAAACGTGAGCACAGTAGTGGTAGATTATCTAATATCTATCTCTCTATATATACATGTATAGAATACTTATGTCTAGATATAAAATATATACTCATCAATATAGGAATCTTACATGTATATGTATGTCTAAATCTTTGTGGAACATGTCATCTCCATGTAGTATTTTTATGTCTTTCTCTATAAATACTAAGAATTAAGGCTCCCACGGTTACATGTTTAAACATTTTTATTTTGATATTTTTGATGGTTTAAACGAAATGACGACATTGTCTTATCAGAATACCTAATTATTACCTGTAATCATGAATTTTATCAATGGACCTTTCCGGTTTTTCGTAGCGGAACCGTACCGTAAACACTGGAAAAGTCCATTCAGATTGATTCATTCCCAGTTAAAACGAGATGAGATGCTATAAAAAAAAACAACATAGCTAGATCTTGACTAAATACTTTTTTGAAAAAGTTGATTTTCCTTCTGATTTTCCGTTCAAAAGAGCAAACGGGGATAGTGCAGAAAATTGGTGCCAACTATCTGGCAATGAACACATTATTTGTACATGTGTTAAAAAAATAAAAAGTAAGTAATCATTTGGCAACCCTAATACAGGGTATAGAATAGTACATAAAAGTACCACCGTTGAAACAGTATTGTTTCAGTTTTTATCAATCATGAAAATGTTTACAAAAAATTGTAAACATGGGAGCCTTACTAAGAGTTTAATTATGTTAACCTTTATAAGACCATTATATGATTATCTCCATAGAATCTAGGTAGAGCATTAATTATAGAACACATATGTAGAACATTCATTAGCTACATTCACACCTATGTCTAGAATTATAGAGAATAGACATACCTATATCTATATAATGCTAATCTTGGATTTGCAAATAATTATTATACACTTGTAGTCATTCATGTAGATTATTTTCATTTTCATTAAATTACATTATAGTTGTTGATTTTTTCTTCCATAAGCACAATCTAAATGTCCTGTTAACACCAAAGTTTTCACATACACTAGTATTCTGGATAGATCCATGTTTCTGTGGAAAGAAAAGTTTGTTTTGTTTGTTTGAGTGGGTTTTATGTCACACCAAAAGTATAGGTCATATGGCGTCTTTCCAGCTTTACTGGTGGAGGAAGACCTTGGGTGCCCTTCTGTGCATTATTTCAGGCACGAAGGAAAGAAAAGTAATCACTGTATGTTTCTGATATGAATTATTAATTTGATGTGCAGAAATATTTAATCAATTTTATAATAAAATGCAACTGAAATTATTAGACCCTGTAACTATTATAACAAATATTTCTGTAACCGATGCTTTATTCCTACAAGCTACATTTGTATATTAGGGTAGTGTAGCTATTGCTTTATTCTATATGCATGAATTATATACATATAACTTTTTTGTAGCTTTTGATATTTGAAATACATGTACATGTATATATGTATATATTTTGGAGAGCAGTAACCTTGATCCAGACCAGTCAGTTTTCACCATTTTTACTCATTGCTTTTTCTTGCTTTTAGTCAATGTAGCTTTTGTATTTACCCACATTCTTTGTATTTATTGTGTGAGACACTTTTCTTTAGATTTACTTTCTTTTTGGTAATCTGTTGATATCCTCAATTCTTGAACTTGAAACTTGTAATTTTCACTTTTATCATATGTAAGACAATAAATGCCAATTGTAGCCTTATTTAATTGAATGTAATAATGGCTACATTCAACATAGATGTAATTGACATAGCACCAACATTAAGTAACACCAAACAGTACATGACTCCTAGTTCATTACTGCAACAATGCATAAACTGGCTAGACTCTATACTGGTAGAATTAGAGCATTTTTGAATGGAAAATACAATATCTAGAAAAATATACCCGATACTTACATTAAAGTGGCATACCATTAGTTGGTATACAGTTCTGTGCTGTTTTGGTGCTTACTTTTCATATTAAAATCTATCAAAATAAACGTTAATGTAAAATATTTACATCAATGATTAAAGTACTTATAAATGGTTCTTTAATTCAATTTGATAAAATATAACAAATATTGATGAACAAATTATACATGCATAATCATTGTTTCTAAATGAATCATTAAAGACTCCCTTATAATTAAATCTTGATTAAACTCAAAGATTTAGGTCAGACAAATGTATTGGTTGCATAAAGAATAACTATGTATTTCAGCCACCCAGTGCGAGCCTCCACTCCAAAGCAAGAGAAGGACACCAGGGCCTGTCACTTCCCTTACCAATGGTTTCTATGAGAACGGTGCCGGTAAACAAGATGAGTATGCGTTGCTAGGCAACCAGGACAAGTTTTCATCAAATGTGAAGTACAGGCCTCGTAGTGCTGTCAACAACAGGGATATATCTCCTCCTAAACAAATGAAACTTCAGAAGGTGAGTACAAAGATATAGAATTATGTCTGCAACTTTCCTTTCCATTTGATATTTACAGTTTTATCGTATGTTACAAAAAAAATTAATTAAGATATTACATTTAATCAAGGGTAGTCTAGTCTAGTTATATATAAAGACACCATGTGATTAAAACTTTGTTCTGTAAAAAATTCACATGAAGTTTGACACCGAGAGGGGAATGAAAATCAGTGTCATTACCGTGAAATATAACAAATGGTTTAAGAGGTGATTGACAGCATTGTTTAATAGAACTCATTTTACCCAATTGTAACATCAATATTGTTGTTCAGGGTTAAATTTGTTCTGTATGAATCAGTTTGATTTTTCAAGAAAACTGATATTGTATGGACATTTATTATCCTGCACAAGTTTTGAAAGAAGAATTTGTTTAATTTACATTATATAAATATATGAAGCAATACACACCTTGACTAATTGTGTAATCTATTCTTGTTTTTGTATGGCAATAGAGAGATTTAAGTTTGACTGTATATTGAATGTTAAGAGCACAATTTGGGCTATAGTGCTTATTATGTACTTTGTAAACTGAACAATGAAACATGTACTTTATAATTATTGATTATATTCTACCTTTGAGTTTGAATTTCATTTATTTTGAAAAAGCAATAATACATTGATGAAATCTTTATGTTTTATATTGACAGCAATTTAAAGAAAACCGGGACCCAAGCCCAGCTCCTGTTGTAAATGTTGATAAGTATAAGAAACCCCCAACTCCAATGGCACCAAGAGTGCCAAAGACTTCTGATCCAGCTTATCAAGAAATAAAGGAATCCAATTTGAGAAAAGAACCCAAAGTAACAAGAAGTCCAAAACAGTCAAAGAGTGAACCTGTTGTAAGCAGGTCTAAAAAAGAAGAGGTAAATACTGAGTTATGTGGAGTGAAGCTTTGTGTAGATTTATGAAAGATTTGACATTTTGAAATTAAGACATAAAAACTCTCTAATATTTGTTTGATTAAGACTGTATCTTGGAATAAAATAGTTTTAAAGGCCCAGTATGCCTCAGAAATGCTATCAATTTTATTTCTCATTTTTAGCTCGACTATACGAAGTATATGGAGAGCTGTTCTACTCGCCCCGGCGTCGGCGTCCGCGTCCGCGTCCAGATTTTAGATTAAAGTTTTGGTGCAGTAAAATATTTTTCACTATAACTTTGTCATTTCTTAAGGTATCAACTTCAAACTTCAAATATATGTTCCTTATCATCAACCCCATCTTATGTGACAAGGTTCATAACTCTAGCACCAATATTTTCAGATTTATCTCCCCTTGAACTTAGAATTTTCCTTAAAAAATATTATTTTTTACTGTTACTTCTTTATTTCTTAAGGGATCAACCTCATACTTCAAATATATGTACCTTATCATCATCCCCATCTTATGTGACAAGGTTCATAACTCTAGCACCAATATTTTCAGATTTATCTCCCCTTGAACTTAGAATTTTCCTCAAAAAGTACTATTTCTTACTGTTTCTTCTTTATTTCTTAAGGGATCAACCTCATACTTCAAATATATTTACGTTATCATCATCCCCATTTTATGTGACAAGGTTCATAACTCTAGCACCAATTTATTCAGATTTATCTCCCTTTGAACTTAGAGTTTTCCATAAAAAATATTTTTTTTACTGTTACTTATTTATTTCTAAAGGGATCAACTTCATACTTCAAATATATTTACGTTATCATCATCCACATCTTATGTGACAAGGTTCATAACTCTAGCACCAATATTGCAAGAATTATCTCCCCATAAACTTAGATTATTTTACTAGAAAAATGTTATTTTTTATTATAACTTTTTTATTTTTAAAGGTATCTACCTCAAACTTCCAATACTTATTCCTTATCATCAATTACATTTAATGTGACAATGTTCATAATTCTTGAAGCAATATTTACACATTTATCTCTCTTTGAACTTAGGATTTTCTTTAAGAAATATAAAAACTTCTTTACTTTTTAAGGTATCTACTTCAAACTTCAAATATATATTTCTTATCATTACACAAATGTTATTTGACAAGGTCCATAACTCTAGCATGACTATTTCTAGAATTATTCCCCTTGATCATGGAATTTATGTTAACAAATATTATTTTTTTACTATAACTTAATACATAATTATACATAATTGATTTTTCTTTCATAGTTTTGTCCTCCTTACTGCGTCCAGTATTTTATTAGTCGAGCTTCGCTGTCTCCTGTGACAGCTCTTGTTTTTTCTCTTTTTGGTATCTTATTTCAGTTTCCACAAAAAAAATTGTAACCTATAGTCATAAACTATCTTTACTTCTTTTCCTCTGTCAGCAATTGATATAATGATAATGTATCATTATTTTGTATGGAAATCAATATACAACTTTGTTAACATTTTGCTACCTTTGCAACACATTACTGCATGTTGAGCAGTACTTTCCTCAGTGATATAACATCTAAAATGCATTAAATCCATTATTGAAACTATATTAAACACATGTTTAACATTTGTAAAGTATTAAAAAAATATGAATTTCTGAGGCATAATGTGCATTTAAGCATCAGATAGCCAATGACTATTGTAATGTACATGTATGTAATAATCTTTTATATTTTACTACATTTTTAGCTCGACTATTCGATAAGAATAAGTAGAGCTATTGCAGTCACCCGAGCGTCGGCGTCGGCGTCGGCGTCGGCGTAACCACTTATGTTAAAGTTTTTGTAATAGTTCAAATATTTTCAAAGTCCATTGACATATGGCTTTGAAACTTTGCACACTTGTTCACCATCATGACCCCAACCTGTAGACAGGAGAAGGTAACTCTATCAAGCATTTTGACAGAATTATGCCCCTTTTTCGACTTAGAATTTATGTTAAAGTTTTTGTAATAGTTCAAATATTTTCAAAGTCCATTGACATATGGCTTTGAAACTTTGCACACTTGTTCACCATCATGACCCCAACCTGTAGACAGGAGGAGGTAACTCTGTCAAGCATTTTGACAGAATTATGCCCCTTTTTCGACTTAGAATTTACGTTAAAGTTTTTGTAATAGTTCAAATATTTTCAAAGTCCATTGACATATGGCTTTGAAACTTTGCACACTTGTTCAACAGCATGACCCCAACCTGTAAACAGGAGGAGGTAACTCTATGAAGCATTTTGACAGAATTATGCCCCTTTTTTGACTTAGAATTTACGTTAAAGTTTTTGTAATACTTCAAATATTTTCAAAGTCCATAGCCATATGGCTTTGAAACTTTGCACACTTGTTCACCATCATGACCCCAACCTGTAGACAGGAGGAGGTAACTCTATCAAGCATTTTGACAGAATTATGCCCCTTTTTCGACTTAGAATTTACGTTAAAGTTTTTGTAATACTTCAAATATTTTCAAAGTCCATTGACATATGGCTTTGAAACTTTGCACACTTGTTCAGCATCATGACCCCAACCTGTAAACAGGAGGAGGTAACTCTATCAAGCATTTTGACAGAATTATGCCCCTTTTTCGACTTAGAATTTACGTTAAAGTTTTTGTAATAGTTCAAATATTTTCAAAGTCCATTGACATATGGCTTTGAAACTTTGCACACTTGTTCAACAGCATGACCCCAACCAGTAAACAGGAGGAGGTAACTCTATGAAGCATTTTGACAGAATTATGCCCCTTTTTCGACTTAGAATTTACGTTAAAGTTTTTGTAATACTTCAAATATTTTCAAAGTCCATAGACATATGGCTTTGAAACTTTGCACACTTGTTCACCATCATGACCCCAACCTGTAGACAGGAGGAGGTAACTCTATCAAGCATTTTGACAGAATTATGCCCCTTTTTCGACTTAGAATTTACGTTAAAGTTTTTGTAATACTTCAAATATTTTCAAACTCCATTGACATATGGCTTTGAAACTTTGCACACTTGTTCAACATCATGACCCCAACCTGTAAACAGGAGGAGGTAACTCTATCAAGCATTTTGACAGAATTATGCCCCTTTTTCGACTTAGAATTTACGTTAAAGTTTTTGTAATAGTTCAAATATTTTCAAAGTCCATTGACATATGGCTTTGAAACTTTGCACACTTGTTCACCATCATGACCCCAACCTGTAAACAGGAGGAGGTAACTGTATCAAGCATTTTTTTTACTATCAAGCACTAAGAATAGTCGAGCGTTGCTGTCCTACTGACAGCTCTTGTTTTTGTCTTTAGAATATCAATAACACACTGTTAAATCAATAAAATCTTTTTAAGCAGATACAGTGAATAAATTTGTGACTTGTGAATTGTTTACCTCTACAAGTAATGCCAGCTTTTATGTCAAATGTTGAATTGCTTTTGCTTTAGCCCAATTTATGCCTTTCTAAAGCATTTTTCTGCAATCTTCAAAAGTAATTTTAATGACTATAGCAAATTTAACTTTAAATGTATAAGCTTTGAAATAATTTCACAAAGTCAAAAACTTTTTTTACAAGATTTTATATTAAATGGAGGAATGTGAAATTTATTCATTGCTTTATTAACAATTGTTTTTCACCAGTGCACATTATTACATGTATTATAAAAAAAATCATACAACAGGTTTGGAATATTCACTGACAGATTATTTTATTTAAAAAAGTTATTTGCAGTATTTCAAAATGTTACACTCTCCGGTGGTGTGTTGCTTTTTATTTGAAATGAAATTTTGATTTTGATATTCAACTTTAGATTGTATGTGAACCAGGAAATTATTAAACTGTATTTGTCTTTTTGAGAATTAGATAATGTTCACTTAATTTCAAACCTGTTGTTTGGTTTTAATCCTTTGGTTCCTCTGCACAGTTGTTTTGGCACATTTATCCTTAGTTGAGTTCAATTGTTTTGCATGCAAAGTCTAACACGCAAAGTGTGGGAGATGGTAAAGTAAATGAACCTAACCAAGAAAAAGTAAAATTGCAAGAGATAAAGGTGGACAAAGGCCCTAAAGGACCCAGTGAACCCAAAGTGCAAAAAATGGAAGAAAGTGATGTTCATTTAAGTGCATCAAAAGAGGAAGAGGTGCTTTATCTATGCAAGCTTATTTGTAGGCTAGAAAAAAACCAAATTATATGTAACTTTACTTATGTTATCATTGAAATGATGTCACTAAATTTTAGTTTAACAGTTTCTCACATAATAAATGTATTAGCACTTTTGGCTTTAACTAAACCTTATGTCACATGCTATTTTACCTTTTTTAACATTCTTACATTTGAAAACAGTCAATGTTAATTAATTGTGAATACACCTACAGTGTATCATTAAGAACTCATACAAATATGTCATACCTTGAAAAAAAAAATGTTCGAAATAACTACCGATATATTATTTATCATGAAATGATTAAAATGAAATGTCTTTGACTATGTTTTGTAAGCATTTTAAAAGATTATAAAATTTCTATAACAGTCAGAGCCTTAAGCCGAGTCACAATCAAAAGTTGCATTTGAAGGCCAGAATATGGTACAGATATGCTGAAATATTATGATTGTTGCAGATGAATGCAGGCAGCTCTGTTCAAATCATGTGACCTTTCTAATTTACACATACCTCTCTCTACACCAAATCACTCACTTCACTAACAAAAAAAATCTGTTGAACTACCATGTATTACGCTTATGTTGTGTAATCCATTATATTGATTTTACTTGATTAGGTTAAAAACCTGGACCGCGGTGATCCAGTCAAAGATTCGATGAAGTCGAAGAGGATTCTGGGAAATATGAACGAGTTTGCTCAAACTAACATGGATAAAGGAATAGCTGACTCTGCACCTGAAGCTCCGGTATTTATTTATTACATGAATATGTTTGTAAAGAAATCTTTTTTTGTAATGATTTCCTTACCCATCAGATATTTCAGTATTGGATCTTAAGACACAACAACACTGTTATGGTCATATGGCTACTTTCCAGATTAACATGTTAACATCGCTTCGTCCTTTATTTCAGACACAAACAGAATCTCAGACCTTCCGTAAGCTAGTTTGATAGCTTTCTTGCGTAAATGAATACAATGGCCCTGAAGGGATTTGAACTCGCAATCCATAAGGGGCAAATGATTTGTAGTTAGTGACTTTAACAAGTGGGCTACAGAAGCCTCTAAGTTTGATTTATCAAAGATTTTGTGCAGTAAAATGTTTTCTATTCACTATTTTGTTACTAAAAAAATTTACTGCAATCTTTCTTTCTTATTATCTGTATGTTTTATATCACCAGTATATAAATTTGGCGACATTATATGTATGAAACTCTTGGATGTTAATTTTCTTCAGGTAAATTTGGAAAAAAAAGAGGAATTTTCTAGACGTTGATTTAAGATGTAAATTATTTACTTTGAGTGTTTAATTTTTTCCATATTAGATTTTTTCTTTTATTCCAGGCGGATTATGCCCTGAGATATAAAACTGGTATTTCTGCCCCAAGACCCACTAAGAAGATCTCAGAATATCAGAAACAATTTGCATGGAAGGCTGGATATCCAGCATCACCCTTGCTTAAAGCTGAACAGGTATGATCCTCGCAAATGTAGTCAAAACAACTTACTTCTTAATTGATTTGTGTGTGCTAGTTTCTCCAGTGTGAATTATACTTGACAATTTGCACTTTATTCACTCTTTTCACCCATAATAATAAAGTTTGAAGTCAAGAAAATGTTTGAATTCAAAAACAATGAGTGTAAATGTTAATCTGAATGTATACATTTTAACCATTTTCTTTAACCGTTAACCGGCTGGAACTGAAAGATATTAGCCTTTTCCACCAGTATAATGCCAGGCCAGCCTTCATGGATCCTGCACACCTGTGTAGTCTGACCAGGCTCTATACTGCAAATAGCTCATTATATATGGTTTGATATTGATATTTGAAACATTTTAAATGGACTATTCAGCAAGCTCAGCAGATTAAGGGTTATTCCCTATTGCACGAGTTTTATATAGGGCACATTACATTGTTTGAATTTATAACCCTTAATTAGATGCTATTGTTTGAAAGTTCTTACCCTTAAAGTGTATAAAGTTATCTCTATATTCTTATGAAACCTATAAATGGCAAAATTAGCTTGTTTCCATAATTCTATGGTTCCCTTTTGTGTGAGTTTTAACATAGAATGTCTCGGTTATTTATCACACATGAGTATTGTATGTGAAGAATTAAAATTTTTCTAAATAAAATGTCTCAGAAACGGGTAAATTTTCCTATTTTTAGAAATTGGGGTAAATTACTAGGTTTACATTTTAAATTATAATTTTGCATAAACTACAGGCAACAGATATATAGCTTTATACACTTTATTTAATATATGCTTTGCTTAACTAGATGTTTGTCTGAATTGAATGTTTGACTAACTCATGTCATGGTTTGATAATATGCAGGAAATTGGCCCGAAAGAGGTAACTTTTCTAAACAATATAGTTAGTTATACATATGTGTTATTCACTTTAATTCAGTTTATTTTATCACTGTATACCCCTGTTCAATGGGCTCTCATTAATGAATAACCTCTTTTTGACTAGTTATGCTAAGGAAACAAATTTCACATCTTTCAAAAGTTATTTTAAATGGGACTTTAAATACTGGTAAAAATGAAATTGTAGCTGTTTAATTAAAAATATACAAATGTATTATGCTCTAATTTGATATTTGAAAATACTGATAATTTTTTCGTTACAGTTTCTTTTTTAAATGTAAAATAAACATCTTTTGGGTACACACAGAGAAAAGATATGTTTAAACACTACACACTATTATATATGTAAACACAGTTTGATCGAATACTTAGTGTCCTTATAAAGATGACTATATGTGCATATGATACTTTAAGCAAGACTTTAAACAAAATAAACTTTCCTCAACAAAATTGATATGATTTATTTTATTAAGCATTATTTTCATTCAAGCAGGGGCAAATAAATGGGGGTATACAGTGTAAGAATTAGTTCTATTATTGCATGTTTAGACACAGTCAAACTTAAAAAGAAGCATCTGATAAAATGACCCAACTTGTTGAAATTAACTATCTCTTGCTCCTACATGTATGTTCATCTCATTAGTTGCACTGTACATGTTGATAAAATGAGCCGCCTCACAAAAAACCAACATAATGGGTTTGCGATCAGCATGGAACCAGACCAGCCTGCACATCCGCACAGTCTGATCAGGATCCATGCTGTTCACTATCAGTTTCTCTACTTGTTATAGGGTTTGTAAGCGAACAGCATGTATCCTGATCAGACTGCGTGGATGCGCCGGCTGGTCTGGATCAATGCTAGTCCCAAACCCATAATGTTGGTTTTGTCATGGCATGGCTCAAATGTTAATGTTGGAAATAGTTAACAAAGTCACTTTCTTTGTCTATCATCATTCAGGTTTATACTAGGTTCGGCTGTTAGTTATTCATTAGCCTTAAACCTGCTGAAACTAAAAGTGATTAGTCTAGAATGTGGCCAGCCAGCACATTGATTTTGTCTGGCCAGACTCTATACTGTTTGTAGATCAGTTGATGTATTTTGGTAGTGAAATTCCTTTAAGTTTAAATAGGCTGTTTCAAATACAAAGCAGGGCAAATACATTATCATACAAATTCAGCAGGTTAAGGCTTAAATATGTAATCATGTATTCTGTTTTGTAACAGTATGTCTTCTCGTAAATTAAAAAAAGCAATGTAATAATGCTTAGTAAAAATGCTTGTGCTGACGTAACGCAACTGCTCCTAGTTGATATCCACAGTCTTTTATTAAACACAGTGAAATTCTTTAGAGATTATAATGATTAAAATGTTAGCATTCTTCATAGTTTATAGCAACTGATGTTCTAAAAATGTAAGAATTCTTTATAGTTTATGTATAGAGTGACTTCAGTTATTGAATTAGTAAGAATCTTTGTAGCAATATAAAGTAATGAAATAGTTAAACAAATATTCATTATCATAATTGAAAATAGATTTTATTGGAAAAAAGATTTTCTCATGTATTTAAGTTTCTCATAGTGACAGTTATATGGAAGAATTGAGGGGTGTCATGACAAAACCAGCGAAACCAGCATCCGCGCAGTCTGATCAGGATCCATGCTGTTCGCTTACCAACTCTATTACAAGTAGAGAAAGTGATAGCGAACAGCATGGATCCTGATCAGACTGTGCGGATGCGCAAACCCATTATGTTGGTTTTGTCATGACGCGGCTCAATTATGTTTTGTTTTAGTTCATGATCAGTTTTATCATCTTTTTATTATAACCTTATTTATTATCATAGTAGTGCATCTTATTATCTCTGGTCAAGGGTTAATAAATATATATTTAATATGCAAATCATTATGTTGTGTCAAAAAAGGCCATTTCTTTTAGTCATTTTGCTAGATAGAATTATTCAAAAATTTTCTTTTTTTTGTTTTTTGTTTTTTTGAAAGATTTTTGAAAGTTGTACTCCTAGTGCTTAGCAGTGCTTAGAAATTGAGTCTTTACTCACAAATTTTTCCTTTAAAACAAGCACAAACAAGAAGTATCTTTAAAAAAGGTATTTGGCCTAAGTAAAACTGGTTAACACACAAATTTATGTTATTTCTAAGTTTTCAATACAAAAAGAAATGTTAGCATTGATATTGATGATTTTTCAAAGCACAGCAACTTCTATTTAAGGTGTCCCTTTTACCTGTTTTACATTTGACTTCATAAATTTTGTAATCATTTACAAATTAACCTAAAAGTAAAGAGTAAACTATTTGTTAAAAAGTTGTTTGTTATTTGTTAAAAAAAAAAGTTAAAGAAGTGTACTCATTCCTGTAAACTTTATTTTTAACTATCCTTTACATTTTCTTTTATAGTGGCAAAACTATCCCGTACATTTTATCATAGAGCTATCCTTTACATTTTATTTTAGAATGATTAGAACCGTCCTTGACATTTTATTTTAGAATGACTAATGAGATTCATCTATTTCAATTTGTAATTTTAAAATGACCAATGAAAATTCTTCATATATTCAGTCCTTCCCTGTTAATTTTACAGGAAGTCAAACTGATAATAGACGGACTTTGTCCGGTAAAAGGACCTATTGTTGACACATTTTTCAGCATTGGTTAACCTTTTGGTTTAGAATTTGTTTATTATCATTAACTTCATACTAACAAAGCTATTACATTGAAAATTTATAGGTTGAAGCGTCTTGTTGAGTTCTATTTTCAACACTCATTTTCAGGTCAAAGGTCAAGGTTACTTGGACCTGTGATAACAAAACAAAAAACTATCCATTACATCAAAGTGCATTAACCTATGATCTTAAAATTTCGTATATAGAAAAGATGCATCTTGATTAGTTCTACCTGCCGCAATCAATGTCTGGTTAAAAGGTAAAAGGTCAAGGTCTCTGAGACTACTTGAATAACAAAACATAAAACACGCCATTTAATATGTTGGCGTTCTACCTGTTTACTGCAATTTTTTTTCTCAGTGAATTTTAATAGACGCATTACTTAATCTTAACACACTTTGTCTATCAAAGATTTTTGAGGAATTCTTTTCTCTCTTGTATTTGATGTTTTAATATTCTACATTTGAACCACAATATACAAGATGGTTAACATTTATTTAATTAAGTGGTTTAATATCATATACTTCAATGTTATTGTCACAATGTCTGCAAACAAACATCTTAGACATTTGTTGATTACAGCAAACCGACTTAATTCCACTTCTTCTCCTATCAGCTTTTTTTACCTCTCCTATCCGCTTTCCATCAGGTGTAAATTGTAAGACATTTTTGGAGGATTCTCCAGATACCAGCGCACTATCTGCTTCAGTGATATAACAACAATTAGCCCCAGGTAGTTGTTTATCATGATATGTTGTAACAACCAGACCATTGTTGTCCAGTACTATCAGTCCATTATGATAATCAGTAACATAAATTCTTGTACCATCCTTACTCACTGCTAGACTGCTTATGATAGAGAACAGCTTTTGCCCTGATTTGGTCACACTAAATTGTTTAAGTTTACTACCAGTTAATGTATATATATATACTGATGTGTTGACGTCTGAAATGTATAAGTTATTGTTTGTGTGTGCAAGACCGAAACATTCAAAATCAGTGTCAATCTTGTTTGTTGTTTTCATTTTTCCTTCTACTGAAATGAAATGAACCTCATTTTGATATGGCAGAGTTAATGCTACATCTGTTTCATTGATTGAGCACACTTGCCATGGTTGACCAGGTAGATCACAGTGGTCTGTGACAGTATAGTCGTAGCTGTGTATCTGTTTTAGCTTCTTGTTGTTGCAATCAGCTAGAATTATTGGACCATCATCCAGACAGCAGGCACTGGTGATATAGCAGTCTTTTTTATCGGACAGATCTTTAATACAATATGATTGTTCTCTTTGTATCTGAAATAAAGTGCGGGCTTTCTTTGAAGGATTCTCTGTTAGTACCCCAAGAGCAATACTTTGTTCAAGCTGTCTTAGAATTGTCATGTCTGGTTGAAGCTTTATATCTTGTACTGTACTCTTCTTTTTGATATCTTCCATAAATTTGTTAGCAACATTTGCAGCATCCTCTGCCATCTTTACATTAACAAACACTTCAGCTTGATTTGTGTTTTGAAAAGCTAATTTAGCATAAGCTGATGTAACCTTGGCTTTATGTGCTTGTAGTTGTTTGAGACTCTCTTCGATCTTTCTTTCAAGACATTTGACTTTTTCTTCCATCTCATCTACAGACTTTTTCTCCAGCTTGTCAAGTTGGTTATTAATTTCTTGTCGAAATTTTTTGATATCAGCCAGTAACTCTGCCTTTCTTTTCAGCAGCCATTGTTTATCTTGTTTAAATTTGCTAGCTTGTTCTTCAAGGGTTTTGGTTATTGTATTAAGTTTTGACTGACTATCTCTTGAAGCTCTTTGGTCTGTGTTGTTTTTGATAAATTTTGGTATATAGAATGTACCCTTGAATGATCTGAAAGGAAAGGAATAAGAGGTTTATGAACTTGTATATTTTGTGCATCTGAGAATGAATGTTGCAAATTTTTGTTAATATTTTGAGATATGAGGGTTCTTTATTTCAAAACACTTGCCACTCACTTCTGTGGGTTTCGAATCCTGTCAAGGACCATAAATTCTTTCATGTGTAGAAGCTATCCAACTAGCTTGCAGAATTTTGATTGTCCTACACGAGTGCTGACTGGTGCATAAAAATTGGTACCCAAGGTTTTCCTTCACCAGTAAAGCTAAAAGTCTCTCTAGGACCATTATAGTTTTTGTGTGACTTAAATCCCAATAACAACTCTTACATAGTAATAAGATGAAATTTTATCCTTTTAACATATTTAAATGTTCATTTATTGAAAATTAACCACAAAAAAAGAAGACAACAATAAAAAAAATGACAAAAATCAACAAAACTATTACATAATCCAAATACTAAAACCTGCCTGTGATCATCTGCCATACATTTAGGACGCCCGACTTTATCACGGTTCCGACAGTAAATTTCAATATATTTATGACTGTGTCTGTCATGTCTCTCTGCTGGTGCCCTTGGCTGACCTTTGCTGGTTCCTGACTTGACTTGAGATTTATCCAACACCTTGTGACCAGCCCATGAAGGCACTTTACTGTGAACTTTGACACAGTTAACACAGAAATAATCATGACAATCTACACAGAATTTATCAGCTTCAATGTTAATGCCTTGATTTTTACACTTTGAACATACATGTAGTACATCCAATATTTCATCAGAAAAATTATCTGTATTTATTTGTCCACCTGTAGCCATCTTGTATATTGACTTGTTTAAATCCTATTCTTGTTTTTTATCTATTCAACACATGAATATTTGTATATTAAATTGTCCCGTTTTTTTCTCACATATTGATTTAAATCTTTTTCTGAGGCCCATATTTTTCAAGTGTCTCCTAAACAACCTTTTCAATCAAATGTTTTTACCTTATTATGACTTCATTATTTTCTTCTCAAAATGTTAATTCATAACAAAAAATGTTCAATTCATGCATGGCAGTAAACAATTAACATCAAAATGTTGTGTGCAAAAAATGTGATTTTATCTAGTTGAATACTGATTCAAAGTCCACATTCCTTTAAACTGAAATACCTTTGTTTTAAGATTTATTATCCACTTACAAGGAAGTATAGATCATGAGTATTTTTAGAAAAGTAGTTAGTAATGAAAGATTTATTAGTTAAAGGTGATTTCAATGGCGTTTGCTTTTGGAAAATAAAAAATCTTATGTGTGCACAGCTGGTGGCATACAAAATGCATTCTGTAGTTACTTGAGTAAGAAAAAATGTGCACACATTTGATTTCTTTATCATTTAAATATTATGATATACATATATTTCTTAAACCTTTTCCTTCATATAGAGGCCTCAAACAGTAAAAAAATGACATATTTAGGCCCCAAACACTGTTTTTCGTTTGAGAAAAAAGTGACCACTTTTTCGGCGTGGCCCCCCCATCAAAATGATACATCAGGGGGTTGCCAGAAGGGGGATATGCCCCCATCTGTTTGGGGGTTTGAAGGATAGTCCCCCCCCATCGCCAAGAAAATTGTGGACATGTGACAGGCTAAAAATGGCCTCAGGTCTTAAGGTGACGTGTAACCAATGCTGAAAAGCCTTTTACTCTATCTCATTGCATTGAGAAGTTGCAGCACTTAGAAATCAGATTTTATGGGGAAAAAAACAATGCAAAATAGTGATTTTTCGCAATTTTGAGAGGTCCCTCGTTGCCATGGTAATAGGAAATTTAAGATTGAGCATGTTGTTACAGAGGTTATGGTTCAGTCAACATATGTGCCAAGTTTCATCAGTATTGAAGCATTTTTCATACTTTTATAGCAATTGGAACTTGTAACTTTCACAATATGCTCATTGGGTAAAGGATAAAGCTTAGTTACATTCACTGATATATATTGTCATTTGTAAAAGGCTTAGATAGAAGATATTTGGTATGAAGCATTTCTTATTTGTTTCTCAAAAGTTGAATAAGCCATGTCCATTGAGTGAGAGTTGCACCCAGCTGCCCATGGGGACTGATATTTTACATAAATTTTGTGACAACCAATTTTTTCTGTGAAGAATTTAGGTTTACTCTGTTCTTATTAATGAATTAAGCATCTTATACATTACAGTATGATCACAGAGATAATTATGCACATGAAAATGGGACCCCTCTTATATTATTATCTCAAAATATGAAAAAAATATATATGTAATTAATAGGTTATGCATGGTTGTAAATGATACACAATTCTCAGTTCTTAAAATAATGGAGTTTTTGAATGGAAATATAGATTTTCTCATTAATAATATCTTTATACACGTAATTATGCATATTAACTTAATCAATGTAACAAATGAAATAAATTGCTATATATTAAAGAAATATTTTCCTTCTTCCTCTTTATCATATCAGGTTATCTTTAAGGTCAGTCATATCATTGATTGGCTGATATGTTTTTCCTATACAGCAATTTTGTTGATTTGTTAATCAACATTTTGAGTCTATAAGTGGAAAAACAGTCTTAAGTCATCAGTTAGGAAATGTGTGTGTCTAATTTAACCAGATTCTAGACTTAAAGCAGGTCATTGGTTCAATATTCTGATGCAAAAAAAAAACAATTCCATATTTCAAGCCATATTATAATCTTAAGTTTGTGTCCTCTTTATAATATTACAAATGGATAATATTAAGAAATAAGTGTCTTTTAACGATTTTAATAAATATTTATTAAATGTGATTAATTCTGGTAACTACATTATTTACCCATGCAACCAGTGCAGACGTACTCGGACCAGCCTACAATCAATACCATCTCATCATGTCCTGTACTTTTCTCTATTCAGTCAGTACATATTTTGAATTTTTATGCCCCCACAATGTGGGAGCATATAGCGTGAGCATATAGCGTTGCACTTGTCCGTCCGTCCGTCAGTCCGTCCCGAAATCTTGTGAACGCAACTCCTCTTAAACCGGATGGCAGATTTTGCTTAAACTTACAGGGATGAACAACCTTAATGTGTAGATGATGGTAGTAAAGGAAGGAATTTTTGCTGCCACCAAAATTTAACAGAATTATGGCCCTTTGTTTGATTTTTTTCACTAGATACTATGCAGAAATTTTGTGAACGCAACTCCTCTTAAACCGGATGGCAGATTTTGCTTAAACTTACAGGGATGAACATCCTTAATGAGTAGATGGTAGTTAAGGAAGGAATTTTCGCTGCCTCCAAATTTAACAGAATTATGGCCCTTTGTTGATTTTTTCACTAGATACTATGCAGAAATTTTGTGAATGCAACTCCTCTTAAACCTGATGGCAGATTTTGCTTAAACTTACAGGGATGAACAACCTTAATGAGTAGATGGCAGTAAAGGAAAGAATTTTCGCTGCGACCAAATTTTACAGAATTATGGCCCTTTGTCGATTTTTTCACTATATACTATGTAGAAATTTTAATTTGTGAATGCAACTCCTCTTAAACCTGATGGCAGATTTTGCTTAAACTTCCAGGGATGAACAATCTTAATGTGTAGATGGCAGTAAAGGAAGGAATTTTTGCTGCAACCAAATTTAACAGAGTTATGGCCCTTTGTTGATTTTTTCATTATATACTATGTAGAAATTTTGTGAACGCAACTCCTCTTAAACCGGATGGCAGATTTTGCTTAAACTTCCAGGGATTAACAACCTTAATGTGTAGATGGTAGTAAAGGAAGGAATTTTTGCTGCGACCAAATTTAACAGAATTATGGCCCTTTGTTGATTTTTAGTTTTCAACTTGTGGCACATGTAGTCCAAAAAATATTTGACCTAGAGTCATAAGATTGACAGAACAGTGGCGTGTGGGGGCATCTGTGTCCTATGGACACATTTCTAGTTCTTCCTTAAAGCAGCATGCCTCCAGATTCTTGCTAATTTTCATGAAAATTTTGAAAATGTATTTAAAAGTAAATTATTGTGAAGTGAACAATGAAAGTAATTTACACATTGCAAACAGAACATAAAATCCACGTTTATAACCAAAAAGAGGTTAAAATATACATAAATACCTCTTACTGCGTTAGTAACACAGTATAATTATAGTGATTGATACTGCAAAATCAGTCATCAATCGCACATAACATGTAAATAATTAATTAAATATTGAATCTTTTTGCTTTTCTTAAGATCTTAATACATTTTTCTAAAGATTGAATTTCTTGAATTATTTTGGCAAATCTCAAGGCGTGCAGATTTAAAATCATGAATGCCCTTTATCAAGATTGAAAGAAGGACATTTATCTAAGGTATATGATATTAAAAGTGTCAAATTTGTTTTCTCTAATTTCAGGTGGTGTATAACAGTTGCCCACAGTTATCTCCGCCAAAGAAATCTGTGATCCCTAAAGTAACGGAGTACCAGAAACAGTTTAAGGCATACAAGCTGATCCCTGTTCCGAAAGAGGAAGATATTGAAGCACCTAAGAAGAAAACTAAAGTATATCTTGATTAAAATCTATTGTAACTGGAGACTAAAGAGAGTTTAGCGAAATTTTTCTATGGAGTAATTTTCTTCTGTCTACTTACCCTTTTCTGAAACAACTTTTATGAACTGATATTTTGAATATTAAAGGTATATCTGAAGGGTCAAGGTCACGCTGGTTACGCTTTCTGAAACAATTTTTATGAACTGATATTTTGAATATTAAAGGTTTATTTGAAATTAACAGGGTGAGGGTCACTTTGGTTATTATTTGACTTTTTTTCCAGTTTTCCTAATTGATTGGCAATTATTTTTAGTTGTGTAATTTACAGTAAAAGCAGAGGCCCTAAGCATGTATTGATGTTGTTTATTGAGAAATGCATCTAATGTCAAGTATTTATACATTACTGTTCTACTATACATTACTGGTCAAACAAGAAGAGGTTGGATGAAATAAAAAAATGTTACAGGTTTCTTGTAAATGATAATGTATCAAGTTGAGTGTAAGATTGTGTATCAGATTTACATGTATATTCTTAAATTTTCTGCCCTTATTTTACCATGTGCAAGAAATCTATTCTTTCTATGTAAATGAAGTATATGTGACATTTTATAGTTTTGCATTATACAACTTGGTTTGAAATGTCACTATGCTCTCTTTATACTGTAATACTACTGTTTATATGTTTTATCATTGCAGCTGCAGAAGAGCAAGAGTATGGAAGGTAAGTTATCATGAATTTCATTGCTCAAGATTAAAGTGAATTGGTCTTAAATGGAAGGTCTGTAATACAATAAATAATTATGTTGATTTTATTTAGTATTAGACACTACAACAAACATACTTCCTTCTGGCTTTTGGAACACTTCTTAACTTTTAATATTAAAAGAAAAAGGCCTTACATTTTTTAATCATTTTATTTTTAAATACTGACAAAAGAAACAAAAAGAGATATGAAAATGTTGTTAAAAATAAAAGTGAATATATGTTTAAATTATTTTTTGTTCCATTACAGATTTATCCCCAGCTGAGATAAAACCTGCAGGATCAACCCCAGTTATTTCCCCTGACAACAAACGTTTAACACTTGAAAGTGGCCAGTCAAAACCTGAACCTGTACCTGAAGTGCCTAGAAAGAAAACAAGGTATATTGGATTATTGCAAAATAACAAGATCTATCCTTCTTATGTCTCTACATCACCAGGGTAATATTTTTCGCAGTATTATACCTTACCCTATTCTCAAAGTCTCTGGTAATTCTAACCTTTGTTATAAGCTTTTTATTTCATAAGGTACAGCCTTTTTATTCATATTCCAAATACATATACTTTGGTGATGACTAATTCTGAGGTAATAAAATATTATCTTAATCTTCATCGTAGAGTTTTCAAACTTTAAAAACGTTACAGATTTGGTAAAGGGAATTGTATGTAACAAACACATCTTGTATAAAGGTATATTTTATTACCTCTACATGGAATTATCTGAATTTTTTCTGCACCTGAGGAGCTCTTGTTAATTAATACTATTCATTCCATAGAATGTTAAACATTGAGAACAGGCATTGCAAAATTTGAACATGTTATTTGTTGACTTTTTAAAAAAATGAAATTAGCGTAGCATGTTTGTAGACCCCTATTAAAGATTTTATATTGAACTTTTATTAACAACTTTGCTTATCGTATATATCAGACAGGTGAGAAGTGAGTATGATTCAAACTTCAAAGAGCCAAATAGGTTTGACTATGTGAAAGGCACATGGCATGGTGCAGCCCCACCTCAAGTTCGAATTAAAGGAGTAAGTTCTGAGATATTTTATGTAAAGATTTTTATTGATTATAGATTTCTAAGACTCATAAGTATGCTGTTAACATTTTAATTTAGAATTAAAATCACTTTTTCTGTTCAATGAAGTTTAACAATTTTTTAACAATTCTCTTTCTACTAGCATGACATAATGGCAACAGCTATCAATTTTCTTGTCTTTTAGTACAGCTTTGTAATAAATCACTGAGGTCTTTCAGATTTCATGATTACCATTACTGTGCATCTGAACGCATCATACTGAACATAATTCAATAAAAATCTCATTTATACTAGATAGCTTTCTGTTCCTTAAATGAAATAAATTTTGCAATAATTAATATTGTACATTGTAGCCTGATGAACCACTGTGTGGTAAGAAGCCAATGCCGGCACTTTCGAACTGGTTTGCGGAGGTGATTGAGCTTCGCCGTAAAGCCCAAGAATACCGCCAGCGTGCACTTGGCACACATTTCTCTCGGGAACATATGGCCCAGTTAATGGCCAAGCAGAATGACCTTTGGGAGGCTTCAACACCCTCTGCTAGAAGTACATTGTCTGCTTTATCATTGGAATCTGGGCTCAATTCTCATCGGTAAATGTCTCTTCAAGAATTTTATCTTATTTTAAGAATATGTTGGCAAACTGACTGAAATTTTTTGAATTCCATTATAACATTTAAGATACATTCTTTTTAATCTTAACCATTAATATCCCTTTTGCAGTCGTATCTTGCATTTAACGCTTGTTTGATAAAATTTGGTAGTGACCATGTCCAACTTGTAATCTGAGACTATTGGTTGCAATTTTAACTGGTTCCAGTTTCAAATGGATATAAAAAATATTTGCTTTTGCTTTTATACTTGTAGCTGTTATTCTAGAGTTTTTATCCTGACAGCATAATCAATTCCTTATCACGAATACCATTCAAAGACTTAAAGAACAGTACGTACATGACTGCAACCATTTGGTCATTGATGACTTTAGAAATGGTTATTGTTTTCCAAGATACTATAAATTAAAATGCCAATATTTTTTGTGTATAGTGAAAAACAAAGGAAAGGTGAAGGTCATGTCTCTGTAGAGGCAACCTTAGCTTCAGAGGATGACCAGAGTACCGCTCGTCTTGATGAAGTTTCTCCAACAAGAGCTCAGGCCTGGGCCAGTGAGGGGGAAGAATTTGAAGCCACAAGGTTGGTAACATGTTTTATAAACATGTATAGTGTAACTTCTGAATTCCAGAACTTCTATAATCTGGAAACTTCTGAAATCTGAACATTTTTCAGATCCCAAAATTTCTCCTGCTTTCTATGTAATTAATACCTCTCAATTACAGAACTTCTGAATTCCGAACGATTTTTGAAGTATAACACACTGAGTAAAGTGGAGTGTTCTGCTCCATGAACTTCTATATTTTGGTTTCATAGTGATTCCCAAAGAGATAGATAATAATCTTCCATTTTTATGCCCCCGGGCATATAGTAATTGAACCGTCCGTCCGTCCGTCTGTCCGTACGAGGTTAACCTAGAACGGCAAGTTGGATTTTTCTTAAGTTCTACCTGTACCAATGGCTTCTAAGTTTACACACTTACTAATCAATACAAAGTACATGATCTGGGCAAGTTTCATAACTCTGGCTTTCATATTTACCAAGTTATTGCCCTTTTTAGCACTTAGAAAATGATAATGGTTAACCTGAAACGGCAAGTTGGAAATATCTTAAGTTCTATCTGTACTAATGGCTTTATAATTTCCACACTTACTTATCAATACAAAGCACATGATATTGCCAAGCTATATAACTGTGTCATCCATATTTCCCAGTTATTTCCCTTTTTTCACTTTGAAAATAGGGCCTTGTCTGGTTAACCTATTTCGGCAAGTTTGATTTATCTTAAATTTCTCCTAATTGCTTAATTTCTTTACTGATATCTTTCATATTTAGTAGGTGGATACCTTTGATGGTCCTCTAATTTTTTTTGGAGTAAGCGGTCTCTAGGGTCAAAGTCAAGGTCACTGGTTTTAAAAATAAATATAAACCTTTTTGCTTATACGGCCTTTATTTTTTAGTTGATGTCTTAGTTTAATACAAACACCTCCTTCTTTGGGTGTAGTATGGGGTCATTTGGGTCAAGGTCAATGTTACCAATGTCAAGGTCACCAATGTTAAAAATAGATTTTTACATTTTTACAGGTGTATTGACCTTATTCTATAGACAGATGTTATTTATAATTGATAGAAACATAAACTTTTTTTTTTTAAGATTTTTACACATTTGCTCATACAGCCTTTATTAAGTGACAAATATATTTTATATTTGGTAGGAAGATAACTTGCATGGTATTCTTCCTTTTGATTGGGGTAGGGATCAGTGGGTCAAGGTCACAAGTGCTAAAAATAGATTTTTACACTTTTGCCCATACAGCTTTTATTTATTGACAGATGTATTTCATATTTGGTAGGAAGATAACTTACATGGTATTCTTCTTTTGGATAGAGTTAGGGGTCGGTTTGGTCAAGGTCACCAGTGCTCAAAATAGATTTATACACTTTTGCCCATACAGCCTTTATTTAATGACAGATGTATTTCATATTTGGTAGGAAGATAACTTGCATGAAGTTGAATATTTTTCAACTTCACAAGTCAGAGCAATGACTTGGCAACTTATATTTTTCACAATTACAAAATGCCATGACTTTGTCAAGCTATAATACTTGTGTTTACAATTTTTTGGCGATTTTTCTGTCCATAACTGAGTGAATGGGTAAACATTTTTTGAAGTATTGCTACTGACAAGAATCTGAGTCGGGGGCATTTGTGTTTAACAAACACGTTCTTGTTTCTGTATCATTATGAACATTGTAGCCTTTTTGCTGGAACCTCAAATATAAATTAAATATATATATATATTAACTAGATCAAAAGAGAAAATAAAAAAAAATCATGAAATTAAGAATTTTTTACAATTTTTTACAATTATCAGTCAAGGGACACCATCCACATTTTCTGACGAGCCCCCGAATGCCTCTGGGCGGATACCAACACCAAAGATACGGGCACAGATACTGACTGGTGAAAACCAACACAGACGACACCATCTTGATAGAACCACACCCTCTACAGGCGGAGCTATTCTCAGTTCTCCACCTGATTCCAAAAAGAAAAGGTCTGGCAAGAGAATAGTTAGCCGATCAGTTGACAGTTTTTCTCTAGGTATGGTATCTCTAAATTAGCTGATTAGTTTACAGTATTTCTCTAGGCATATTACTACTAAACTAGCTAATCAGTTAGCAGTATATCTCTAGGTATTTTACCACTAAATCATTTCTTTTTGTTCAAATATAACACAAAAACTAAAGTTCGATCATCTATAAGCATTTTAAGTAAGGAAATGTATTTAGATACTGATTTATTAATGATTTGTTATATGTGTTTGATTTCAGGAACAGTTGAGGATGAAACTCCAAGGCTAGAAACACATAAGCCTTTGGCTGGTCAGAAGGTACTTTTCTATTTATTAACATACTATTTTAAACTTAATGTTAGGTAATATATCAGTAATCACCATATATAACCAGTAACACATGAATGTGAAAATAATGCAGGAATTGTGCACAAATTTAATAGCTATGGCCAAAATGAGTAATATGGTAATTAAACTGACCAAAATATTTTATTCTAAATCAGATTGAAAGGAAAGAATTTACATTCCAACGTTACTTGATATATACTTTGGTAATAGATCTAGTAAGCAAATTAATAATACGGATGATTTATGTTAAATACTAGCTTTGGTCCTTATTTAAGTGTTAACCCACCCATCATCCTAAATGGCAAATGACAAAAAGTAGTTCCTCACACTTTGACAAATGTTTTAATTTCTTAATTAAATTGCATAATTTCATATTAATAGAATGATAATTGAATAAAAATATAATTTCAGACATATTGTACACCTACATTTGGAATGCCATCCAGGGATACCCATGCACTTAGGGATGATGATGCCTCTACTGACAGGGAACTTCGTACACAGTTTGTCTACACTCCTGCTAAACTACAAGCTAAGGAAACCCCTGGTACGGTCTGTTATGATATACATACATAGTTTTCACGGTGCCAACTGTATATAGCCAAGACAGTCTTTATGATTTATATGTTCAGTCTTTTAGACTATACCATATATTCTATTCTGTTCAATTCTAGTAGTTAATCTATTAATGTAAAATTAACGAGTGGTCATGTCTGTATTACAATACTAATATAGAATCATACAAACTTAAATTTCGGTTAAGAGCTAATTTGAAGTAAACAAGGGTAATATGACCTATCAAAGCGATAGCATTCTTGAGTATGCTGACCAAGCTATTGACTTTGATCATCTATGAGTGTTCAATTTAAATATTATGATATTTTATTCCTTGAATTTCAATATGCACAGTCGAAAATTAAGAGAGGCAAATTCATTACAAAGTCAGCCTGCTAAAAAGTGAAGTATTTGAAACTTACAGTTCCAGAAACAAAGTGTAGAAGGGTAGATGTTTATATTTAATTTTATTCATAATTTGTCCTGTTTTGTTCAATTTACCCCCCAGAACTGTTGGATTTGATACAAAATTGAAATATACGTTTTAAGTATGCAGAGGAGCAGTCAGGACTAGCTATTTTCTTCATTTTTGACGCACAGACATGTGCACGTCTAATCAACGGGCTTGACATTTATGGAAGATAGATAGAATCACAAACTACAATCTACTAAAATACATAAAACTTTAAGGCAACTCAGGAACATATTAGTTAACATTGAAGTAAATTTGTCTGTTAATATTTTAAGGGACTTACTTGTATATTCCCATAAAGCTTTTCTTATTGTTCATTTAAATTATAATTTTACAATCACAGGTGGTCTGTCAGCCATAGACGAAGGTTACGGTCTGACTTACAACAAACTGAAATCACATACCAAAAATGCCAAGAATCAAAGGGACTTTTCATGGACGATTGATGGAGGTAATAAATTTTGAATTGTTAATCTTATAATGTAGGTAAACTATTCAGTAAAAGATGATCCCAATATACATATCAAGCTGCACGCCTCCAGATGAATAAAAAGATTCAAGAAAATCAAACTTGAGGGAAATGTACAAAGATTTTAAGAAAATTAAAAAGATTCACGATTATTTAATCAAGTAATAATTTACATGTTGTGAGTGATAAATGACTGATTTTGCAGTATTTATCACGATATTTGTACTTTGTGTAACCCAGTAAGGGCTATGTTTGCATATTTTGGCCTCTTTCTGGTAATTTATGTGGATTGTAAGTGCCGTTCGAATGTGTTAATTACTTTCTTTGTTCACTTCACAACACTATACTTTTAAATACATTTTCAAAATTATCATGAAAATTAGCATGAATCTGGAAGCTTGCTGCTTTAATTATTTGTGAGTTACCTTTAACCGACAATTTCACTTTCACCTTTGAACAAAGGAACAGAATGAATAAGTGTTTAGAATTAATTGTAAGTCCCATTTGTAAGAATTGAGGTTTAATCATCGTAGAAAGTCTTGTACCGTGTACTTCTCTTTTGAATCTTTATCAACCATAACATGGTTTTTCCTGTGGTCTGGGACCAAATATACCTTTTGTCCCAGCTGCGGTGGACTTTCCTGGCCTAATGGTAAATGTTGCCGACTTCACATCACTTGCCTTTCATTGGAAACCCACCATGGACTTTTTATTTTTTCATGTGATGTGTCTGTACATTTAGCTGATTGAAGATCAGTTGTTCCACCCAGGTGCCTGTTTTGTTTGAAATTATGTACAAAGGGTATTTTAGGTGCAATAAATTCCTTTACAATTAAATGAATAAGAGCTGGAAATCAGCCATATGACCTTTGCACTTTCGGTACAATTTGTAAGTTAAAACTTAACTACATGTTTTACTTTTGACATACATTTACAGGTATGACAATACCTCGAGTTGACCATGATGATGATGTTTTGTCTGTATCCGTACAGTCCATGGCATCAAGCTGTTCTCTTGCTTCAGAAACACTTGAACGAGCAAAGAAACGAAAGGAGGAATTCTGGGGACAGAGCACAGTCAAAGCTAAATAGGCTGGAAAATTTTGAAGTAATCTAGAAAATGGGAGAAAATTTAAAAAGAAATTTATAGATAGGATTTACTATATGTAATATACATTTATATTCAGTGGAACTTTTGTGCCAAATGTGTTGATAAAATTCTGTTCTGATGTTGAGTTAATGTGATACTTAAATTGAGATAATTATTAATTGCTATTTGTTGACTTACTCGTTTTTATGTGTTGATAAGTGTCACTGCCATCATGTTGCAAAAATAAGTTTAAAAATTAACAAAATTATGATTGGTTAATTAAAGATCTACCCAGCAGAATGAACTAATTATAGGTATGAAGGAGCTTGTGACCGGTTTTCAGTCTTGAGGTTTACAAAGTTGCGCTTTTCATTTTTAACATTTTATTTTGTAAATGTTGCTCAAAGATAAATAGAACAGCATTTTGCTAGGAATTATGAAAACCTCAGAAATTAGGCAGCTGCTAATTGCTCCGTCCATTGTTGGTTTTATATATGTTTTAAACATTATAAAACTAAATGTTGTTTTTTGTTAATGATAGATTTTTGTATGACATAACTTTATTAGGCTTGATATATTTTTAACATGAGTTATTATGGGACCAAGTCACCAAGAATAAAATGTTTAGCTTTAATTTTAAAATAAACATTTAATCTTTTTCTCTGTTCATTGGCTCCTTCTTTTCCAAACATTTATCCTGTTTTATTTTACACGTATTTTCTCTTCTTTGATTTCTTTTAAATAATTTATCTCTATTTTTTTTAAACCTTTCTTTATACATCTATAATGAGTTTCTAATCTAGCTATTTTATTGTTTTGTCTTAGTTTTGTGTTTTAAGCCATTAAACCTATTGTATATATAGTTTTAAATTCTTATCACTGGTTGCTATATAGCTCTTTAGTTTATTTATTGATCATACAGGTTTTAATTTTGACTGTGATATTTCTTTTAAATTGAAGATTATGGATTTAGTTTGAGAACAAGGGTTTGAAAAATATATCTGATGTTTATTTTAGGAAAATGTGTTTTATTGTTAAATTTATTAAAGACCTTTAAATTTTTCTTCCGAGAAACAAATCTCTTTTGTTTTTGGTACTTTTAAACACATTCAATGAATGTTGTGGAATCAGATTGTTTCTTTATGTATCCATTTCTCTTCCTTATAAGTTTTTTTTTTCAGAAATGTTTTGTCACATCACTTATTTCTTGCACCAGTTAGTGCAGAATTATAATTTCAGATCCTCAACTAAACAAGCTTAGTCTATTTCAATTTTTCTTTGTATATAAATGTATGAGTTGTAAATATACTCATTTGTTTTTGTTTTTTTAAACGGTAATTTTATATTGTGACTGTAGTTTTGAAATATTGATATGTAGTATAATAAAGTCTAGATTTAATATGTAACATAGTTTAAAATGACATGATTATTTACAGACATTTTTATTTGCAGTGGATTTTGAAACAATATACAAATGTTTTCATTTAATGTGATGATATATGTGCTTATAGGACAAAATGAAATATGAAAGTTTCATCTTTTACTTTAAAAATATTACGTTTTGCTGTTTACAATAATTCATAAATATGTTACACTTTACTTTGGGCAGATTGTGTTCCAAAAATGTAAAGAAAGTACAGTTTGTGTGTTTCTAACTTATAAAACTGAGTAAGTTAGTCACTATTATAGTACATGTATTTGTATTTGATGAGGCTTAAAACATATACGCCAGACAATTGTGTACAATAAACATATCCTAAAATTCATGCAATTAATCTATAATATGCCTGAACCATAAGGCTTTGTATTTCTTAGCCAAGACATGTCCGTACTTTATTACTATCTTTGGCTATGAGAAATATATAGGTTTTTGTTTAAAGGTAACTTAATTTATTTGTATAATTATATCTCAAATATTAATATCCGAATTGTTTATTTTCTTAGAAAGGACAGTAAAAATTACATGTATTTATATAAGTTATATACATTTGCCGATAAAAGATATCGAAATAGTGTGTACTGTAGTGTAGAATTTGTAATACATTTTGTACACCTTCATAGGCTATAGAAAATATAATACACGTTTTCATGCTATATGAGTGGTTTTTATTAATTAAAATACCGGAAACAACAATTTGCATTTGTTATTGTATTTGACCATACACCAAAACAAAGTGTCATTGATAAAGTTCAATGCAGCTCTCTTAAAGGTTGCCCAACATTTGATTTTTCAGTTTAATGCTGTTCATAGACACCAGTGATAAATGCATGCTATCATTCACGTCTCTCACACAATCAAATTAAAAAGCAGAATTCAACATTTGATTATGAAGATGTTGAGTAATAAATAATTTTAAAAGAAGACCAAATCCAAAAGTAATTTGCTGAACAAAACAAAATGGAATTTTGAGAGTAATGGAGGTTATAAAGCATAGGTATCACATGCAACCAATTAAAAAATATGAAAATAGATCATTAAGGAATGGTATCATTCAGTGAACGCACCCCCAGCACAGGACCACCAGTAAGGAGCACAGCAGGACACTGAGCAAGAAGATCAATTTAAAAGCATAAAGCACTAAAGTACGAAAACTGAAACAACCTAATTAGAAAAAATAAATTGGCAGATTTAAAATCCAAGGCAATGATATTACAATTCCTATTGAGAAATCAGTTTGTAAATTACAATGTGCCTTAAATAATCTAAGATGAAACAGTAATGGTCGTAATTGGGTAGAGCTCAGAGTTGGATTTACATTGCTTTCTTACCCTGAGAGATTTATGGATTAATTTCAAAATAGCGGGGTAGTTTGTCACGGTTTTGAACTTTTCTCTATTTAGGAGAGAAGATGTATAGACGGCAGGATAGTTGAGTCGGTAGAGTTGCAGAACTGTCTTTCGAGGGTCCCGGGTTCGAGTCCCGTTCAGGCTGCACATTTTTCTCACCTTGGCTTAAATAAATGGTTCTTTGAAACAATTTCTGATGAGTTTGTAACTTAAAGACCAAGTTCACGTTTTGACATCTAAGGTTCATATTTTCATTAAGTACATGCACATAGATGTTTATAACAAGTCATCAATTCTGCCATTGATGAATGGATTTTGAAATAACTAGGCACATTTAGCCCATTAGTGAAACTTGTCACACGAAAACGCCAGGCCGTCAGTTTAAAAACGTAAAGGATAGACTTGAAGGTAAACAATTACATTGATGGTTCTTTTGTAGGTGCTTTTTGGAATAATTGGCCTGGTATCGTTTTCATTTAGAAACTCTTGACTTGACTCTACCCTTTGCTGACATTCATGCATGTTAAGGTTTGTGATAATCCACCTTGCAGATACTTCTGGCAAAGCTAAATGTTCACAATGGATCATAGAATAATCACTTTCATTAGAAATACCAAATTCTGAAGTAAGCAGGAAGTCTCTCAAAACGACCGATCATCTCCTGGCTGATGGCATCAGCCGAGCAATCTGCACTTGTGCCATTTTTTAAGGACTCTCACTTTTCAGAAACTACAATATCCAGTTGTTTGTTGTTTGGCATGTAGCATCACCTTGTGTTCCTCTTTAAAACTTATATATATCATGCCTATTTGATTAAAAAAATCAGGCTCCAGGGGCCACTTACTTAAAATCGATTCCATGACTCATATTGTTTCAATGATAACCGCCATATGAACAAATCTGCGGATGCTGGGACTTTGAAAAAGGTCATTTAAGCGTGATTTGAGTACAAAAGTTTATTGTAATATTTTTGTCATTAATTTGCATGACCATCCCTTTCAAATTCTGCATGTAGAAGCACCTTAAAATATTCTACCCGCCATACTTATTTTGGGTCAGAAGGTCAAAAGGCAATATCGGACTCCTTGATTTATATTATTTTCATCGCTATCACTTCAATTAGGACTTGGAAACTTGATGAGTGGGTGTATTTTGATGAATTCTAAGCCTGACATCTGCAATTATTTGGTTAAAAGGTCAGAAAAACCATAGTGAATTCCACCATTTATAGAAATTGCCTCTATCTAAAAAATATTTTGTTTACTATTCAGCAATGAGAAAAGTGGAACTGGTTGTTCTACAGACATCTTTAATTAATTTTATTTCTTCATTTGTGTAAATATCATCTGCTGCTTATCCAAATAACAACAAGAACCGGTTGAACAGGGTGATTCTCCCCGAATAAGTTTTGGACCCAGGTAAGTATACCACGTGTAGTGTCAAAGTTATGTCACAGACAAAGTTCAAAGCGTAAAAATGAGCAAAGGGCAATAACTATAACAAAAATTGAGCAAGACAGAGTTATGGTTCTTTTTCACTGCACTTCTACCTAATGTGACCTATCTACATACAAAGTTTCATGTTTATATCTCTTATAGTTTTAGAGTTATGTCCTGGACAAAGTTCAAAGTGTATAAATAAACAAAGGGTAATAATTACAAAATTAGGCAGGACAGAGTTATAGTTCTTTTGCAGTGTACTTCTACTCAGTGAAATCTATTTACCTACAAATTTCATGTTGATATCTCTTTTGGTTTCAGAGTTATGTCCTGGACAAAGTTCAAAGTGTAAAAATGAACAAAGGGCAATAACTCCAAAACAAGACAAGACAGAGTTATGGTTCTTTTACACTGCACTTCTTTTCAATGAGATTTATTTACCTACAAAGTTTCATGTTGATATCTCTTATAGTTTTACAGTTATGTCCCGGACAAAGTTCAAAGTGTAAAAATGAACAAAGGACAATAACTCCAAAATAAGACCAGACAGAGTTATGGCTATTTTGCACTGCACTTCGACTCAATAAGATCTATCTACCTACAAAGTTTCATGTTGATATCTCTTATAGTTTAAGAGAAATGTCCCGGACAAAAATCAGTGTAAAAATGAACAAAGGGTAATAACTCCAAAATTAATTAGGCAAGACAGAGTTATGGTTCTTTTGCACTGCACTTCTACTCAATGTGATCTATCTACCTACAATGTTTCACGTTGATACCTCATGTTGTTCTTAAGTTATATCCCGGACAAGAATAGCGAACGGACGGACGGACGGACAAAGCGGCGACTATATGCCCACCCTTTGGGGAGCATAAAACATATACAAGTTTGGCAAATAAAATGTTTCTTTTCATTGTTAATAAGAGGCCAGCATTACCAGAAAGTAATGATCCTTGAAAAGAGTAATCCATAGAATGCAATGAAAAGAAATATTACAAGTTGTTTGGTTCGATTGAGTCTATTAGTTATACAAATTTATTTTAGTTCAATGGTGTTGGAAGCTATAAGCTTATTGAAACACTCTCGAATCCGTCCTGGAACTAATCAGTACTAAGCAATGAATGTAAAGTTTATTGCTCAAGGAAACAACGGCTTGCCCCTGACAGGGTCAAGCCACTCTGTCAGCAATCCTGAGATAACTAGTCAAGACTCGTTAACCACTTGTCCACGCCGCTACTCGCCGCTGATATTACACAGTAAAGATATTGAAATTTTGAATTTGAAACAAAAAATTGTATTGTTTGTTTCAAATATTATATTTCGCTTGATAAATCTATTTATGTAAACGACATACAATTTAAAATTTACAAAGAATTATTTTAAAATATTCATGTAGATTATTTTTTATAATATTTATGTAGATGATAATAAAAATATATATTTTTACAAAATCCCTCTTTGTTGAGAAATCAGTTTGTAAATTACAATGCGCAATAAGTAATCTAAGATGAAACAGTAATGGTCGTAATCGGATGTTGGATTTACATTGCTTTCTTACCCTGAGAGATTTATGGCTAATTTCAAAATAGCGGGATAGTTTGTCACGGTTTTGAACTTTTCTCTATTTATAATTTAGTGGAGAAGCTGTGTAGACGGCAGGATAGTTGAGTCGGTAGAGTTGCAGAACTGTCTTTCGAGGGTCCCGGGTTCGAGTCCCGTTCAGGCTGCACATTTTTCTCACCTTGTGACATTGGCTTAAATATATGGTTCTTTGAAACAATTTCTGATGAGTTTGTAGCTTAAGGACCAAGTTCACGATTTGACATCTAAGGTTCATATTTTCATTAAGTACATGCACATAGATGTTTTTAACAAGTCATCAATTCTGCCATTGATGAATGGATTTTGAAATAACTAGGCACATTCAGTCCATTAGTGAAACTTGTCACACGAAAACGCCAGGTCGACAGTTTAAAAAACGTAAAGGATAGACTTGAAGGTAAACAATTACATTGATGGTTCTTTTGTAGGTGCTTTTTGGAATAATTGGCCTGGTATTGTTTTCATTTAGAATTTCTTGACTTGACTCTATCCTTTGCTGATATTCATGCATGTTTAGGTTTCTGATAATCCACCTTGCAGATACTTCTGGCAAAGCTTAATGTTCACAATGGATCAGAGAATAATCACTTTCATTAGAAATACCAAATTCTGAAGTAAGCAGGAAGTCTCTCAAAACGACCGATCATCTCCTGGCTGATGGCATCAGCCGAGCAATCTGCACTTGTGCCATTTTTTAAGGACTCTCACTTTTCAGAAACTACAATATCCAGTTGTTTGGTATTTGGCATGTAGCATCACCTTGTGTTCCTCTTTAAAACTTATATATATTATGCCTATTTGATCAAAAAAGGTCCGGCTCCAGGGGTCACTTACTTAAAATCGATTCCATGACTCATTTTGTTTCAATGATAACCGCCATATGAACACATCTGCGGATTATTACTAGTTTATGTAAGATGTTGAATTATGCTAGGGCCGGTGCTGTGGCATTGGCAGTGGCTTGCAGCTGCAAGTACCGTCCATGGGTGGGCTTAGTCTGAGCCTGCAACATTTTCATTTTCCCCGTGTTGGGCTTTCTTGGAGATTCTGTTTTTCTCTGCACCTGACTTAAAACATTAAGAAGTGTAATTCACTTATAGTTATTAGGGTTATTCAAATTTCCCTTTTTATGTATAGGTATGATTAATTATTGACATTTTCTTTAACGCTCTAACCTGACCGACGTCGGTCAGGTTAGAACTTTACGATTTCACAATAGTTGTCACAATGATCTCTGGAATCGTTAGAGAACATGCCAAATGAAAGACTTATACTTGTTTCCATAATACAGTATCTGCAATATCTGTTATTGTATTTTCCAGTTTTTGTTCAAGAAACATGTCTTGTTTTAAAACTTCTCGGTGATTTTGTCGGCATATAAATTTTGTTCAACATAAATAGATATATTTACGTTTCGATCCCAAAATATATAGAATTTATACAGAAATCCATACTGGGACTTTAAAAAATGTCATTTTAGCGTGATTTGAGTACATAAGTTCATTTTGATATTTTGTCATTAATTTGCAGGAGTATCCCTGTCAAATTCTGCACGTAGAAGCACCTTAATAAATTCTATACCAGCCATACTTATTTTGGGTCAGATAGAAGATCAAAGAGCAATCTCGGACTCCTTGATGTATATTATTTTCATCGCAATCACTTCAATTAGGACTTGGAAACTTGATGAGTGGATGCATTTTGATGAATTCTAAGCCTGACATCTGCAAATATTTGGTTAAAAGGTCAGAAACCATAGTGAATTCCACCATTTATAGAAATTGCCTCTATCTAAAAAATGTTTTGTTTACTATCCAGCAATGAGAAAAGTGGATCTGACTGCTCTATAGATATCTTTAATCAATTTTATTTCTTCATTTGTGTAAATATCATCTGCTGCTCATCCAAATAACAACAAGAACCGGTTGAACCGGGTAATGCTCCCCGAATAGGTTTTGGACACAGGTAAATATACATCATGTAGTGTCAGAGTAATGTCACAGACAAAGTTCAAAGCGTAAAAATGAACAAAGGCCAATAACTATGACCAAAATTAAGCAAGGCAGAGTTATGGTTCTTTTGCATTGCACTTCTATTTAATGGGAGCAATCTTCCTACAAAGTTTTATGTTGATATCTCTTATGGTTTCAGAGTTATGTCCCGGACAAAGTTCAAAATGTAAAAATGAGCAAAGGGCAATAACTCCAAAATAACGTAAGACAGAGTGATTTTTTTTACACTGCGCTTCTACTCAATGAGATCTATCTGCTTACAAGGTTTCATGCTGATATCTCATATAATTTTAGAGTTATGTCCCGGACAATGTTCAAAGTGTAAGAATGAACAAAGTGCAATAACTCCAAAATTTGGCAAGACAGAGTTATAGTTCTTTTGCACTGCACTTACAATACAATGACATCTATCTACCTACAAAATTTCATGTTGATATCTCTTATAGTTTTAGAGTTATGTTCCGGGCAAAGTTCAAAGTGTAAAAATGAACAAAGGGAAATAATTTCAAAGCTAGCCAAGACAGAGTTATGGTTCTTCTGCACTGCACTTCTACTCAATGAGATTTTATTTACCGAAAGTTCATGTTAAACCTCTTGTGTGTTTCAAAGTTTTTCCCAAAGATAGGGACAAGGACGGATTATGGATTACTTATGTTTTTTCTTTGACTCATTGAGACCTATTTGACCAAAGCAATGTTCCCCTTAAGTACGTTTACAAAATGAAATGGATATTTCCCAAAAAAGCCAGTTTGAAAGGTTCCCGTACAAGAACGGACGGGACAAAACGGCGACTAATGCTCACCATAAAATTTTACAAGTTTAAAATAGAGACTTTATTGTTAAAGGGCACATTTCATAAAATAATTCCTTAAAAGGTAATCATTGAAAATCAATGAAAGGAAATAAAAAGGTTTTGGGTCCAAAAGTCTATGAAAAAAATATTCCGCTCGTTGAAATCCTTTACGTTGCTACAAGCTCTAGCGAATCTTAATAATTGAGAAACATAAACCCCGTAAGATGTTGCATGGGGTACGTCTCCATCTAAATATGGATAATTAACTATACAAAAGTCAAAGTCATCTCGTTTATCATAGATTTTCGTGTGAATAGAATTGTTGTCGATAGTAATATGAAGGTACTAAAATTTCAAGAGTTCGTTTTATTAAGTTGTAGTTCATGCGGATAAATGTCAGACACCATTCGATCAAATAAGAATGATCTAAATTAAAAATATCATCAAGGTATCTGGAAGTATTATGAAATGCGACTATAACATCATGATGTTTATCTTCAGAGAGACTCAACATAAAGTCTCTTTCATAGCAGTACAAAAACAAATCGGCGACCAGGGGTGCACAATTAGTACCCATAGGAATTCCTATGATCTGTTTAAATAGGGTATTACCAAACCTGACATAAATGTTGTCTAAAAGAAAAGAGGGTGCTCTACAAACTTCGTCACAGGTCCACATAGTATAATGTTTAACAATACCGTTAGTAAAAAAAGCTTTGTTAGAATTACATGTTAGAAAGGTAACTATTTCCCGTGCAAAAGTTTTCTGAATTAAGGAAATTAGTTCATCATTGATTAATTTATGTGGCAAAGTTGTATAAAGTGTAGAAAAATCGTATGTACTGACAGTTGAAGCTTGAAAATTCTTAGTTTTGAATTTATCCAAGATTTCACCAGAAAGAGATGTTTGCCTGTGTTTTCATAGACTTTATCACAATATCTAATTACATGTGTTTTAATGGCAGTCAAACAAGACGTCAATAAAATAGAAAGTTTACTAGTAGTGCAAGATGTAGAATTAGCAATGAATCTGGCTTTGTAAGGTTTTTTATGTAATTTAGGAATCCAATACGTAATAGGAAGTTTGAGTTCTTTTTCATTAATTTGGACTTTAAAATTGGAAATATAAGTAATATGATTGTTTACAATGTCTTTTTCGAAGGCAGAGGTTTTAGAATACGCATTAGTACTATTAAGTTCCTTATGCAAAACGTTAATGTAATGGATTCGTCATACAATTATAATATTATTAGCCGCCTTGTCCGCTGGCACCAAAACAAATTTAGAATGAAAAGCTAGAATATCTTTTTTCAGATGTCTTAAAGTAAGTCTTGGTTTAGGTGGCAAAAGATGTTCATTTCCACGATAAAAATTAATACGTGAATCAATAATTTTAAAGATGTTACGTTTCCATGTAACTAGAGCATTACTATCCGCATTTTCACGGCGACACCATTTGACCGAAACATCTTCTATAGATTCAGCAATCTGACCACGACAAGCATAAAAATCAATCTCAGAAGGAATTCTGTATTTAGGTCCTTTCAAGAATAAGTTACGAATTCTTTTGTCTGCAATTATATCAAAATTACCAGTGATTATATGGCCAAAATCTGAATTACAGAATTTAGAAGTATTTCAGTCTCAAATTGTTGGAGTATTAGACTGAATATCTAAGTCAGAAACCACTTTGTTGTAATTAAATATGATATTTCTAACAGGTTTCTTATATTTATAGCAAATAATTGGTATCTCGGAGTTTTTGAAGTATAAAGGAACTGAATTAGTGACACGTTTATCACGAAAAATACTTGATAAATCGATGAAATCGATACCTTTATTAAGAAAGGTTACTTTTAGGAAATACCTGTTGTGGTCAGAAGTGTTGTCGATATGAGGTCTTAAGACGTGCTGAGTATAACTTTGAATAAGATAAGCTGCTGTATATAAAGGATCTGTTTGAATAACTATATTATCTGCCTCCGCGTCTAAGATTTTCAGAGATGATAATGAAAGGGAAGTAAGACGTGATAACATCGCATGTTTACCAGAGTTTTTTAAGATAATACATGTATATAAGTCGGTGACAGACAGGGTAATTTTAGATTTACGTTTGATGTTTATTGCTCAAGAAAACAACGGCTTGCCCCTGACAGGATCAACCCACGCGGTCAGCAATCCTGAGAAAACTAGTCAGACTCAATAAGCACTCGGCCACGCCGCCACTCGCCGCTGACGTTACACAGTAAAGATATTGAAACTTTAAATTTCAAACAAAAAATTGTATTGTTTGTTTCAAATATTATAATTCTACTTGATAAAACCATTTACTAGTATGTAAACGACATTTTGAAATGTACAAAGAATTATTTTTTATAATATTTATGTAGATGATAATAAAAATATATTTTTTTACAAAATCCCTCTTGTTTTTCTCACAGTGAATTTAAATAGCATCATTACATCTATAAACATGTTCATAGCCACATTTTGTCTATCAAGATTTTTAAGAATTTTTTTTATCTTTGTATTGGCTGTTTAAATATTCTATTTTAAATTTGAACCAAAAAGAAGATAGCAAAAAAAGTGATTAAATATCATATACTTCAATATTGTTTTCATGAGATCTGCAAACAAACATCTTAGACATTTGTTGATTACAGCAAACTGACTTAATCCCACTTCTTCTTTTATTGGCTTTTATAACATCCCCTATCAGCTCACCATCAGATGTAAACTGTACAACATTTTTTGAGTTTCCTCCTGATACCAGCACACTTCCTGCTTCAGAGATATAGCAACATGAAGCCCCCATTAATTGCCTACCATTATATGTTGTAATAACCTGAAAATTGTTGTCCAGTACTATCACTCCATTGTAAAAATCAGCAACATAAATCCTTGTAGCATCTTGACGGACAGCTAGACTGCTTATGTCAGAAAACAGCTTTTGTCCCGATTGGGTCTTACTAAACTGTTTTAGTTTCCTACCAGACAATGAATACATATACACTGATGTGTTGCCGTCTGAAATATATAAATTATTGCTTGTGTATGCAAGACCATAACATTCAAAATCAGTTTTAATCTTATATATTGCTTTCAATTTTCTTCCCGCAGAAATAAAATGAACCTCATTTTGTAATGGCAAAGTTAATGCTACACCTGCTGTATTGATTGAGCACACTTGCCATGGTTCGCCAGGTAGATCACAGTGGTCTGTGACAGTATAGTCGTAATCATGTATCTGTTTAAGCTTCATGTTGTTTTTATCAGCTAGAAATATTTGACCATCTTTCAGATAACAGGCACATGTGATATCGCAATCTTTGTTATCCGACTTTACTTTTACACAATATGATAGTTCCCTTCTTATCTGAAATAAACTGCTGGCTATCTTTGTAGGATTCTCTGTTAGTAAGCCGAGTGTACTACTTTTTTCAAGTTGTGTCAGAATTGTTCTATCAGGTTGAAACTCCATGTCTGCTACTGTACTCTTCATTTTCGTGTCTTCCATGCATTGGTTGGCAAGATGTGCAGCATCCTCTGCCATCTTCATATTAACAAACACGTCAGCTTGATTCTGGTTAAAAAATGCTAACTTTTTATTGGCTGATGTGATTTTGTCTTTATGTGCTTGTAGCTGTTTGAGACCCTCTTCGATCTTGCTCTCAAGACATTTGACTTTATCTTCTATCTCATCTACAGAATTTTTCTCTAGCTTGTCAAGTTGGTCATTGATTTCTTTTCGGAAATTTCTGATATCAGTCAATAACTCTGCCTTTCTTTTTAGCAGCCTCTGTTTATCCTGTTTGGATTTGCTAGCTTGTTCTGCAAGGGTCTTGCTTATTTCCGTAAGTTTTGTGTGAATTTCTCTTGAAGGTTTTTGGTATATGTTGTTTTTGATGAATTCTGGTATATAGAATGTATCCTTGCATGATCTGAAAGGAATAAGAGGTTTATTGACTTTTATGTTCATGTTCATCTGAGATAGGAGGTTGGTCACACACTTCTACTCACTGATGTGGGTTTGAATCCTACCAGGGGCCTTGGAATCTTCCATGTGAGGAATAATTTTCGACTAGCTTATAAAACGTCAGAATTTTATGTTTTAGTGCTTCTGAGAATGAATGTTGTATTTAATGTAACATATGAGGTTGTTATTTTTAAAATACTTGCCACTCACTTATAAGGGTTCGGATCCTGTCAGGGACTTTGAATTCTATCATGTGCAGACGCTATCCACATAGCTCACATAATGTCTACTTGGGTGCCCGATGATGCCTGAAATAGTGATATCCGAGGTCTTCCTTCACTACGAAAGCTAGAAAATCTCTCTATGACCATAACAGTGTTGGTGTGACTTACAAACTTACAACCAAATAGCTACTGTTAACATAGATAAAATGAAATTATATCCTTTTAACAACACAAAAATACCCAAAGCAATTCCATAATCAAATTATCAAAACCTACCTATGATCAACTGCCATACATGTAGAACAGCCAACTTTATCATGGTTCTGACAGTACATATCGACGTGTTTATGACTGTGTCTGTCACATCTCTCTGCTGGTGCCCTCGGAAAACCCTTGCTGGTTCCTGACTTGACCTGAGATTTATCCGACATCTTGTGACCAAGACACATAGGAACTTTACTGTGAACGTTGACACAGTTAAAACAGAAATAATCATGACAATCTACACAGAATTTATCAGCTTCAGTGTTTATGCCTTGATGTTTACACATTGAACATAGGATATCAAATATTTCATCAGAAAGAATATCTGTATTTATTTGTCCACCTGTAGCCATCTTGTATATTAACTTGTTCAAACCTATTAATCTTGTTATAGATCTATACAACATATAAATATCACTATATTAAGTTGTCCCAATTATCACATATTAATGTATTGTAAAACTTTTTCCCAAACCTTATATTTTTCAGGTGTATTCGAAATTTCTTTTTCTACTCATGATACCTCTTTATCTTTTTATGGCTAAAGATTTATCTTCTCAACATGTTAAATTATAGCAAAAAACGTTCAGTCCATATAGATAACAATTTGCAAAAAGTTTAAATATTGATCTAAAGTCCACATCAATTTAAACTAAAATTGCGTAGTGTAAAGATTTGTACGGTTTTAAATATTTATGCTATTATCCACTAGCGAGTAAGTATAGAACATCAATAGACTTTCAAAAAAAAGTGTTGTAAAGATTTTTTCAGTTATAAAAAGCTTATATCAATGGCTTTTCAAAAGGTCTTATTAATGCAGAGCAAATGATATACAAAATGCATTCTGTCCATATTTGAGTAGCCATTAATTTACTAAAGGCTCAGATGTGAAATATTTGGTTTGAGGCGTTTCTTAGTAGTTTCCAAAGTTAAATATACATGATAATTAAGTAAAAGTTGGACCTGCTCTAACGGACTATAATAACTATTATTTTACGTAGACTTGTAAATACAACTTTTTCTCATTAGATTTTAGGTCTGCATTGTTCATATGGCTGAAATAAGCATGTAATTATAATAGCCTCCAAGAATCACCACTTAGATCATCATGCCCATGAAATGGGATACCCATGTAAAATGATAAACACGTAATTGTTCAGTGGTTTCACATAATTTTCTTCAATGGAATACAGATTAAAGCATTGTTAAATTTTTATATACACAGTAACTGTCTCAAAGTATGAAATGCATGTATATTGCGGAGTGGATTGCTCTGTCAGAGCCAAGTCGTTGTTTCCATACCCATTGCTCAGTACTGGTTGATTCCAGGAATGGATTTGAGAGTGGTCAAGTAAGATTATTGCTTCCAACACAATCAAACTAAAATTTATTTATATCAACTAAACTACATATTTAACTTATTTTTTCATGTCAAATTACCTTCCAAGTCATATCATTGATTGGCAGAATTTTTCCTCATAAAGTAATTTTGTTAAATAATATTTTGACTTTTGAGATAACAATGTGATGTCACCAGTTAGAAAATATATGTAGCAGGTCATGTTCAGTATATTAATACCAACATCACAGAAACTTATAAAAGAACGGTTCCAAATTTCATGCCACATTATTATTCACATATGAGTGTTTATTAATACAACAACAGACAATATAAATATTAAGTCTTTTTACAGAATTTACACATGCAACTAGGACCGACTAGGACCAATGCCGCCTGATCATGGTCTGCGTTGTTCTTTATTCAGTCAGTACATATTTAATTTGAATTTGTTTCTTTAATATCATGAATCATGGCTTTATTCAGATTGAAAGATAATCATATAATTCATATAAGGAAAAATATATAGTATTGAAATGGTAAAATTTGTTTTCTCTAATTTCAGATGGTGTATATCAGTTGCCCACAATTATCTAAACCAAAGAAATATGTGATCCCTATAATAAGTGACGAATTACCAGAAACAATTTAGGGTATATTCATATTCCAATAAAAAAAGCAGTGAAACACCTGAAATGAAAACTAAAGAATATTTGGATTAAAATCTATTGTAACTATAGACTTAAGAACATATTTGTGCTCTTCAATTTTTTAAAAAAAAATGATGGAATGTTTTTCTTTTGTATCTCATTTTTACTTACCCTTTTCACAACAATTTTAACAGACTTATATCTTAATTAATCAAGGTATGTTTGACTAATGTCAAGGTCGCTAACATTTGACTTTTTCCAGTTTTCCAAATTGATTGAGAATTATTTTCAGTTGTGTAAAAGCAGTGGCTCTAAACATGTATTGGTGTCTTTATTGTGAAATGCATCTTAAGTATTAATACATTACTGTTGTGATATATTGATAAGAAGAAATTGAATATTGATAAAATAATAATAATTGTCACTGTTTTCTTGTAAATGATATTGATTTAAATTGATTGGGTATAAAATTGCGTATGAGATTGATGTTCTTAAATTCCCCGGGCTCATGTTACCATGCGGAAGAAATCCATTATTTCTATGTAATGAATTATATGAAACAAATTATTCAACTTCGTTTGAAATTTCACCATGCTCTCCTGAGCTACTGCAACATGCTAACAACTGTTTTAATATAATTATGTTTTATCACTGTAGCTTAGAAGAGAAAGAGTATGGAAGGTAAGTTATTATTATTTTGAATAAGAACATAAATATCATTATTCATCAGATAAATGTTCATACTAAATCTCTAAGAACTTTATATATCAACAGTTTTATAAGTAATATTTTATAAGAATATCCAAATTATACATTTCTATTGTTTCTATTAATGTTTGAAATATTTATTGAAAATTTGCCTTTAACTTAGATCCACTTTATCCTTATCCTCTTTAACCTTACTAAGCAGTTGACATTGATTCATCAATATATAAATAAGAAAATAAATAAATAAATAAAAGCAGGCTTTATTTCTCTAAAAGTGATATTTTTGCTATAAGAACACTTCTTTCCTTGTAATATGAAAAGAAAAAGCCTTTCGTTTTTGTAGTAAGCAAGTCTACAAGATATAATAAGCCACGCCTTTAATATCAAATATCGTTATTGTTACTGTGTGTATGTTTACTTGATGTTTGGGAGTTTATGAGTGTATACTTGGATGCAACACATATAATAAAATATATAAACCATCCTTCGGGTCTTGTTTAGTTTGTGTGCTAGTAAGCCATCCAAATAGAAAATATAAATGTTACATTGGCGACGAGGATGGGATACTAAAAAAAAAAAAAAAAATTGCGGATTAATTTAAACTGACTCTGTGAAAAAAAAAACAGATTTGAAATTTGAAAATGGATAATTTACCTGCTTTTCCGAAATTCGATGTTTTTGCTGATGAAAATTCTCTGGGAGTACGATGGGAAAAGTATTTGGATAAATTAGAAAACTTATTTGTTGGACTGGGTATAAACACTAGAAAACGAAAAAAAGCACTGTTACTTCATTATGCAGGAGATGATGTTTACGATATCTATGATACATTGAATTTAAGAGAAGACAATGAAAACTACGAAGAAACGAAAATTGGATTAACAGCATACTTTAAGCCAAGAAAAAACACACAATTTGAAATATTCGAATTTCGTAATATGAAGCAACTGCATGGGGAATCTATCGACCAGTTTACAACAAGATTACGCCAGAAAGCTAAGAATTGTGAATTTTCGGACATTGACTCAGAAATTAAAAGCCAGATCATACAGGGTGTTATTTCACAAAACATGAGAATGCAGTGTTTACAAGATCCGGATAAATCACTTAATGACTTACTTACAAAAATGAGAAGTATGGAAATATCAAAAACTCAAGCAGCAAATATGTCAAAGGATGAAAGTAGTCAGCAAGTAGTGCGGGTAAAAAGCAATCCTCGATTTAGCCGTCAATCAAAGGGATTCGCACCTAAACGTTATCAGCAACGTTCATATCAAACTATCCCAGAAGCAAGTTTGTCGTCGGGAAGGCGAAACTACCCTCCAGAACGAAATAAAAAATGCCGAAATTGTGGAGGAAGGTATCCCCATATGTCACGTTGTCCTGCTATCGGAGCGGAATGTAATTACTGTCATAAGAAGAATCATTTTATATCGGTCTGCAGAAAACGTCAAAACAAGGTGAAGTTAATCGATGATGAACAGTCGGATTCACAAGTTTTATCAGAGGCAAGCACGTCGAGTGTTAGTTCAAATGAGTGCGATGTTTTATTTGGATTTAAAATATCAGATGGAAAAAAAGTGCCAAAGAAATGCATTAAATTAAATGGAGTAGATGTTTATGTGTTGATAGATAGCGGTTCATCGTTAAATATTATTAGCGAAATCGACCTCGAGAAAATGAAAATCCGTCCAGAAATCAAGAAAACGAAAACAAAAGCATTCGCATTTGGACAGAAATCTCCACTTCCATTCATAGGCAAATGTTCCCTGCTTGTGGAGTCGGACTCAAAATTTATGACAAAAGATTTCCATATCGTTAAAGGTAACAAAGAATCATTGATCAGTTATGAATTATCGGTAGAGCTCGGGATTTTACCGCAAATACAATCAGTTCATAAATCAGTTCAAAGCAAAGACGCATATTCAGGACTTATTGAAGAATATTCTCAAGTTTTCACAGGCTTAGGATGTCTGAAAGACAGAAAAGTTAAGTTTCATATTGATGAAAGTGTTGTACCTGTAGCTCAACCGCCTAGGAGAGTTCCATTTCATGTACGTGCGCAAGTCGAACAGGAACTGAAAAGTTTAGAGGAAATGGATGTTATTGAAAAGGTTATAGGTTTACCGACACCATGGGTTTCGAACTTAGTAGCGGCTCCGAAACCTAATGCTCCGCATGAAGTGAGAGTGTGCGTGGATATGAGAAAAGCTAACACCGCAATCAAAACAGAGAAAAATGTTTGCCCGACGGTAGATGATATCATCTTGACGTTAAACGGCGCAACGGTATTTTCACGTCTAGATCTGTACAAAGCTTTCCATCAAATTGAATTGGATGAAGCATCACGTGTAATGACAACGTTTCAGACACATATTGGACTGTTTAGGTATAAACGTCTAAATTTCGGGGTGTCCGCAGCACCGATAATTTTCCAAAATGAGCTTCGTCAAGCACTTCAAGGTCTTAAAGGCATATTGAATATTGCCGACGACATCGTATGTTTTGGTAAGACACATGAGGAACACGACGCAAATCTTCGCGCTTTACTGCAACGTCTTCAAGATAGAAACCTCACACTGAACAGCCAAAAATGTTCATTCGGACAATCTAAAATCAAGTTCTACGGATACGTATTTTCCGAATCCGGAATTTCACCCGATCCTGACAAAGTAAATGCAGTGAAAAATATGGACAGACCAAAATCAATATCCGAAATCCGTTCATTTCTGGGTCTCACGAACTATTTGTCTAAATTCATAGATGGCTATTCAAGCTTAACAGAACCATTAAGACGACTTACTCATAAAGGTGTAAAATTTGAATGTACTGCCGACCAAGAAAAATCGTTCACATCATTAAAAGATACCTTAATTAGTGATAAGGTCATGACATATTTCGATCCTAGAAAGGAAACTGAACTCTGGGTCGACGGAAGTCCAGTTGGATGCTCAGGAATACTTATTCAAAACGGCAAAATAGTATCATATGGAAGCAAAGCATACAATTCGGTTCAGACGCGATATTCTCAAACAGAAAGAGAAGCTTTGAGTGCTGTCATCATGATTCAGCATTTCCATTTGTATTTATTCGGCAAGAAATTTAAACTGATAACAGATCATGCTGCACTTCAATCAATCTTCAACAATATCAAGACAATACAGTCACCAAGATTAGAACGTTGGCGTTTGAAGTTGACAACGTATGATTTTCAGACAGTTTATAGACCAGGTAAAATGATGATATCAGATTATCTTTCCAGGCATCCACATGCAAGACACGAAACAAATACAGTAGCCGAGCAGTATATCAGCTTTATTACTGATAACGCTTTGCCAGATGCATTGAAGCTGTCAGATGTAGCAAAAGCTACCGAAACGGACTGTACATTAAGCTGTGTAAGAAATGCGTTAGAACAAAATGACTGGAAAACTCAAAAATGCAAATTAGATGAAAGTTTTCGGTTATACGAGAATTTGAATAAAAATCAAGAACTTGCAGTTGCATATACGGAAGATGGATTTGTGCTTTTACGGGGTACAAAACTTTGCATACCAGAAAGTCTGCAAAAACAAACTGTTATGCTTTCGCATGAAGGTCACCAAGGCCAATCAAAATGCAAAGGATTATTACGTGAGTATTGCTGGTTTCCACATATGGATAGAATGGTGGAAGAAATTTGTAGATCATGCATTGTATGCCAAGCTGCATCAACAAGAATTATTCCAGACCCGATCAAACCAACATTACTACCACGAGATGTGTTTTCTGAAGTCAGTTGTGACTTTTGTGGACCATTTCCAGACGGTTACATGTTACTAGTTGTTATATGTGACTACAGTAGATTTCCAGTAGTTGAAAGAATCAAATCGACTGCCGCAGATACAGTCATACCGCGATTAGAGGCGATATTTTCGATATTCGGATATCCAGAAGTAGTGAAAACGGACAATGGACCTCCGTTTCAAAGTCGCGCATTCAGAGAATTTGCTGATAATTCGGGATTCAAACATAAACGAATCACTCCATTGCACCCACAGGCAAATGGAATAGTTGAGAGATTTATGGCGCCACTGCAAAAAGCAATTTAAACAGCGATAGCGTCCAGACAAGATTATAAAAGAGCGTTAAGTAGATATCTTATGAATTTTCGGAACACACCACAAACAACTACACAAACAGCTCCTAGTGAATTACTGTTCAATCGTAAACTAAAGACAAAATTACCAAAAATGACATTTGATAACAAAGATACAGATATTCGTGACAGGGACAGTCTATCAAAAGCGAAAAACAAAATATACGCTGATAAGAAACGTAGAGCTCAGCGAAATAATTTGAAACTGGGAGATCGTGTATTATTAAAACGGGAACAACGAAATAAGTTTGAAACAGCGTTTGACCCTACCCCCGGAATAATCATTGCTATGAAAGGATCTATGCTTACAATCAAACATAGAGGAAAAGAAATCACACGGGACGTTTCCAAATTTAGATATGTTCATGGAGATCAAGAGCCGGTGCAGACGAAACCTGTAGATAATACATCTTTACCTAGAAATAGGCCGCAGAGGAAACGCCGACCGCCGAGACGTTATGAAGATTAAAAGAAAAAAAAAGAAAATGGTTTAATCTATGATACCATTTCTCGTTACAGCTATTAGGGTTAATGACTCAAATGTGTGGGCCATAATAATGCCCTAATTATATTCGCTATCATAGCAGTGTATCATTTATATCCGCTTGCTGGATTTATTAATCTTAAGAAAAAATGATAACGTATGTGAGAACATTCTGTTATTCGTGAAATTAATACTTTTGGTTTTTATTAAATTACCTTATAATTGGGTTTTGTGTGGTAGAACGGAAAAACAAATCATTCTCGAGATAACAATGCTAGTTGTTTGAACAAATGTTGTGATAATAATGTAATTTGCTTGATATTTTGTGACATTCCGAAAAATAGAAAAGATATGACAATTAACAATAACATTATATTTAACATTACTTCGTTGAAGCAGATGCCTAGTACACTGATTAGAGTAAATCGCATTGGTTAATGAACTCTGCTGAAAAAGGAGAAGAGTTTATAACAATAGACTTGCTGTATAGTTTATTTGATACGGAAAAAAATATTTCTTATTACAATATGTTTGCACATTTAAATTTTAAGTTTTGATGATTTAAGTTTATTGATTTTATTGATGAGTTCTAAACTAAAGATAGAGGAGGATGTAGTAAGCAAGTCTACAAGATATAATAAGCCACGCCTTTAATATCAAATATCGTTATTGTTACTGTGTGTATGTTTACTTGATGTTTGGGAGTTTATGAGTGTATACTTGGATGCAACACATATAATAAAATATATAAACCATCCTTCGGGTCTTGTTTAGTTTGTGTGCTAGTAAGCCATCCAAATAGAAAATATAAATGTTACAGTTTTAATCATTTTATTCTTTAAATACTGACAAGGAACAAAAAGAGATATGGAATAAAAGTGAATATTCAATATATGTTTAAAATATTTTGTGTTCCATTACAGATTTGTCCCCAGCTGAGACAAAACCTGCAACCAGTTATTTTCTTTGACAACAAATGTCTCACACATGTAAAGTTCTAATTTCCACACCGATTGTCAGATCAAAGGTCACGGTCACTTGGACCTGTAATTAGATCGAAGTGCGTCAATCAAACTTTTGTATATAGGAAATATTCACCTAGAATAGTTCTACCTGCTACAATAGATATTTTGTCAAAAGGTTAAAGTTCAGGGTCTCTGGGACAACTAAATAACAACATATAGAACAGGACATTTAACCAATATGCATCGATCCTTAAAACTTTAGACTTTATTAGTAGATGAACTGATATACCTGTATGAGTTCTACATGCTACAGAATTTTCCAGGTCAAACATGTAATGTCACTGGGCTTAAGGTTGACCCCCCACCCCCCCCCCCCCCCCCCCCCCCAAAAAAAAAAAAAAAAATAAAATAAAAAAAAAAAATAATAAAATAAAATAAATTAAAAAAATAACACTGACAGTTAAAAGTAATTTGACTTTGAAAATTGTGTGTATAGGAGCACCTTAATGACTCGTACCTCATACTCCATTTGGGTCATAGGTCAATCTCGGATTGTAAACTTTTGTTAATCAAAATTTGTTCGTGGTCAATCGATTCAATTAGGAATTCGAGAATTGATAATTTGATGCATTTTGATGTGTTCTAAGCCTGACATGCACAAAAAGTGCATTGCAATTTCTTTTAAAATCGCTTCTTTATTTAAAACATGTCTTGTCTACTATCCAGCAATGAGAAAAATTGGAACCGGAAGCTCTTCTGACAGTTTTTGTTAATTTAAAAGAAAGCACAAAATGATACACAATAAAGTTTTTCAAAAAATACAATCTTAAATAAACAAACAAACAAACAAACAAACAAACTAACTAACAAACTAACAAACAAACTTGTTTTGTTTGTTTCACAGATAATTCATTGTTATTTCACTTGTTAACACTAGTTAGTGTGAAATTACAGTCAATCTTATTATTATTTTATTATTGTATTACTTTTTATGAAATACAGTTATGTACATGATAAATGAAATATATTTACAACATCACTCTTGCTTCTTCACATTGAATTAAAATAGCATCACCACATCTATAGATATGGTCATAGTCACTTTTTTAGAATTTCTTTTCCTTTCTCTTCATATTTGATGTTTAAATAATCTGTTGTACATTTTTAAACAGAGTAGTTTTACAATTACACTTCAACAGAATATGGTTTTCACTTCATTCAATGAAGAAATTAAATACCATATACTCCAATGTTATCATCAATGCTGCAAACAAACATCCTAGACATTTGTTGATTACAGCAAACTGACAAAATTTCACTTCTTCCTTCACTGTCAGCTTTTATAACCTCTCCTATCAGCTCACCATCAGGTGTAAACTGTAAAACACTGGAGCCATATGTAGATACCAGCATACTTCCTGCTTTAGTGATATAACAGCAATTAGCCCCACAAAATTGTTCACCGTTAGATGTTGTAATAACTTGACCATTGTTGTCAAGTACTATCAGTCCATTATAAAAGTCAGCAACATAAATCCTTGCACCATCCGTACTGACAGCTATACTGTGTATGTTAGAGAACAGCTTTTGTCCTGATTGGGTCTCACTGAAATGCTGTAGTTTCGTACCAGACAATGTATACACATATACTGATGTGCTTGCATCCGAAATATATAAATTATTGTTTGTGTATGCAAGACCATAACATTCAAAATCAGTCTTAATCTTGTTTGTTCTTTTCATTTTCTCTTCCCCAGAAATAAAATGAACCTCATGTTGTAATGGCAAAGTTAATGCTACATCTGTTTTACTGATTGAGCACACTTGCCATGGTTGTTCTGGTAGGTCATAGTAATCTGTTACAGTGTAGTTGTAGCCACGTATCTGTTTGAGCTTTTTGTTGTTGTGATCTGCTAAAAGTATTGAACCATTTTTAAGACAGCAGGCACTGGAGATATAACAGTCTTCTGTATCAGACTTAACTTTTACACAATATGATTTGTCTCGTCTTATCTGAAATAAACTGCTTGCATATTTTGTAGAAGTCTTTGTTCGTGGCCCAAGAGCAATATTTTGTTTAACCTGTGAAAGAATTGTTTTATCAGGTATGAAATCTAATTCGTCAACTGTACACTTCATATTTGTATCTTCCATATATTTGTTGGCTACATTTGCAACATCCTCTGCCATCTTCACATTAACAAACACGTCAGCTTGATTTGGGTGTGGAAAGGCTAACTTATTTCTTGCTGTCGTTACCGTGGCTTTAAGTGCTTCTATCTGTTTAAGACCATCGTCGATCTTGCTCTCAAGACAGTTGAAATTATCTTCTATCTTATCTACAGAATTTTTCTCCAGCTTGTCAAGATGGTCACAACTTTCTGATATCAGCAATAACTCTTTCTTTCTTTTTTGGCAGCCTTTGTTTATGCTGTTTTAATTTCCTAGCTTGTTCTGCAAGGGTCATGGCTATTTTGTTAAGATTTGTTTGAACTGTTTTTGAAACACTTTGGTAATTATTGTCTCTGATAAATTCTAGTATAAAGAATTTATTTTGGCATGATCTGAAAGGAATAAGAGGTTTATGGACATTAATGTTTATGTTCATCTGAGAGCAAATGTTGTATTAACTGTTTTATAGGCGGTTCTATACTAGCCACTCACTGTTCTGGGTTCAAATCCTGCCAGATTTCTTGGATTTTTTATGTTCGGGAGAATATCTGGCTAGTTAATGGAACGTTAATTGTTTTACATAGATGCCAGCAAGTACCTGAAATTATTCACGGGAGAGTGCTGAAAAGAAGCTATATCATCATTACAATGTTGGTGAGTCCAAAATCAATTGTTAAAATTCAAAATGATTTTTTTAAAACCATATCAAAAATATATAAGATGAAATTCTACCTGATCAAAACCAACCCACTCGAAAAATAGGTAATCAAACTACTGAAAGCTACCTGTGATCAACTGCCATACATGTAGAACAGCCAACTTTATCATGCTTTTGACAGTACATATCAATAGGCTCATGACTGTGTCTGTCACATCTCCTTGCTGGTGCCTTTGGCAGACTTTTGCTGGTTCCTGATTTGAATTGAGATACATCAAATATCTCATCAGAAAGAGTATTCGTATCTAATAGTCCACCTGTAGCCATCTTGTATATTTACGTGTTCAAACCTATTCTTCTTATTGATCGATACAACACAAAAATAACAGCATATAAAATTGTCCCAATTTCTTTTCTCTTTTTAATTTATTGTTAATCTATTTTCCCAAGATTTTATTTTTACAGTTACTCCTAAACAACTTTTCTACCAATGACTACATAGTTATCTTCTCAAAATGTTAAATTATAGCACACACTGTTCAGTCAATATATGACTGTTCATTAATTAACAAAGAAATATCGCACCACTTTATACAAAGAAAATATATCTTTTTAAATAAGTCCACATTCCTGTAATCTAGTATTACTTATTGTAATGATTTGGTTGTTTTCAAAATATTTATGCCATTATCTACTAACCAGGAAGTTAATTATAATGAATAGATTTTCGAAAAATAGATTGAAAATATTTGATCAGATAACAAAAGGTTATATCAGGCCTATTCTTGTGGGAAATCAAAAATCTTATTTATGCAGAGCAAATTGCATACAAAATGCATTATGTAATAATTACTTAAGTAAATAAGAAATGTGCACACATTATTTGAATGTTATACTATTCATATATTACTTTAATACGGTAAAGTTGAAATACACTAAATGATATATCCGGGATGTTTTTTGCGAGTATCTAATTTTCGCTATATTAGCGCAAAAAAAAAAATAGATTCACTGAATTGTCCTTCAATTTTTTGTCTTGAGTTTCTGAATCATTTTTCTTCTTTAGATTTTTTACTAATTTCAGTCGTATATATTTTACATTGTGATACCAACAAATCCATTTATCAAATATCAATTTTCGATATTCATGGTTGTTTATATTAAATGATTTCATTGTCTGTTGTTTCGCATGAATAATCTTAAGTATAGTCTGATTTTATTGAACTATAAATTATGATTACATTAGGACTCATTTAAATATTCGGTCACACTTTGGTAATTTTCTTGTAGTTTACGAGAATGAATATGGAGTATAAAACTAAAAAATCACACTAGCTTAGTATACGTCACTGTAGGTTAAGTGCCTAATATATGAGAGGTCTGTGGACCAATCTCTACTGTTGACTTTGTTCTTTCTTTATTTTGCAGTAAATTTTAATGGAAATGGCCAAGTGCTTGCAAAAAAGACAACAAAAAAAGACAACAAAAAACCAGAACATCATAATAAACAATAATGTTTCAAAATGTTGAAAATATAAATAAGAAGTACGCGGTCTCGATCTTGCAACACGTAGGGCATTTACAAATTATAAACCCGTATTTAATCCCATTTCCTATAACGCTCAGTATAACTATTTTATAGACACAAATTAAATTTGATCACATCTTACTGCGTACATCTTACGGAACGTCTTATTTACTGTGTGCATTGACTGTATAAACAGTATGCCATTGACAGGTTAATAAAATCAAACAATAACACAGTCAGGAAATAAGGTTTTTTCTGTTTACGCTTACGAGTACGTAACCGATTATCTGATATTCTGATATGATAATTCACACCTTGCAAGTAGGTAAACACACATTGGCAGCTTTACAATTGAATTCAATAATTTTATTGCATTAAAAGTTTAACAATGCTTATGGCACATACAAATAAATACATTGGCAAATGAAAACATATCTAAACAAGAGCACCGCTAGGCGGATCATTATATGCCCGAAAGTGTTTTTTTTATATTAAGGATAAAGCATTTGTAAGACATTACATAAATTATATAAACTATTACATCCTTCCAATAGCAATCCTCCTATAAAGTTTGAATATTGTGGGCCAAATAGAATTAAGTTATGCTCCGGAAACTGTTTTCAGTTTTAAAGTAATAGTGACCTTGACCTTTGACCTTGTGACCCCAAAATCAATAGGGTTATAATTGAAATAACAAGTTGACATAACATACATATTGATAATGGTGTAGAAAACATATTTGGATAACAATCATTTTTGTATATCAATTTCTTAATTATATATTATACACATCACTATAGTGTAAAACAGACATATATCATATATGTATTATACAAAGAAAAGGATAATGCATTCATTTTAATGCCTGTTTAAGACATGTTTCATATATGCTAACTGAAATATCAAATTGTCATAACAAGTATTCATATTGAAAATGCTCTGTAAAACATCTGATTAAAATCACAGGGACCAGCACAGTGTTGGGATAGTGAAAAAAAAGTAATTTTTAAAAAATATATATATTGTATATATAATATATAGATAAGGGGTTGAACTCGCCAAATCGGCCGAATGCCCCTAGTCCAGTATAACTCAAAATTGCAAAGTCATTCTTGCGTAAATTATATAAAGCTATATATTAAATTGCAGCTAAATGACATCACTAGACGTTGATAATAACATTACTGTCCCCACTTAAACCGTTTTTGAACAACAAACCGATATTTCGGATGAAACATCGTATTTTTGCTAGGTCGGACACAACCGTGCAACCTGTCAACACTCGATTTTCTACGGGTAAAAACGCAATTCCAGACCATGTCATTATACCAACCCGCAATAAATCGATAAAACAAAACAAAATAAACAACTTACCGCTGGAAATTGTTCCAAAACCAATCAACTATAGCAAACATTCATTTCTTTTTATTTCTCTTCCGTCAAAATATTTTTTGAAGCCATGATACATACTCGGCAACGGTTGTAAGACATCGTTTGATTGGACGATTCTGTGACCCAGCAATGCTTTGTATTTTAATCAACCAATGAAATAATCCGTTTCAAATTGGTCACGTGATAGCCAATGGATGCTGATTACAACTTTCATTTTCACATTCAGGAATTAATTGTTTACAGACGCTATAAAACATTTTAAAAATCAATTTCCGGCGGTAAGTTGTTTCTTTTGTTTTGTATTATCGATTTATTGCGGGTTGAAATAATGTCATGGTTTGGAATTGCGTTTTTACACGTAGAAAATCGAGTGGGGACAGGTTGCACGGTTGTGTCCGACCTAGCAAAAATACGATGTGTCATCCGAAATATCGGTTTGTTGTTCAAAAACGATTTAAGTTGGGACAGTAATGTTATTGTCAACGTCTAGTGATGTCATTTAGCTGCAATTTGATATATAGCTTTATATGATTTACGCAAGAATGACTTTGCAATTTTGACTTATACTGGACTAGGGGCGTTCGGCCGATTTGGCGAGTTCAACCCCTTGTCTATATATTATATATAAAGTATAATTTTTTTTCTAGAATTACTTTTTTACACTATCCCAACACTGTGCCTGGTCCCTTTGATTAAAATCACTGCGTGGGATGTATTATTTCGATTCTAACACATCAACAAATAAATGCTGCCATACTTGATATATCAAGCTAAATTGTGCCTGATTTGTTTCCGTACTTATTTTCAGCGCGTTACATTGTTAGTGTTTACGTGTCACGTCTAAATATAGAATACCAGCAATGGTTTATTTGTATATTTACACACACTTTCGGCCCTATTATGTGCAATAGGGAAAAATACGGTCGTTTTAGGATCCATATTCTAATAAGCTTCACACTATTCCACTATCATACAGATAACGCAGTCAGGTGCATTATGCACAACATAAAAAAGAATGCTCACACGTCATATATGACGTCAATAAACCAAACAATTGTCAAACGTTGTTTCCGAATAAATTCAAAATAACGCAAAAACACAACAATTATGTCTTGCAGGAAACTTGTAACTTCATTGCTTATTTGTTATTTTCATTTATATTTTACAATGATATAATATGACTGTTAAACACGGACAGATAAGTGTACATCTATTTTTTGTCCAGCAATTATTAGTATTTGGTTCATGTCTTTTAACGTATAAATTATCCAAATATAAAATATTCAAAATTGTTACGTGATTGACATATGTCTGACATTTCTACGTCAATGGAATTTGAATATTTGGTATATTGATCATATGCTTAGTGATGTCAAGACAAGTGTTGCACATAATTTTCCATATTGTGATTTTATAAAAGATAGAGCAAATGTACTTTTTTACTTATATGTATCCATTTTTGTGTCTACAAATGAAGTCTTATAAATTGTTTCAATCTCCGTACAGCTTAATCTGGTTACAAAAAAAAAACAAACAAAAAAAAACAACAACAACAAACAAACACACTTGTTATGTTTGTTTCACAGATAATACATTGTTTTCTCACTTGTTAACACCAGCTAGTGTGAAATCACAGTCAATTTTAGTATAATATCATTACTGTTTTACTTTTTATAAGATATATAAAATATAATTATGTACATGATTAATGAAATATATATTTACAACATCACTCTTGTGCTTCTTCATGTTGAATTAAAATAGCATCACCACATCTATAAGTATGGGAATAGTCACTTTTTTTAGAATTTCTCTTCCTTTCTCTTCATATTTGATGTTTAAATAATCTGTTGTACATTTTTAAACAGAGTAGTTTTACAATTACATTTCAACAGAATATTGTTTTCACTTCATTTAATGAAGAAATTAAATACCATATACTCCAATGTTATCATCAATGCTGCAAACAAACATCCTAGACATTTGTTGATTACAGCAAACTGACAAACTTTCACTTCTTCCCTCACTGTCAGCTTTTATAACCTCTCCTATCAGCTCACCATCAGGTGTAAACTGTAAAACACTGGAGCCATATGTAGATACCAGCACACTTCCTGCTTTAGTGATATAACAGCATTTAGCCCCACAAAATTGTTTACCGTTTGATGTTGTAATAACTTGACCATTGTTGTCCAGTACTATCAGTCCATTATAAAAGTCAGCAACATAAATCCTCGTACCATCTTTACTGACAGCTATACTGTGTATGTTAGAGAACAGCTTTTGTCCTGATTGGGTCTCACTGAAATGCTGTAGTTTCGTACCAGACAATGTATACACATATACTGATGTGCTTGCATCCGAAATATATAAATTATTGTTTGTGTATGCAAGACCATAACATTCAAAATCAGTCTTAATCTTGTTTGTTCTTTTCATTTTCTCTTCCCCAGAAATAAAATGAACCTCATTTTGTAATGGCAAAGTTAATGCTACATCTGTTTTACTGATTGAGCACACTTGCCATGGTCGTTCTGGTAGGTCATAGTAATCTGTTACAGTGTAGTTGTAGCCACGTATCTGTTTGAGCTTTTTGTTGTTGTGATCTGCTAAAATTATTGGGCCATCTTCAAGACAGCAGGCACTGGAGATATAACAGTCTTCTGTATCAGACTTTACTTTTACACAATATGATTTGTCTCCTCTTATCCGAAATAAACTACTTGCCATTTTTGTAGGATCCTCCGTTAGTGACCCAAGAGCAATAATTTGTTCAAGCTGGGTAAGAATTGTTCTGTCATGTTTGAAATCTAATTCTTCAACTGTACTCTTTATTTTTGTATCTTTCATATATTTGTTGGCTACATTTGCAGCATCATCTGCCATCTTCATATTAACAAATACGTCAGGTTGATATGGGTTTGGAAATGCTATTTTATTACTTGCTGTAGTTACCCTTGCTTCAAGTGCTTCTATCTGTTTAAGACCATCGTCGATTTTGCTTTCAAGACATTTGACTTTATCTTCTATCTCATTTACAGAATTTTTCTCCAACTTGTCAAGTTGGTCATTGATTTCTTGTCGAAATCTTCTGATATCAGCCAATAACTCTGCCTTTCTTTCCAGCAGCCTTTGTTTATCCTGTTTGAATTTGCTAGCTTGTTCTGCAAGGGTCTTTGTTATTTTGTTAAGTTCTGTTTGAATTTTTCTTGAAACACTTTGGTAAATGTTGTTTCGGATAAATTCTGGTATATAGAATGTATTTTGGCATGATCTGAAAGGAATAAGAGGTTCATGGACTTTAACCTTTATGTTTATTTGAGAGCATATGTTGTATTAAGTGTTTTATAGGTGGTTTTGTACTTGCCACTCACTGTTTTGAGTTCGAATCATGCCAGATACTTTGATTTTTTATGTTAGGGAGAATATCGTTAATGGAACGTTAGTTGTTCTACATAGATGCCAGCTAGTACCTTAAATTATGCACGGAAGGAGCTGCAAAGAAACTATATAACCACTACAATGATGGTGAGTCATACTCTCTAGCCCAAAATCAATTGTTAAAATTCAAAATGAAATTATTTTAAAATTGTATAAAAATAAATAAAATGAAATTCTATCTAATAAACACCCAGCCACTCGAAAAAATAAGGTAACCAAATTACTGAAAGCTACCTGTGATCATCTGCCATACATGTAGAACAGCCAACTTTATCATGCGTCTGACAGTACATATCAATGGGTTTATGACTGTGTCTGTCACATCGCTTTGCTGGTGCCCTCGCTTGAGATTCATCAAATATCTCATCAGAAAGAATATCCGTATTTAATAGTCCACTTGTAGCCATCTTGTATATTTACTTGTTCAAACCTATTCTTCTGATTGCTCGGTACAACAAAAATGTCAGTTTACTTTCTTTTCTCATTTAAGATGTATTGTTAAACTTTTTTCCCAACTTTTCTACCAATGACTACATATTTATCTTGTCAAAATATTGAATTATAGCAAAAACTGTTTTGTCCATATATAGCTGTTAATAAATTAACAAACAAATGTCGCACCAATTTATACAAAGAAAAAATATCTTGTTCAATATTGATCCAAAGTCCACATTCCTCTAATATAAAATTACTTATTGTAATGAGTTGGTTGGTTTCAAAATATTTATGTAATTATCTTCTAACCAGGAAGTTATATAACATGAATAGATTTTCGAAAAACAGGTTGAAAATATTTGATCAGATAGCAAAAGGTTATATCAATTGCCTATTCTTGTGGAAAATCAAATATCTTATTTACGAAGAGCAAATGGCATACACAATGTATTCTGTAGTTACTTGAGTAAATAAGAAATGTGTACACATCATTTGAATATTATACTATGCAGATATTTTTCAATACAGTAAAGTTAAACTACATTCCCTGATAATACCGTGTATCAGGGTTTTTTTTTCCGCGAGTATCTAATTTTCTCTATATTCGCGTGCATGAATCAAGTTCATACGGGGATTTCGTGAGGTCCTGGATCTTTCTTTCTTCTTTATGTTTGCAACTCAGTTTAGTCATACATATTTTACATTGCGATACCTATAAATCAATTTATCAAATATCAATTTTCAGTGTTCATGTTTTTTTTACATGAATAATCGTTAAGTATAGTCTAATTTTATTGACCTGTCCATTATGAATACATTAGCACTCATTTAAATATTCGGTCACACTTTGGTTATGTTCTTGTAGTTTACGAGAATTAATATGGAGTATAAAACACTTGTTTTGAAAAAATCACACTAGCTTAATATACATGTATAGGTGGTCGTCACATCTGCAAAAACACTGTAGGTTAAGTGCCTAATATACGAGATCACTGCTTTTGCCATTGTTCTTCCTTTATTTTGCAGTATAATTTAATGGAAATGACCAAGTTCTTGCAAAATTGTCTACACGGATTTAAATCAACTTAAAAAACATTGTTGTGTCGCGTTTTGTTTTATAAGTAACGACTTATTAATGGCATTTAATGATTTTAATCCGGATGAGTTTTAAATATTAATTCTTAATCCATGTTATTTAAAAAATGTATAGACATTAAATAAGTGCGAAGCATATTATAAAAACAAAACGAACGCATTATAATAAACAATTATATTTAATAAAGCTGAAAATATAAATGAGAAAAAAACATGGACATACGCGTTCTCGATCTTGCAACACGAAGGGCATTAAGAAATTATAAACCCGCAGTTTATCCATTTCCTATATCGCTCAGTATAACTATTTCAGAGACACAAATTAAATCTAATCACATCTTACTGCGAATATTAATATATTGTGTGCATTGACTGTATAATTAACAGTATGCAATTGACAGGTTAATAAAATTAAGGTATTTCTGTTTACGCTATTGTAACCGATTATCTGATATAATAAGATGATTCACACCTTGCAAGTAAGGTAAACAAACATACATGGGCAGCTTTACAATTCAATGCATTAAAAATTTTACAATGCTTATAGCACATACAAATATATACATTGGCAAATGAAAACATAAAAGAGAAAGAAGCATAAAAAGTATTTTAACAAATACAATTTTGTGACAATTATTTTTTTCTTTTCTTCAAACTTAACAATAACATGTCAACAATAAGGTGAGACGATACAGTATCTTTGAAATACTGAATACATACTTGCAAGCGATACATCAATAGGTAACTTGAAAACAAAGTTTGAACATTCAACCTCTGACAAAAAGAATCGTATTTTTTGTCAGCTGAAAAATGAAAGAAAAAGAAGCATGAACAACGTTAAAATTAGATTACTGCAATAATTGCAAAGTTTGCTGCAAGCGAAAATAACCTGATAAACGTTTTATGATCATTTGTAAAGGTATTTGGAATGAAGCATTTCTGAGTTGTTTCTCAAAATTTAATAAACCATGCCAAAAGTGTAAGTAGGACCTAACTGCCCTTAGGACTAACATTTTACTTAGATTTTGTATGAACAATTGTTTTCTCTTAAAATGTTAAGTCTTCACCGTTCTAAAGCTTATAAATATCAGCATCTAATAGATTACAGTATGAACACAAAGATTATCATGCTTATGAAAATGGGACCCCTCTTATATTATTATCTGAAAGTATAAAAAAAGTTGTTTTTTTAAAATTATAAATAGGTTATGCATAGGTCTCAGAATGATATTAATTACAGTATGAGCATATGCATAGTAACTGAATTAAAGTAGCAAATGACATAAATTGCTTTATAAAATTTTCTTCTTTTCATCATGTCAAGTTATTTTCAAAGTCATATCATTTATTGCCAGAGTTTTCCCATAAAGTAATTTTGTTGATTTGTTAAACAATTTTGATTTAAGATATGTGTCCGTAAAATACTACAGTAGTGATATTAAGAATTAATTGTCTTTTTGAATGATACATCCCATTCATTAAACACTTTGCCAACTAAAGGCATTTGATTCTACCCATGTGACCAGTGCAGACCAAATCAGCTGACCTATCCACATCCACATTCTGTACATAAACACCCGCTGTTATATTTTCACTCGTGCCGATACCACTCATGTAAATAGTGCATCCGGTGCCACCATACATAACCCGCCTAAATCCAACAAGTAATACAGACAAATATTTATTATGTATTATACCAAGAACAGGATAATGCACCGACATTCATATAAAATCTGTTTCTGACAAGTTTCATATATGCTATTGCTTATTGTAATAACAAGTTGACATAACAAGTATACATATTGATAATGGTTAAGAAACCATATTTGGATAACAATCATTTTTGTATATCAATTTCTTAATTATACTATTATACAATCACATATAGTGTAAAACAGACATATATCATATATGTATTATACAAAGAAAAGGGATAATGCATTCATTTTAATGCCTGTTTAAGACATGTTTCATATATGCTAACTGAAATATCAAATTGTCATAACAAGTATTCATATTGAAAATGCTCTGTAAAACATCTGATTAAATTCATTTTTCTATATCAATTTCTTACTAAAAAATAAATCAATCAATACTTAAATATTATACACACCACTACAGTGTAAATGTCCGACCTTAAATTCAGACATTTGTTTACATATTATAGTAGATACATAATTCTAAATATCCCTATATTAAAAGGTTGCTGTCTATATACACACATCTTTATCCTTTTTAACTATTATTCTTAAAATTGTATATTAGCTTCAACATTATTGCTATATATGTAGAAGCACCATAATGACTCGTACCTTATACGCCTTTTGGGTTATAAGGCCAAGGTCAATATCGAAATGACCTTTATCTTTTGTTTATCAATATTTTGTTCGTGGTCAATCGATTCAATTAGGACTAGAAATATTGATAAGTGGATGCATTTTTGACGAATTGTAAGGATATCATGCACAAATTTCCACCTTTAATTTAAAATTGCCTCTTTACTTAAAACATGTTTTGTTTATTATCCAGCAATGAGAAAAGTGGGACCGGATGCTCTTCAGACAGCTTTTGTTAATGCCATTTCTTCATTTCTGTAAATATTATCTCTGGTGCTTACTCAATAACAAAAGATATTAAAATAGATCGGAAATATCTAAAAGTAAACTTTTTATTGTTAATTACAGGCCAACATTAGAAAAGGGTAATCCTAAGAGTGCAAAGAAAACAAAACTTTAAATGCTTGTTTTGATTGAGTCTTTTACAGACAGATAATGAATAGATGTCCTTATCAGAAGTTTGACGTATTTCATATTCACGAATTCACGATTTCAACTTCATGAATTCAAGATTTCGACTTCACGATTCCACATCTTCATGAATTCACGATTTTCCTTCGCGAATTCATGATTTCAACTTCACGTATTCACTATTTCAGCTTCACAAATTCACGATCGTGAAGTCGAAGTCGTGAATTCGTGGAGTTGAAATCGTGAATTCATGAAGTTGAAATCGTGGAGTTGAAATTGTGAATTTATAAAGTTAAAACTGTGAATTCGTAAAGTTGAAATCTTGAATTTATGAAGTTGAAATCGTAAATTCGTGAAGTTGAAATTGTGAATTTATGAAGCTGAAATCGTGGATTCCCATGTTGAAAACGTGAATTCACGAAGTTAAAATTGTGAATACAGGACGATTAAATCGGGAATTCATGAAATTGAAATGTCCCCACCGGTCCTACGTAATAATGCATAGGACTGCTGAATTTAATAATCAACAGGTACTTATTTCAAAGCAATTTTATCGTTATTGACCAGATAAATGAGCTGAATACCTACCTGTGCTAAAATCATCTACATCTATTAATATTAGACATTAGCTTCTTGACTTCTTTTCTAAACTTACACTGGACGATGCAAACCTATGACATCAGGGATAAAACAATATGAAGATGTAAAACTCCGTAAACTTCAATGAAAATAACGTAAACATGCAAATATATCGAAACATGATGCGTTCTTTTGGATAACAAAACGAAGAAGAATAAACATAAATATTTCTTCCTACACATGCTTTTTACTCCTGGGTTGCTGACGGGCAAGACGAGAGGGAATAGCCTTCTGAGGTCACTGTAATGATCTCTTCTAAAATTTTCTATATAGGTAAATAATTTGCATCAGAGTACTAGTGCTCTTTAAATAACATGTTTACAGAAGGCGGTTTGCATTCATATACTAACATTAAGTGATTAGATATTGTATATTTCAATGTTGTTCTCCGTAAGTCTGCATATGCACATCTTAGACATTTGTTGATTGCAGCAGATTGACCTGATTCTTCTTTCTCCACTATTAGCTTTTATAACCTCTCCTATCAATTCACCATCAGATGTTAACTGTAAAACGTTATTGGAGTTTTCTCCAGATACCAGCACACTACCTGCTTCAGTGAGATAGCAACAATTAGCCCATTTTAATTGTTGACCATTGAATGTTTTAATAACTCGACCATTGTTGTCTAGCACTATCAGTCCATTATCAGCATTAGCGACATAAATCCTTGTAGCATCCTTACTGGCAGCTATACTGTATATTCCACACGACGGTTTAGAAAAGAATGGACTAAATATGTCAGATAATATTGTACGTATCGATTGATCAATACTGAACCGTTTAACTTTCCTACCAGACATTGTACACATATATACGGATGTGTCATCTGAAATATATATGTGACTGTTTGCATATGCAATACCATAACATGCAAAATCAGTATTTATCTTTTTAATTGTTTCCATTGGTGTTTCTATAGAAATGAACTGTACTTCTTTTTGTGATGGCACAGTTACTGCTACTTGCGCTTTATTGATCACACACACTTGCCATGGTGCTTCGAGTAGATCACAATAGTCTATTACTGTGTAATTTTGACTGTGTAACTTTTTAAGCTTTTTATTGTTGTCATCGGCTAGGATTATCATACCATCCTCCATACAACAGGCGCTGGTGATATAACAGTTGTCTTCGTCAGAATTTACTTTAATATTTACAAAATATGGGTATTGTCCTTTAGTCTGAAGAACTTTGCGAGTAGTCTTTCTAGGCTCTGTTAGTGTACCTATGGTTTTATTTTTTTCTAGCTGTGTAAGAATTGTCCTATCAGGTTGAAATTCTATGTGAGCTACGGTTCTTTTCATTTTGGCATCTTCTATACATTTGTTGGCAATATCTGCAGCTTCCTCCCCCATCTTCACATAAACTAACACTTGAGCTTGATCTGTATTTGGAGGTGTTAATTTACCATTAACTGAAGTAACCATGACCTTGTTTGCTTGAAGCTGTTTGAGACCCTCTTCAATAAAGTCTTCCAAACATTTGACCTTATCTTCTATCTCGTTTACAGAACTTTTCTCCAGCTTGTCGACTTGGTCGTTGATTTCTTGTCGAAATTTTCTGATATGAGCTAATATTTCAGATTTTCTCTTCAGCAGCCTGTGTTTATCTTGTTTAAATCTATCAGCTTGTTCTTCAAGGGTCTTGATTATTTCCATTAGTTTTGTTTGTGTTTTACTTGAAACAAATTGAGTTTTGTTTTGAATATAATCTGGAATGTAGAATGTATCCTGACATGACCTGAAAAATGAAATAGAGTGTATATGTATGGTAAGGAAGTTTGCATAAAAAGATCAGATTTAACACACGCACGCACGCACACACACGCACACACACACACGCACACACACACACCAACACACTGAAACAAAATAAACTGAAAACTAAAACAAAACGAAAACAACAACTACAAGACACACTCACACACACACAAACAAACAAACAAGAACGTGACCATACCCTCTCAGTAACAAATTTTCTAAAGAGTTAAGCCATTCATTCATCTATGGACGCAAATTGCTGTACATCAAACTTGCCGGATTAGGTTATAAAATTACTGAAAAGGGCAATAACTTCGAGAAGAGAACATGAAAGCCATAGTTATGTAACTTGCCAATGTTATGTACTTTGTAAAGATAAGAAAGTGTGTAAACTTAAGATAAATACAGCTTGTCGGTTTTAGGTTCACCTCTTACGGACAGACGGACATACGACCAGTTTAATTACTCTTAGCTCGGACGCATTAAAAAAACACAACAAAATTATACAAATAAATACTAACCTATGATCAACAGCCACACATGTAGAACAGCCAACTTTATCATGGTTCTGACAGTACATATCAATATGTTTATGACTGTGTCTGTCACATCTCTCTGCTGGTGCCCACAAGAGACCTTTACTTGTTCCTGACTTGACTTGAGATTTATCCAACACCTTGTGACTAGCACACATAGGCACTTTACTGTGAACTTTGACGCAATTTACACAGAAATAATCATGACAATCTACACAGAATTTATCTGCTTCAGTGTTTATGCCTTGATTAACACATATTGAACATAAAACATCAAATATTTCATCAGAAAGAATATCTGTATTTATGTGTCCCCCTGTAGCCATCTTGTAGAATATTGTTTTTAAGTTGAACTATACAGCACAAAAATATGTATACATATACATGATGTAATCCGATATCTCACCACAATCAATTAAAACAAAAATTGAATGTTGAAATTTTTCTTCAAGTTTTTTGCTTTTCAAGTGTTTTTAAACTACGCATGTTAACAATTTTTTTCTCTTTTTTTTAATATATTTATGATAACCATTTAAACTTGTTACGAAAAGGTTCAATACTGCCTTGTCAGTTAACGAATAGTGAGATAAATGTTATCGTATTGTCAATAATATAGTTACATGTTTATCTCTTTATCATTTTATCGCACTGCCTAATATTGATCCAAATACAATATTATTAACTTGTGTATAGTGCCTACTGTCCAAGGATAAAACATATTCACTGACATTATGTCGGTAATTAATCAGATTCCGGAGTAAATCTTACGGATTGTAAAGTAGGGCATAAACACCCTGGATGAACAAGTTTTGTCACGTGACCACAAATGCAAACGCCGGACCCAATTTCAGGTAATTATTTGCAGATATCTTTTTTTCCACTGCGAGCACAAAAATAAGACATAGACCGTAGGACCCGGCGTAAATTAAGCTTTTATTTTATGTGAGTAGTCATTACTAGACTTTAGTAGTTTTTTTAGAACACTTCGACACAAATGTTCTTTTCGCAAAGCAAACGCCGATAGGTTTTACTTTTTCCAATCATTTTTTTCACTGGAAATACACGTTGAGGTAAAATAATAGAGGATATGTCTTTTAAAATGCCATTCCCGTCCCTAACTCATTTATAATTCCATGAGCAAAGTTATATTTGACATAATCCCATGTTATTCCCCGTATTGTCTAATTTGCAAACGTCGTTTGAACATGTAAAATATGCAAACGCCGGTTGATTTAAGGACGTTTTCGGGAGTTTTCATATGGACATATAGGCAAAACTAAAACTGTTCAATAGAATTTCTTTAAACTTGGCATGTTGTTAGAATATGATAACAGAAACATTTTAAGCGAAAAGAAAATTGGGGTCACCGTTCTCGTTGTTGAGTTATCTGCCCCTGAATCAGACTTTTCTACTTATTTGAGGTCATTTCCAGTGCAGATAACTTATACATACTTAAATGAATTCTTGTTTTTACTTCTGGATTGTGTTTTTCTTTTTATTGTTGAGTACAATACATAATAACATGCAATTCCTTACATCGTTTCTGTTAATTTTTTTCAATGAAAATAAAGGTACTTTAAATTCTAAAAAAGTATTCATTTTTTTAAGAAAAAAATGCACAGGTTAAAAGAAGAAGTTTGTATAAAACCTACCCACTCTAAGTTTGTTCTTGAAATTACCTGTTCCGAAAATATTTGACATGTAATATGCAAGAAAAAAAATCAAACACCGGCTGTTGGTACAGACGGGAATATCCAGCTCTCGGGTAACTGTTTAGCGGAAACTCGACAGATATTCCGGTCTGTACCGGCAGCCGGTGTAAGATCCTTATAAACCGGTGGCTATTTAAGTCAAGTTGCAAATATTACAATTCTCTGAACAAAAGACTTCTCTCTTATTTCCTTCTTTTTTTATTTTAAAACATTCTTCAATAACAAACTTTTATAAAACTTCTGTATATCCCATATATACATGTATACATAAAACCGTAAAATCTTCTCAAAAATCAATTCCACACAAAATCCGTCGGGAATAAATTTTGATTTAAAAATTTAGAAAAAAAATCAATCTTCTTAGGTTGAACTATACAGCGACGTTGAACTACACAGTGAGATCACTTGGAGTTACTTGTTTCAAATAAAATTTAACGAAGGTGTTTTCTTTTGACCAATCTGCAGCGTTGAGAATTGGGACCTAAAGCTCTTGTAGAATGTGCTGTTTCACTTTTATGTTTATCTGCATAAGCCTCTTGAATAGTTTTAAGAATCTATGAAGCCAAAGTTTGTGAAGAAGCTTTAGAATGAGGTACATTTATAGTCAGAAATAAACTTGTTTCATCTTTACGTCTGAAGGATTCAGTTCTTTTAAGATAGATAGATTCTTGGATGGTCTTACAAGCTGGTACAATATTTTTTGCTGATGAATGACCAGGTCTATCCTGTTTAGCCAAACCTTGTCTGATAAAAGTTTCCCCATCTGTCTTCAGAGAAATAGCTCCTCCTAATGTTAACGCTTGAAGGTAGCTGGCTCTCCTGAATGTCGTGATAGCTGTAAGAAAAACAACTTAATTAATAAGTTAAAAATTAAATTGATGTTTTTCTCAAAGGTTCAAAAGGAAATGTTTGTAGCGCACTAAGAACTTTAGGAACATCCCATTCAGGCAACAACTTTGTTAGAGGAGGTCTTAAATTGAATACATTTAATAATCTGATAACACACGGATGTTGACCAATAGGAGTGTTATCTACTGGAGGTAAAAAACTGCAGATAAAATAGAGCGGTAACCTACTGTTGTATCATAGTTTGGGGACCTTTCTGTTGTAACAGTGTCAGAGTTAAATCGTATACATATACATGCACATTGCGGTAACTGGAGTGCAGGTATCAGTTACCCGCACTCCAGATCATGCCCGTTGATTGGCTCATTTTTGCTGGGGTTTACATGTTGTGACGGCAGAGAAAGGGAAAGCGACAGAAATGTCATATTCAGATGTTCGTTCATTGGTTCATTTTTGCCGGGGTTTCATATTGTGACAACAGGGAACGTGCTTTGAGGTTTGACTATGATACAAAAGAGAAAGAACACCAAAACACTCGGCAATCTGATTAATACTGTAGCCCCCTCGTACAAATCAGATAGCCTCGTGTTTCGGTGCTCTTTCTATTACTAAACCTTTATTATTATACAGATCTGATAAAAACTCAGCACAAGTATTTAAGGATGCTGTGAAGGAATCAATATTCTTTTGACGACACCATATCATAAATTGTCTTAATTTACTGGAGTAATCTTTCTGAGTACCAGTTCTTCAGCTGGCTGTAAGAAGTTTTGAAAAAAACCTTTTTCTCTAAACTGTGTCGATAGCAACCATGCAGTCAGTTTCAGAACACCTGGATTTGGATGACATATCTGAGATTTGGTTGTTGTAACAGATTTGTAACCAATAGAAGACATAACGGTTGAGCTACCGATAGATTCAATAAATCTGGAAACCATGGGCGTCGTGGCCAGAATGGAGTTATTAGAATCAGTTTGCAATGAAATTGTTTCATATGATGAAGAACTCTGGAAATGAGACAGATATAGTTCAGCGTTCAAAAAGGCATCAACGGGCGCTTGCATATATTTCAAATGACCAACCGACATTTGCATATTTTACATGATCAAACGACGTTTGCAAAATCGACAATAAGTGGGAAACATGGGTTTATATCGAATATAACCTTGCTAATGAAATTATAAATTAGTTAGGTACGAAAATTACTTGTAAAGAGACATATCTTCTATTATTTTCCCTCTACATGGGTTTCCAGTGAACAAAAAAGATTAGAAAAGGTAAAACCTATCGGCGTTTGCCTTGCAAAAAGAAAATTTGTGTCGAAGTGTTCTAAAAGAACACCTAAGTCTCGCAATTACTACATACATAAAATAAAAGCTCAATTAACGCCGGGTCCTAAGGTCTAGGTCATAATTTTGTGGATGCAGTAGAAAAAAAGATATCTTCAAATAATTACCTGAAATCGGGTCCGTAATTGCTGAAATGTTAAATCGGCGTTTGCATTTGTGGTCACGTGACAAAACTTGTTCATCCAGGGTGATAAATAGGACAACTGTACGTATAGGATATCGACCGAGTACGAGGTCTTTCTGTTTAGGAAAGACCTGGTCACGAATTTCATGTGACACCGAGAGCGCGTAGCGCTCGAGGTGTTTCATGAAATTCGTGACCAGGTCTATCCTAAACAGAAAGATCGATGTACGAGGCCGATATCCAACTTACACACCACCAAACTATTGGCTTGAGCAATGGCTGATCTGAAACATTAGATGTAATGCACAAATATTATTTGTTAACACCGCGCATAAACAGGTTAGCTTTTATCAACGTTCTGCTTAATTATAGTATATAGTTTTCATTTAACTTTGGATTTCCCTTTAAAATAATAATAGAAAGGCTAAATGTGCAATTTGTCAAAAATAAAGCGAATGGATCTGTATTTGAAGGTATGTAAAAGAATGCATAATTATGTTGATAGTATTTCGTATCAAACATTTCAAATTTGCCCCAACCCCCGGACAGTTGCCCTCTCGGAAGTTTGCCCCATTTTTTTTTTTTTGCTGTGGCGACTTTTAACTTGTCATAATTCATTTCGTGTATAAATTTTATGTATATTATTTCATTTATTTATGGATGCTATTTTGTGTGTACAAATTTGCGCCTTAGTTTTTGTTTATTAAAGCACAATGGAATCTCGACAATAGGCGATGAATTTTTGTAACAACCAATTCAACAGTTAAATATTTTAACATAAAGGGGTTTGGGGCAAATGTTCGCCCCTTACAAAGATATGACGGGGCTAATGTCCCCCACTGCAGAAAAGGGGCAAACTTCCGAGACGCAACTGTCTGAGGGGCAAATGTCCGGATACCCAGCATACCACGAAAAACTTACATATGTACATTGAATATTGTTGACAAGTGTAGGATACATAATCCGAAATAGTATTTTATATAGCAGATATTATAAAGTGTTCTAGAATAAAATATGATGTTTATCATATAAATTTTTATGCTAAATCAATTTAAACTTTATAAACTTTTCTTATTTAGTTTTTTTTTAATAATATCCGAATAATACATTTCCACGGTGGGTAAGCAACTTTGGTCATGTGACCATAAAAGTCAACGTACACGGCCAAAATAGCTCGGCTGAGGTAAGTTTTTAGTGATTATTTTTCTGTCCAGCCGATTTAAATTATGTTACATAGCCTACCGACCGCGGCAGTTCCGATGCTTTCTAAAAATGTATTTAGTTTCGTCTAACGTTTTGTATTTTATGAGAACATTCAAACAATATTTGCAAATTGTCGATGACAACGTACACACTTTTGTGTAAAAGTGTTGATAATAACTTAATAAACGATACGCATGTCAGTTCTAAGTAAAATTTTAGGTCTTAAAATATATAAGAGAATGTTTAAATGAAAAAATAACTGGTTTCCTGCTGTCATTTTTTGTATTTATTTAAAAATTGACCAACTTACAGAAATGTCAACGTACACATACAGTCTAGAAAGTGTCAACGTACACACTCCCAATTTAGTTTGATAGTGGTCTGAACATGAGGCTGCAACTTCGAAATAGGTGGCTTTTTCTAACAAAAAGTTGGCTTTCAATTTAGATTGTCCTCTCAAACTGTATATAAGTACAGGTTTATACAAAGGAAAAAAGTTGCAAGTACATTCATATCATCACAAATAAGATTAAACAACCTTTAACTTGTTTATAATGTTATTTATTTGTTCTTTTGTGATTTTCTTTTAGAAGAAAAAAATCCAGTTACTCAAACTGCTTAATGATTTGCTGAAACAGCAATTTTAAACTGTATTAATTTAGGTCATTTTACAGTCATTTAATAACGAAAACAGCCAGGATAAGCGTCTCTTGCTCAACCAACCTAGTGCCTTCTGTAGCAACAAAAGTTGCCGATTTCGGGCAATGGGTGACAATGACGCCGAGTGACTAGTTTATAGGTATTATCGGTATTTCAGCAGTTATGTCACTTTAACCCAATGATTACATCACGAACGTTCTATTAACATTATATTTTCAATAATATATCTCCTTGCACTAGTTATGTAATTGCCACATGTAATAGACATTGTTATTTAATACATGGGCTAGCTTAATAGACGTGATATGTATTTTTGCATTCACAGTTTTCTTTGCACTTTTTGTTTCACTGACAATTTTGCCAACCATGTCTGCTAATTTACAAGTCTAATATATGTATTTAACAAAAATGCTCAAGTGCCATACATTTTAATAATTTGCATTGCAATCAAAATTTTAAATTCAAGCAAACCATTAAAAAATTTTTTATTTGAGCAAAATGTCGATAAAATTTCTGCATTGTAACAATCATTTCAATATATATTGTGGCATTTCTATGATTACTAGTTGGTCATATGACTGTGGTACTTGATATAACTTTTTAAATGTTTAAACAATGTCATTGATTCATATCTATAGCTCATACATTGCGCACAAAATAAGATAGGTAAATTCATTACTAAACCCATTTTCCGGTAAATTTATTACTACGAGTAGTAACCATTTTCCAGTAACTGGTTTCTTGATCAGTAAAAGCATTTTACTAGAAACTTGGTACTAGTAACTAACCATTTAACAAAAGGGTATAATTTGTTGCCTTAACCAACCTATAAAATTGTGAATTGTTTATAAGTTTTTTTTTTACATAACAAGTGCAAGTAGATATATTCTTGAAAATATAATGTTAATAGAACATTAGTGGGGGATCAAGTGACGCAACTGCTGAAAAACCGGTAATATAAAATTGTAACTCGGCGTCATCGTCAACCTTGGATCCTTTTGCTGCTACGGAAGGCACTAGTTGGTTGAGCAAGATACCCTTATCCTGGCTGTTTACGTTATTTAGATGACTGTAATTACAATCTATATTGTAATACGATCTATATTAATCCAGTATAAAATATCAAAACGGCTGTTTCAGCTTATCATTAAGCAGTTTGAGTAACTGGAAATTTGTCTTATAAAAAAAAGTACAAATAAATAACATAAAAAAGTTAAAGGTTGTTTAAGCTTATTTGCGATGAAATGAATGCACTCCAAACTATTTCCTTTGTAAAAATAATAGTAATTATATACAGTTTGAGAGGGCAATCTAAATTGAAAGCCAACTTTTTGTTGGAAAAAGCCACCTATTTCGAAGTTGCAGCCTCATGTTCAGACCACTATCAAACTAAATTGGGAGTGTGTACGTTGACACTTTCTAGACTGTATGTGTACGTTGACATTTCTGTAAGTTGGTCAATTTTTAAATAAATACAAAAAATGACAGCAGGAAACCAGTTATTTTTTCATTAAAACATTCTTTTATATATTTTAAGACCTGAAATTTTACTTAGCACTGACATGCGTATCGTTTATTAAGTTATTATCAACACTTTTACACAAAAGTGTGTACGTTGTCATCGACAATTTGCAAACATTGTTTGAATGATCTCATAAAATACAAAACGTTGGACGACATCAAATACATTTTTAGAAAGCATCGGAACTTCCGCGGTCGGTAGGCTATGTAACATAATTTGAATTGACTCGATAGAAAAATAATCACTAAAAAACTTACCTCAGCCGAGCTATTTTGGCCGTGTACGTTGACTTTTGTGGTCACGTGACCAAAGTTGCTTACCCACGGTGATTTCTATCGTTTCTATCGATTTTTGAAATACTAATGGGAGGTGTTCCCATTGTAGACCAATCCACTTAAAGTACTTGTATATGCATGTCACTATAAGCAAGTTTTGGATTATATTTTTAACGTTGTTGTGTAGCATTCTTTGGAACTAGGCCCTAGATTAGAAGGTTTTCAGGGGAAATCAGTTTTGATTTATCACCGATTGAATAGAAAGACAGGATGAAGCTCTCAAAGAGAGAGGGGGAGATTAACGGGGATTTAACAATCCGATTTATCCCGCGGGTGGGAATGTTACCAGGGACTTCGCTATTAACTGTGGGTAGCTGCAGTTTCGTAGGCAAAGCGTATATCAAATGCACGTTATTTCAATCAAACGGACATATTTTTGTTATATTTTTCGATATGAATGTTTGGTACAATTTGTATATACATGTACTATGAATTTTCTAGAACGTTTAAGATGTTATGGATTAGGTGATTTAAATGCTTAATAAGTATGCTGTGATAACTGTTATAGTTTCATAGAAATGAACTTGAAGCGTCCATATTTGTTATATTCTGAACTTTAAATGACAGAAGAACCGCTTAGATTACTTTTACTTTGAAAAAACAATGACGCGATTTAATAAATGTGAAATGCGTCCTAACTTTGAAATGCTATCAATTTATGTTATTCTTAGATTTAATATAGGAATGTTGGAATAATTGCTAAGTGCATTCAATAAACATTATCTTGTTTAAAAAATGTATCCAGATTTTGTAAGATACAAATATTAAGACAATCATATACATTGATTTTCATTTTTCAATTTTTGATTGTATTTCATGTTTTCTTTGTCTGCGCATAGGCAGGTCTATTTTTTCACGTGTTTTTCATGACTGGGTCTGTCTGACTAGAACAGACATGTGCACGTGCAAGAGATAGACCTCCTAACGGACTTTCTTTTGTTTAAACAGGTCTACCCGAGAAATATAGACCTGTCACAAACAATAGAGGAGGTGTGTAAATAACGGTATGCATATTTTATGCATGGCATAACGCTACAAACACAACACTTGCCCCAAATGAACCTCAGTGACAAGGACATTAATAATTTATGGTTTAAAGCTACGTTAAATAAATGTGTAAAAATATATTTTGTCGTCGGCCTAAAAACCAAGCATTGTACAGTTTCAGTAACCTTTTTAACAGTATTGTTGTAAATCTCATCAAACATTGTTAATAAAGTACAATTTTAAACGGAAATTTTTTTATTTTTTTTCAAATTTAAGTTTTATGAGTAAATAATACTTACCCGACAGTACCATATGGATTCCTTCCGTTAATTTCTTACAATTCGCTAAACTATTTACACCGGAAGTAAGCTCTTCAATTAACTCCCCTTACTTCCGCCACGTGTTAAAGATGTCAGTTTCAAATGAGGCGACCAAATCGCCCTGAAACTTAAACAGAGAGGGGTAGGTTAGGGTGGGTAGTGTACTGTCGGGTAAGTATTATTTACTCATAAAACTTAAATTTGAAAACAAATTTTCAATTTTCATTTCGTAAATAAACTTACCCGACAGTACCATATCGATTAACCCAGATTAAAAAGCAGTACTGAAAGGAGGTGGGTAGTTAAGTTTCAAAAATATCTATTACATTCATTAATAAAACATAAACTTGTTTTAATATCAATGAAAAATAATAAAACATAAACTTGTTTTAATATCAATGAAAAATAGACACATTAAACACTTACCTAAAGTGTTTCCCAATATTTCCACACCATGTTAAGTAAAACAATACCAGTTGAACATGTATAACTGCTAACCCACTATTTACAGTTGCACAACAATATATATAAGTTCATCCCAACTGTACAAGAATAACCGTAAATACTCAAATTTACAAAAACATCCAGTCGCAATTCGCCGGAAAAACAAAGAGTTTGTACACACCACCTTGGTGAAAAACAATAACTTCTGTAACAACATTTACTTGAAATCCAAAACACTTGTATCTACGTTTTTGAGATAATGTTTAATGAAGGTGGTCTCTGAAGACCAATCTGCCGCATCCAGTACCTGATCCAACGACGCACCTTTGAACAATGCCCAGGAAGGCCCAATACTTCTAGTCTGGTGACCTTTAATTTTTCCTGTAGATTTCTTACTCATTTTGTAAGCATACTTAATAATATTAACTAACCATTTAGAAATAGTCTGACTTGTCACTGGATGATGAGGTTTAATAACACTTAAGAAAAGTTTAAGTTCATTTTTAGAGTCTTTAACTCTAAAACTTTCAGTCTTTTTTCAAGTAATAAGTCAAAGCCCTCTTAGGGTCTAAAAATTTTTCCCTCGAAAAAGATGGAATGAAAATCTTTCTTGAATGATGACTTGGTCTATCTTGTTTTGCTAAACCTGAACGTATAAAGTTATTCCTTTCTTCTGAATGTTTATGTTACCTTCTCCCAAATACAAGGCTTGAAGATCACTACAACGACGAAAACAGGAAATAGCTATCAAAAAACACACCTTCCATGTAATAAACTTCAAAGATGCGTCCTTCATCGGTTCAAATGGTGGCTTCTTCAGGCATTCTAAAACAAGAGGTAAATCCCATTCAGGAACTAATTTTCTAAAAGGTGGACGTTCATTAAAAATGCCTCTAAGAAGGCGAATAATAAAGGGGTGTTGACCAATCTGAAATTTTTCCACAGGAGGTAAAATTGATGATAGCATAGACCGATAACCTGTAATAGTCTTATATTTTAACCCTTGGTCATAAAGGTAAGTCAAAAATTCAGCACAATCATTCAAAGAAGCTGAAAACGTATCAATCTGTTGTCCACAACACCAATTACTGAATTTTCTGAATTTGCAATTATAATCTCTTCTTGTACCTTTTCGCCATGAGGCGACAAGTAAATTTCTTGTTCTTTCAGAAAATCCCTTTGATCTGAAGACTTTGTCGATAGAAGCCATGCAGTCAACTTTAGACTCTGAGGATTTTGATGAAATATTCTCCCCTTGCATTGTGACAATAGATTCTGTGACACAGGGAGTTTTATTGGTTTTGCTATCAACAATTTCAACAGCTGTGGAAACCAGTGCTGTCTTGGCCAATTTGGGGCTATCAAAATCAGTCTGCACTTGAATAATTTCATATGGTTCAATACTTTCGGAATTAGCTGTATTGGCGGGAACGCATATGCATACATGTTCTGCCATGCAATAGACAGGGCATCCAATGCAAACGCTTGGGTTGTGGAAGCCATGAGCAAAAACAGTGTTGTCTGTTTGTTCTCTTGAGTTGCAAAGAGATCTATCAGAGGTTGACCCCAAATATTGAAAATTTGAGATGTCACTGTTTTGTTCAGACTCCATTCTGTATCCCTCACTTCCTGTCTGCTCAGAAAATCTGCCAGAAAATTCAATTTCCCCATTATGTGAACTGCTTTCAACACAATATTGTGATTCAATGCCAGTTCCCATAACTCCCAAGTTAACAGGCAAAGTGTAGGGCAACGAGTGCCCCCTGGCGATTTATATACTGACACACTGACGTGTTGTCCGACCGTATCAATACATTCTTGTTTTTCAGAGCAGACAGAAAGTGGCGGACTGTCAGAATTACCGCCTTCATTTCTAAAATGTTTATGTGTAGTAATTTTTCCATCTTTGACCAACGGCCTTGCACTGTAAAGTTGTTCATGTGACCGCCCCAGCCCCAAGTCCCACTCGCATCGGTGGTGACAGATACTGGAAAGGAAATCTGTTGAACAGATCTTCCCTTTAGAATGTTCTGATCCTGTAACCACCAATGGAGATGATATCGTAGCATAGGAGTTAAGGGAATATTGAAACTTAAAGGCATTCTTGCCGGACTCCAAGTCTTGAGCAAATGAAGCTGTATGGGTCTCATGAACAACTTTGCATTTGGAATTAAGTCTAGACAAGAGGCTATCATACCCAACACAATCATATATTGTTTTGCTGAAATCGAGCCTTGTAACAATTTTAGAACTGCATGTTTCAGGTTTGTAATTCTCTCTTGTGTTGGATAAACTAACCCCTTTGTCATATCGAATAGGCCGCCTATGTAAGTGAAAATCTGAGAAGGAACTAAAGAGGATTTTTTCTTGTTTACTATTAACCCTAGTTGAAAAAGGAGATCTAGAATAATCTTTCGATCTGACATCATCTTTGAAAATGTCCGATTGGCAGCTAACCAATCGTCCAGATAAGATGTTAGAAAAAGACCTTGTTGTCTGAGATGTGCTACTATGACGGACATTATTTTGCAAAACACCCTTGGAGCTGATGTTGGGCCGAAGCATAGCACTCGAAATTGGTACACCTGACCTTTGAAACAGAAACGAAGATATTTTCTGTGACCCTTGAACATTTTTACATGAAAATAACCGTCTTTCAGGTCCAGATTTATTGCATAATCTCCTTTTTGAACTAGGTTTAGAACTTTTGGCAAAGTATCCATTTTGAAGTGAGTTTTCCTCAAATACCGGTTCAATGGCTTTAAATTTATTACAGGTCTCATTTCCCCATTTTTCTTTGGAACTAAGAACAACGTACTGTAAAAACCTGTAAGAATCTGAGATTTGTCTACTATTTCTATAGCGTTTTTCAATAAAAGTTCTTCTATTTCTTTTTGAATTAAATTTTCTTGATCTAAAGGTACTTTCGTCTGTTTTATTCCCAAGAAATGTGGAATTTTTAGAAATTCTAGTTTGTAGCCATTCTGAACTACATCTAGAACCCATTTGCCTGTTGTTATTTTCTTCCAATTTTCTACAAAAAGTGAAATTCGACCACCTACCGGAATTTGAGGAAAACGTGCTAGAGTACTTACATGGTCATTGTTGAGTTGATCTTCCCATTTTCCTTCCATATGAACGTTTTGGAAAGAAATCGGGCTTGGAATTTTTCTTGTACTGTCCAGTGAAATTTTGCCCCTTGGTATGACTATCTGATGGAATCTTGGGGATACGAAAATTATTGTCCCAGCCACTGCTTGTTTGCGTTGCTGGAATGTCCCTACGTAAACGTTTAGTGTCATTTGAAGAACGAACAGGTGAGAGCCTTCTTTTCCTGTCTCTCTTTTTCAGCTCAGGTAACATATCATCTAACTGCTTCTTTTTGTCTTTCCGTGCCTTTAATAAAGGTTCAAGTCCATTACCAAAAACACCATCACCAGTTAATGGTAAAGTAGCAAAATCTTTGTAATCGGAAAGATCATACATGCCTGTATCTGCCATAGTTACTGTACGACGTACAATGTGATGAAAAGCTGCGGAGCGACCCAATTGATCAAGGCACTTCGTGGACATAGCAAAAATGTCTTTAACAAATTTCACTGTTTTGTCTTTTGAAAAGTCATCAGAAGAAAACAAATTCAACCAAATTTCCCAAAGCTTGTTGCATATAAAGTTGCATAACAATACCTAAACGAGCTGCTTGGGCTCCACGGTAAGAAACTTTTCTACAGTTTTATGTGGTTGAGAAAACAAGCATTTAACCTGACTGTTCTTAAAAGCCGCTTCTTGCCATGTCTGTTAACAAGTAAACTTTCTATTAAAGGATCAAGTGTAGGAACTTGCAAAAAATTTTCCGTTTCTTCATCCACCGGAAATAAATCAAAATTTTCTTCATTAAACGCAGAGAGAACATTAGGAGAAGTTGAATGTAGACTGTCATTCAAGACGTCTTTCTGAGAATTGTCCACAGAAATACCTGCCTTCTTGGTGGACTTCTTCACTGTAGCATCTTCACCAAAAATGTCAAAAAGACATTTCTTAGTTGAATCAGAAAGTTCTTTTTCATCGACTTTCCCTTAATAGAAACATTGTCTTCATCTGACAAAAAATTATCTCCATGAATAGACAAAATATCACTGTTCAAGCCAGGATGATTAGAATCTGAATCACTGTCCGACAGAGAATCTGAGCCCGACTCGAACTTAGAACGATGCACACTGTTCTTTTTTCTTCACGTGTCTTTCCGTAAATTTAGACGAAGAAGAGTTACACTGAGATTGAGCAGATTGGATTTTGGCAACTAATCCATCCAATTTACCCGAAATACTCGACTCCAGAGCTGAGAATTTTTGATTCCATTGTTCTTCTAGAACATCGTATCTGGAACGTCTTTTAAGTGGAGTTTTCGGCGTATTAGTACCCGACTCCGAGTCTGAAGGAGGAATTTCACCTTCCTCTGGTAATTTATTTGTATCAACAAACAGTTGAGCCATAACTAAAGCGAAGAATGTGAAAAAACACGACCGATTTGGTCGCCGAAAAAAGGAAACTGACATCTTTAACACGTGGCGGAAGTAAGGGGTTTAATTGAAGAGCTTACTTCCGGTGTAAATAGTTAGCGAATTGTGAGAAATTAACGGAAGGAATCCATATGGTACTGTCGGGTAAGTTTATTTACGAAATGAAACCCCACGGTAACACTAAAGTTCGTATACGAATTTTAACATGCAAAATGAAGACTATAATCAGTTCGTGTATGTGCTACGTCACAGTGTTATAGTTACTAAACGGAACACAGCAAATTTGAGATTTTCTTGTGCAAACACACTTAACCGTTTTAGCTTCACAGTGCACTGAGCATGGCGTTCAGGAAAAAGTAATCATCTCATAAAAATATCAAATTTGTATGAAAACATCCGTTGCAATGCGGAAATATACCGTTATATTAGGACATGTTTTTTGATTTGATATTGATGTACGGATGATCCGAAGGCGGAGTTTCTTATGCTAACAGATATTGTATTTCCGATTTCGCCACAATGATATCGCAGATATTTATGCTTATAAAACTCATTTTGGTTGTCTTGACACTATAATAAGATCTGGAGTCGATATGAAACCAAATTGTTTAATGAAATTTCGCTATTTCTGTTTTTATGAAATTTATTTAATGTAGCTTTAAACATATTCATTTAAGCTCGATTGCGAAGCAAGTTCTTTCAACTTATATTTTGTAGCCGGATTAGTTTGCGGGGTGACTACAGCCCCGAATGGTTCGAGCACTGGGCCTAATTTAGCAACAGTAACAACAAAACAGATCAGATTGATGACATTTAATTTTGTGCAGTAAGATTAAATTTAATTCAGAAAACATAAATATTCCTAATGTTTAGTTCATCTCAATTTGATTTCATCAAATATAATGTCTGAAGTGTTAACTAGCACAACTTCACCATAGGCAGTGTAGCCTACCGAGGTGTTACTATTTACTTTCCTCAGGCTTTATACCGTTACCTTACTACAAACTTAGGACCAGTAACGATATACTTATGGTGTCACCCCGGTACGGAATTAGACCCAGCCCGTTGTAGTCTATAAAGTAGTTCTTTTAAATTTTGAAATGGCCTATTTCAAGTCATCTTAATTGATAATGGTTCTATTTTAAGTATATCTTTAGTAATTGTGTACATAAAGTTTCATTTCTGAGTACTTTAAAGGTTGTTTTTGATGTATTTTTGCAGGATTTCATTTCTGGGTGGAAGGTTTCAGGAGGCACTATGCACAAGAATACACAACAGTTACTATTTGGAATATTTTATAGTGATTACAGAAATTAAAAGCTGCAGAAAAACTCCAAGGGCTAATGTATTATTTTTTGTGCTAAATTTACTTGGACTGCATTAAATTGGTGTTTAAAGAAATGGTCATGAAGTTTCGGTACCGGATTTGCTTTGTCCAGAATTTAGCCTTAAATGTGATGGATTTACTTTAGGATATATGGGTCGAAAATTCAGTGGGCCGTGTCCTTATGTCCAATCCGATTAGAAATCCACCGATTATAGCAATGCAAACACAGGGGGGCCCACACAGTGTTTGGATGGTATATACTGCTTGATAGTGACCTAAAAATGAGATTTTAGTCATAACCTTATAATATAAAAATGAGATTTTAGTCATAACCTTATAATATGTATATAAATATTTATATACATATTATAAGGTTATGACTAAAATCTCATTTTTAGGTCACTATCAAGCAGTATATACCATCCAAACACTGTGTGGGCCCCCTGTGGATAATACAGACTTAAACTTGGAATTTTCCAAGTACCGTTATGTCCAAATTATCATTCAAGGACAGGAAACATTTGATTTGGTTTAAATAAATATTTTATTTTAACATTATGAGATAACAACTTTGTTATATCAATGGTTTGAAAAGCAAACGGCATAGAATACTAGTAAGTATTGTATTATCATTATATTATTATGAAAACACCTTGGCTATAATATGGTGCCAGGGGCGTCCTTGACCGACTGGTTAAGGCCGTTGCAATCAAACCTCGCCGCTGTGGGTTAGATTCACACATTGGATTCTTTCATGTGAGGTTGCTATCCAGCTAGCTTACGGAACGTCGGTGGTTCTTCGTGAAATAATGCACGGAAAACAGGCACTCATTTGGGTAAATTCTAAGGACTTTTTAAATTAGGCTCCCTAAGTAGGAAAATGGTCAGACATGTGATAAAAATGGGTGGGGTAGGGTAACATTTTTATACAGATTTCATAAAATTTAAGTAGAAACCATAATTTTGCGTATGTGGATTGTTAGCTGAATGGTACTATTTGTTTCTTACCAAAAAATAATGGGAAAACATTTTTCATTAGAATGTTATTGCAGATTATTTAAAGGTTCCTCATTTCTAAAAAAGGGCCCTCATAACATTCAGAAAAGTGGCCATAACTTGATTTCCATACGATAAACTTTGTTTAAATTTTGCATACAGGTGTACTTTAAGGTATATATCTGACCTATGATGTCATTTTTTTAGCCATTAGGGTGGTAATGCCTTAAGCTGGAAAGTCACCATATGACCTATACTATTGTGCGACGTTACTCTTTCGCATAGTTATTTTTTATTCACAAAAACCGCTAATATTAACTTTGTTTTTATGACACATGTATTTTGACTTGATTTGTATTTTGTTATTATGATAATTTCATTGTATCTACTTACGTGAATTATGTGAAGTAAGAAAATAAATTATGTATTTTATAATTATAAATGTGTTCAATTGATGTAATGTATATAGTTTTCATAAATTTTTGCATATGAATCAAGCATTATATAAAATAACTGCCTACCGACTACGTGTTGGTGTTAAAAATTGAGTTCAATTACAGAAATACGACACATACATCTTAAAGTGTTCCATATGTTTTAAGATTAATAACCCTACAAGAAATTACTGTCATTGTTAAGCAAGCTGCTATACTAACATTTCTATATGACTTTGCATGCAAAACTAAAAACTCAAATGCAAGTTAACCAGTTTAACTTTGGCCGAGAATCTTTTTTTAAAGATACCAATGGTCCTTAGATTTTAAGGTTATCATGGAGATTTGTGATATAAATATATGATGTCATCTAAAACCTACATATGCAATGTAAAACATTATCCTTTTGAGACCAGCAATGGTATAAAATAAGGTTGCAATTATAAGACAACAACAAAAACTGACTTTTTTGCGCCTTTGTTTTAATATACATGTAATTCTTTATTAAACAAATCTTAACAATACACACATTTAAGAATTGATATTTGTAGACTTAATTTTGAAAAATGCAAATACATGTACAGTACTTTTACAGGGTGTTATTGAAATCTAAAATCCAATTATCTTAAGCGGAAACCTTTTTTGCAATAACCCGAATCATATGCAGGGATCACATTTTTGCTGTTGAGCAAAAATAGAATATTTTTTCCTAAATATAATTCAAAACAAAATTTAAGAAATCAATAGAAGTCTTATATCGATTTATATATTATCATAAATAATGAACAGTCAAAAACAAAATTCATCATTCATAATTGAAGAAATGATAATAAGCAAAAGAAAACTTTAGCGTATGAACTATTTTCCTATTGAAATTCCTCCGCCGTTAAGCTGGTTAGCAACGTATGGTGATTGGCAGTTAGAAGTCATCTGGCTCCAAACAAGATTTGACGGACATTGCATCACGTAAGCGTTACCCACGAGGTCACAATGGATGAACTTAGTTGGGTCGGAGTGTGGAAAGAACAAGTTGTTGGACTGTATAGCTTGTGCAGTACATGGGTTTATATTGGTCCCTGTACCTTAGATACAAATAATGAAAAGTTAACTATCAATACTTATTAAATGATTGTTACATAATGTTTACCTCAGCGTAAAGATTTAATATTAATTTTGAGGGCCACTGACAGAACAAACAAAATTAATTTCAACCATATCTATATTAAAGTGAAAACAATAGACAAAACATTATATAGATATACTACTCTGATCCACCGAGCAAAACGGACTGCATGCTTGAAATAATCATTGTGTTAGAAATGTTTAAAAAAAAGAAAGAAAGAAAAGTAAGATTTTTAACAATTCTTAAACGAAGTAATTAAGTATACCAAGTTTGCAAAGCTTACCTATAACAACACCAGTGTTCACAGGACCACCACCCCCAACATTGGTAGGTGCCTTGGTTGTTGCTGAGTTAACAATAGTACCAGCTTGGAGTACACAAGACCCTCGTCCTGTATCGTACACCAGACGAGATGGACAACTGAGAACAACAGGCTGACCTTGACTGTTGCATTCAATGAACTTTGTTTTATCGCTTGCATACGGGAAGAAAATGTTGCCGCTTGCCATATTTTGTGCTGTGCATGGATTCGAGGGGTTCGTACCTGTTGGATTTGTTACCTGTTTGTTTCAAAGATATAATTTTTACAATGTATAAAAAAAATCTAAACAAAATAAAATAAAAAAACACAAAATGCAAATATTTTATGTCACGCTTATCTTGCTTGTAATAAATTTAGAATCATATCTTGGAAAGGTCATTGACGCATGTCTGTTTAGAATTGACGCCAGTTTGTAACCAACATTTTTTCCATAGAAACAACACGAAAATACATTTTTTCACACCCTATTCTCAATCTTATCAATCCTAAGCTTTTAGTGTCCTATGTTTTGAGCTAGCTGGAATGTTAAGACTTTCATAAAACACAAAAAAGTGATGTATAGCATTGTCTTTTAATTCATATAATTCATGGAAATAAAAAAATAATTTTTGAGTGATAATGTTTATTGTTTGATAGTAAAGAACGTGTAGAAATGTTAGATACTAGTTTGCAATAATATTTGAGCCGTGTCACGACAAAACCAACATAGTGCGTTTGCGACCAGCATGGATCCAGACCAGCCTGCGCATCCGCGCAGTCTGATCAGGATCCATGCTGTTCGCTTACAAACTCTATGACAAGTAGAGAATCTGATAGCGAACAGCATGAATCCTGATCAGACTGCGCGGATGCGCAGGCTGGTCTGGATCCATGCTGGTCGCAAACGCACTATGTTGGTTTTGTCGTGACACGGCTCATTTCAAGTAAACGTACCCCTGTACAGGAGGTGGTTGCTTGATTGTAGACTTCTCCTTTTGGACATTTTATGATAAACATTCTCCCTCCGTCCGAGCATTGCAAAAACTTATTGTTGTCTGTTGGATGAGGAAAGTATATCCGTCCATTCGTTCCTGCACATACATTTGGAACATCCGGCTCTGTAGAAAACAAAATTATTCCATTAGAAGATAGTCAGAAATGGTCATTATTATCACTTGAGCCGTGTCACGACAAAAACCAACATAATGTGTTTGCGACCAGCATGGATCCAGACCAGCCTGCGCATCCGTGCAGTCTGATCAGGATCCATGCTGTTCGCTTACCAACTCTTACAAGTAGAGAAACTGATAGCGAACAGCATGGATCCTGATCAGACTGAGCTGGTCTGGATCCATACTGGTCGCAAACACATTATGTTGGTTTTGTCGTGACGCGGCTCACTTATGTTTCACATGTGTATTCGAAAAGTGTTTGTTCTTAAAGAAATTCCCTTAACCATAATGGAACCAATGCTTACATATTTAAAGAACGATTATTGTCCTAATTATTGCCATTGCAAGTATATTGACGATTTGACGCAATTTTATATCTTAAGACAGTTAATTTTCCTGGATCATGGATCATGATTGTTCAGTAAGAGCTCATTAATAAGTTGATCACAACCTAATTGGGGCTTGAATGGTGATCGAAGAAAGGGTTTAACCACTTGATTATAGCCTAGTTGGGCTTATTTGATATTTGTAGACAAGGTAATTGCGCTTTACCATATCTTAGTTGGGGTTTATTTGATATTGGAATAAATGGTTTTTGCACTTGATCATAACCTTTTTGGGGCTAATTTGATATTTTGAAGACATGACATTTGCTCTTGCCACAGTGTACCTCAAACTTATCTGAGACTGAACCGTGGTTATATACATGTAGTTTAGATTGCGCAAATTTGTCAATACTTTTGTTTATATTTTATCACTTTTTCGATATAAAAAGTATCGATCAGTTTTGAATAATCTGGTTCTAACAGACAAAGAAAGTTAACATACCTTGGCAGTTCAAAGCCTGTCGCTTCTCTGAAATGAAGATGTAGTACTTTTAGCAAACAAGTGGTTGTGGAAAAATTGGTGAATTTATTGCACCACAATCTTTGTTGAGGAAAAATTACTCTTTTGATTTATTTATTGTACGCGAGTCTTCTTCTTTATTCTATGAATTTAGAATGTGAAAACAGTTCTAGTTCTATTGCATATTACAAGAAATTTATATTATTTAAAACTTGAAAAACGTATAAAAACATCTTGATTACAAGTGGAATGAAAATAAATATTTCAGGAGTGACGGTGAAATAATTTTTTTCATATCACAAGATGAAAATAAATCCTGTATTTATAGAAAAACCCTTTCAAGAAAACCCTTACACTTGAATTTTCTGTTTACTATATACTTTTTCTATTTTTTTACAATTCTTAAGACTTCTACTTTCCTTGTATTGGCTTATTTAGGAAGAAAGTAGTCCGCGAGAAAAAGAACGGAAATATCTTTTACTGCAGTGAAAAATAAATTTTTTACTATGAAAATACGAGATGCATTCCATTTCATCATCAATATTTCTCATTGTTTCTTTAAAAAGTATATAATAAATGTTCTTACCTCTCAAGCTTCCAGCTATAGCATAACTTACGCACAACACTGTTAATAAAATCACCTTCATTTTTGTCCAAGCACACTAAATACAGTTAGATATTGAAGACTAACTATTTATATATTTTCTGCAACTGTAAGGGCGAGTGACTTTAACACTAAAAATGTTTGGGTCGTTTAGACAAAGTTTGTATTATTTGTACAGTGGCAGAAGTTATCTGTAAAGATGACCACGCCGAAAGATAAACGTAAAAGTTCAACAAGTCGTGCAAGAAGTATTAAATATATTCTATTTGTAGAGCAACTATGATGGACATCTAAGCCATGTTTACATGTAAATATTTCAAAAATTGCGATGTTTGCCCACACAACTGCACGATTGTATCAAAACAACAAAACTAGGACATGACGAACTCATTTATTTGTTTCATAAAATGCTGATTAAAATAGCGATGAAAATTACAGAGCTAACACACGCTTAATGAGGATGTCCCATTACATGATCAGTAAGGAAAAAAGCCTATACAAGACATAATCAATACAAATCAGAGGCTTTTTGGCAACAAATGGGAAGCCCCAAAATATTTGTTCTTTTATTGGTGCATTGTATATTATGGCTTTGTCAAAGTGAAAATACCCGAGAAGTAAAAAGTTAATTTTATTGTTATTTGGTGTTTTACTTTTTTTCTTTTGTATTTTGATAGTTACACACCATTGCTTGTTATATTTGCATACTTTAAAAAAAGTCTTAATGTACGTACGTGAACTAGTTAACAGTTTCGAAAAGATAATCTATCTGAGGTGATCATTAAATGTGGAACAAAATCTATTTAAGACTCTATAATCACAAATAAAGTACTTTTCAGACAACTAGGTGACACTCGGCTGAAAAATGAATCTTAACTTAAAAATATAATCTGTTCATAGATCATGGTCAAATCACTTTAATAACAAGTATTTTAGTTAGTTTAAATAAATATAACAAAGTTAATAAAATGTGTCGCGCACACATTACCTAGTTTGTATACTTTATACAGTTTTAAGTCATCAACGTGATACAATAAAGTAACGAATGTTCCTAGTTTTTTGTATCATTACTGAACCTACACCCCCACCCCTCCCGCAAGTAAAAATACACTTCTTCATAAATTATAAATATATAAATTATGAAAGTGGTGTCACAGACAATAAACACTGCTGAAAACAGTTTATAAATGAGAATTTGAGAAATAAAGTAACGCGAAGGCTTATAAGTCTCGATTTGAAATTTTATAATTCTTTTTAACGCCATAAACTGTCCTCATTATATAGCCATTTATTTTAGTCTGTTTGGACAAACCACGCTAAAATTGAATTGTTTCTTAGAGTCTAACTATAACTTAATTCCCCATTGTGCTTAATTTGATTTTTGATCTAGCTATCAACATATACCAAATGTTTGTCCGTGTTTGGTTTAACGCCACCTCAACACAATTTAGGCCATATGGCGCCAAAAACATGATTTGGCTAATCTAGGGTGTTACAAAGTTAAAGCAACACCAGGGGTTTTTCAGCGCACCTACACAATTTACGATCAATGACACCAAAACAGATAATTTTGCTGACCTCTGGTGTTACAAAGTTAAAGCAACACCAGGGGTCAAAACCATCCCACTTGCTGGAGCTAAGAGAAATACAGACCACTTAGTCGCCTCATACGGTCACGTAGATACGGTGGCTGCAGTTCTGATGCCTCAATCATTGAATGTCACCCCTATGGCCCGGGAAGGGCTTAATGTAATATTGCCTTAACTTGTTGCCAAACCCATTTGCTTTTTGTTATATACTCATCATTAGTATATTTGACATGTAATTCATGCAATAACATGTTTAAACTAAAGGCCAACCCTCAGCCACAAGGGGGGTATATCAAATGTATATTTCTGGAAAATTTCATTATTATAAAAGAAATGATTAAACAGGAAGTATGTTAACAATATATACGACGTGAAATGTTATCACCCAACCAAAAAATAAACGCTGATAAAAATAAGGAAGTTTTTTTTTAAATATTCATCACGGCACAATCAGTGACTATACACCTTCCTTGCATGCTTGTTATTTCACCAAGGGCTCGATTGTGAGGAAGCTTAATCTAAATAAACCACTACTGAGTCGGTTTCTAATAGGTACTGATGATGAGGAAACATGGGAAGTTTATTTAAGCTCGATTGCGAAACGAGTTCTTGCAACTTATATTAATTACTTCCCAATCTGCTTCCTGAAACCAAACAGTACTGGTGACATTTGAAGTAACATGGTCCTGACCAAAGTAGGGCTCGAACCCAAGATCCCTGGGTTCAGAGGCAGACACCTTAACCACTAGGTCACTACTCTCTTTAAGGAAACATGGGTGTGACCAGAAAAATGCTCGAACCCATGATCCCTGGGTTGAGAGGCAAGCACCTTATCATGCTATTTAGCCACAGTACTTGTGTTTGACAAATCAGGAGCATGTAGATCTGTTAGGAGAATTTATAATTTATAACACATTAACTGATTTTTTAAAATTTATTTTGACACATAGGTCTACTATGGTTCCCTTCACAAACACATATTATTTTTACTATTATTTTAATTGTAAAATCAATTTAACCTAGCAAAACATATTAAAATTATCAAGTTATATGTTTTAATTGAGAAAAATCATGAAAAATAATATTTTATTACATAAAATCAGATAGTGTTTCAATAACATCCTTATTCTATGAGGTTCACACATATATACTTTGTATATAGTAACATCAACAATATACAAGAAGTCTTGATATTATAATTTGTTGATACACAATTATTATGAACAAACATATGGATTCCCCTATCTGTCAAGTCTTTACAAATCTTACATAATATAATAGACTTAGAAAACCAAACTGGATAAATTAGCTATACAGTAGCCTACTTAAAATTGTAACCCATCTTAAAACTTTCCATTTAAGCAGACATAAATTAACCATTATCTCGCGTAATATCTTAAAGGGCCATTATTCTTCAGAAATGACATCATTTCTATTTCTCGTTTGCATTTTTAGCTCTGTTGGCAATTGGTATAATTTTAGTGCATTTTTAGTACAATGTATTTTGTATGGAAGTCAAAAACTTTTAACTCACTGCTTTGTTTACATTTTGCTACCTTTTTGACACATAACTGCATGTTCCGCCTTCTTTTTTAGTTGTAAAACATCTTTAGTAACATGCTCTTAAGCCATTATTTAAACATTATTGAACACATGTTTAACATTTCCAAAGAATTAAAAAAAAATGTATTTCTTAGGCATAATGTGCCTTATAATGGACTGCTACATCCTTTCATTCTGCCAAAAAAATATCATTATATTCGCCAAAATTTCATAAATTAATCATAAACTACTGACTGAATAACAAACAGTGCAGACCATGATCAGACAGTGTTGACCATGATCAGACAGTGCAGACCATGATCAGACAGTGCAGACCATGATCAGACAGTGTTGACCATGATCAGACAGTGCAGACCATGATCAGACAGTGCAGACCATGATCAGACAGTGCAGACCATGATCAGACAGTGTGGACCATGATCAGACAGTGCAGACCATGATCAGACAGTGCAGACCATGATCAGACAGTGCAGACCATGATCAGACAGTGTTGACCATGATCAGACAGTGTTGACCATGATCAGACAGTGCAGATCATGATCAGACAGTGCCGCAAGTGCAGACCATGATCAGACAGTGTGGGCCATGATTAGACATTGCAGATCATGATCAGACAGTGCAGATCGTGATCAGACAGTGCAGACCATGATCAGACAGTGCGGACCATGATCAGACAGTGCTGGTCATGATCAGACAGTGCTGACCATGATCAGACAGTGTGGACCATGATCAGACAGTGCAGACCATGATCAGACAGTGCAGACCATGATCAGACAGTGCGGACCATGATCAGACAGTGCTGGTCATGATCAGACAGTGCTGACCATGATCAGACAGTGTGGACCATGATCAGACAGTGCAGACCATGATCAGACAGTAAAGACCATGATCAGACGGCACAAATGTGCTGGCTTATCTTGGGTCTGCACAGTGGTCACATGGGTAGAATGTGTTGCCACCAGCAGAACAACTTTAATTGCAATAAAGATATGCATTATGGAATGACTTTCAAAGGCACTGACAAAATGGCATCATTTTAATTAACAAAACAAGTATTACTGGAATGTTTCAGCAAAAACTGTTACAGACTTGGTACACCAATGTGTTGGAAAATATGATTTATTTCAATAAATTATAGCATAAACCATACATGTAAATCAGTAAGATAGGTCAATATCAATGAATGAACATTTGTGTCTATGCTATTAGTTGTAAAGATTTTTGACAGGATATGATGACCATGCATAAATATCTGTAAGTTTATATGACCAAACTTATAGATAAGTATACCTATATAGATACACAACTGTTTATTTCAAGGTCATATAACTTGTCAAAAAAAACCCAAACTACTCTTTATAACAACTTGATAACAGAGCTTGCACAATTCCTTTAAAATTGTATTTGTGTTAATCTTATTAAAATCCGAACATTGTTTTCGCTCCGTTTCTCTTCGTTACGAAGTGTAGACTGGAGGGACAATTAGGATATGATTTTAATGAGATTGTATTTGCATGGGTAAAAAGGAAAAAGTAATTCTTAAAGTCATAGAAGGTGTGTTTATAAATCATATAAACATCACCATTATCCATAAAAACTTTTTCTACAAATGTGTAGCATATACTTTATAAAGTATTTTCTTACAATTACCTGTGTAAGCATTTTTGACAAAATTAATATATAACACATAATTTGACAAAATTAATATATAACACATAATTTGACAAAATTAATATATAACACATAATTTGACAAAATTAATTTATAACACATACTTGTGCTCAATGTTCTCAATGTAAGTAAAAAATATATATTATGCTATATCAATAACAGTTTGTTCATTAACATGTCAGCAAAAAGGTGTGACTGACAGTCATATATTATAAATTTTCTATATAAATAATTTTACCTTTACTTTATGTTTTAGATATACACATATTTTAATTTAATATTGTAAAAAACATATCTTTTATTTTCATATATCATGTTACTCTCATGTAGATTGAAATGAAATTGTTACTCAAGAGCCAATCTACATTCATGTTTTTTTACAGTAATTAAGAGTCTTAACAATTAAATATATTTTGGGTTAATTCAAACTTGGTTTGCTACTCTGGGGGTTTAGAGCTTTTTACAAGCTAACTATTTAAGAGGCAGTATGTGTTTTCAATTTCAAAACTGGTTTTAATTACTGACTGCATATACCAGAGTTCTGAGAATAGACCGTGGATAAATTCCCACAATCTAAACATCTTCCCCCGTCTCCCACCCCTTACCTGAGTTTGGTTTGTTTCTTTTTTTGGTGTAGTTCATCATTAATTTCTTTTACTTAAAAGGCAGCATACTTAAATATATAGGTCCAGTCCCTGTTACCTAAACTATAGTTGAGTTTTTCTATTTTGACTAAAAAAGTAAAGGGACTCCACTGAGGTTTAAAAGCCTAAAAACATAACGTTTGAATTTCTTACATAAATGAGCTTGGGCACTTTAAACAGACAGATATGCAGAGATAGTTAAGAAATATACTTTGAAATAAATTGAAAATCATATCTTTATGCTTTTCTTAGCCCGATTTGAGTGAAAAGCGTTTAAACACTTTTCATTTGGGTCATTTTTTTACAATTTGAATAAATATTCTGGAAAAACAAAATGCGCGAATGATCTAAAATTTTGCACAAAGTATTAGTGGTCTAAACCTACATCAAATGGTACATTTATCTGGAAATAATATTTTCAGTCCCATCATGTCAAAAAACCTCAGTGGAGTCCCTTTAAGGTTCTATGGACTGGTGCCTAACACCTTGCACATTAAGGAATCAATTATTTTTTTCTGCAGATGGGATTAATTTTTATTATTTGCACTGTTTTAAAAGTAAAATAAAAATCAACGGTTTCCTTGACCGAGTGTCCAATTATTTCTGTAGCATCAATAATGTATATATTTTCAAACATAGTAGCAACAAATGTCTGAAATCGATGAATTCTAAATATTTAAAGAGAGTGCAAATCCATCTACAATACAGGGTTAAGTATAAAAATTCCACAAATGGTACATACAATAAGGTCGTTGCAATTTTATATTACATGGATTCTTAATATTCATACAAAGCAATTTACCTTAAAGCTAATGATCCAATTACAACAATTGTAGATAGAACTTTATGGGAAATTAAATTCTTTAAAGGCCCATTATGGCTCAGAAATGCTTTTTTTTCATAAGATTTTTATTTTTGATGTTCAGCTATATTTTCAAAAAAATTTATACTCAAAGGCCAATTACCTGAGCCAACATTTTTATGCTGCTTTTTGGCAATCATTGAAGTACTGTTATAATGATCAACCATTTTGTATGAAGTCAAAATATTACTTTGTTTACACTTTGCTATTTTTTTCAGCACTGCTTTCTTTAGGTGATATGTACCAACATGCTAATGCTCTTAAACCATTAATTAAACATTATTAAACTCATATTTGCCTTTTACAAATCTGTTACTGGTATCTAAGACATAGCTAGTGTGCCTTTAAATGATTAAGAACAATTAAAACAACAAAAAACAACATTATCTAATTGTATGTGTTAAAAGATAAAAATCTCAGTGTAAAATAAAAATAGATTCTATTATAATCATGCTCTTTTTAGTGAACTTTAAATATCATAAATCTCATTCATACATGCATGTATGTAATAAAATATATTAAATTTTTATTAAATCTGACCTAGATATACAAGTAGAGTTGATGCAGTTGTACACTATGTTTTCTTTAAAATGATGTACTACCAAAAAAAAAAGGTGTTTATTATCATTAAATGATGAAAAAAATCTATGCAGTTCAAATATTCTGTGCTCAAATATATATAATATATTCTGTTATTATGATGCACACTATCACATATTATGGCAATTTTTTAAACACATAGAAGAATAAAAATCTACAATAAGGGTAAATTAGTAAATAACTATTTCTGCTTAATAATAATAAGAGTATTTCACAAAATGTATATAAAATTACAGTAAATTCACTTAACAAGCATAAACTTCCATGTTTTTGTGTCAATTTCTCAAGAATTTAAAGAGCTAGATTTTCATTACATGAAATCTGCCTAAAAATATTGCATTTCATTATTGAAAGTCAATGTTTTTCAAAAAATGTAAAAAAATCTCTTTAATTAGGTCATACCGACTCTTGGAGGGATAAATATATAAACAAAGAGCATCTCTGTTTTAGTACATGGTATTACGCTATCAAACAATTTTAGAGAGTAATATCAGTAGTTTAAAAAGGAGTTTAATTTAGTAAATCAAAATCCATGCTAGAGTTATGGGTCATCTTTAACAACTACCTGAAGTTACATGTATGACTCACAAAAAAAAAACTAAGTGCAAGTTGCAGCAAAACTTAGTAATACATACATGTAGCTTTAAAAATATGCAAAGAAGTTTGTCTTTGTAAAAAAAAATTCAAAGTCTTAAAATGCATTTAAATATACATGTACATTAACTTAATGTGTCTGTGAATAAATTGTAATGGTACAACTAGAAATGTATCCAGAGGAAACTATTTTGTCAGTCTACAGACAGACAGTTGGACAGATGGACAACAGAAAATTAGTATGCTCCACATCCTCCGCCAACCTTAAGTGGACTTGAAAACCTTGCTGGAAATCAGTAATCACACAAAAAAATATTAACAATTTTTTTAAGTGTTCAAATTTCTTTAGCTAGCCATATCTGACCATTGAATCTTTCTCCATTCAAAAGAAAAGAAATAATCTGCCCTGCCCCTCTCTTAAAAAATCTAAATTTACATAAACTCCACTATTACTGGCCTTTTAGAAATGAAAAATTAACTGATCAGAACCTTGTCAGACTTTAAATAATTATATATCACTTTCAATCACATAACTTTAAAGTTACATTAAATAAATATGTAAAAATATTTTGCCGTCGGCCTAATAACCAAGCATTCTACTGTTTTATTAACCTTATTAACAGTATTGTTGTAAATCTCATCAAATATTGTTCATAAATTAAGATTTTAAACGGAAAACCCCACGGTAACACTAAAGTTCGTATACGAATTTTAACATGCAAATGAAGACTATAATCAGTTCATGTATGTGCTACGTCACAGTGTTATAGTTGCTATACAGAACACCGCAAATACGAGATTTTCATGTGCATACACACTTTAACCGTTTTAGCTTCACGGTGCATTTGGCATAGCGTTCAGAAAAGAGTAATCATCTCGTAAAAATATTAAATTTGTATAAAAACAACCGTTACAAAGCGTAAATATACCGTTATATTAGGACTGCTACTTATAACCATGTTTGTTGATTTAATATTGATGTACGGATGACCCGAAGGCGGAGTTTCTCATGCAAATTCCGATTTCGCCACAATGAGGTCGCAGATGTTTATGCTTATAAAGCTCATTTTGGTTGCCTTGACACCATAATAAGATCTGGAGTCGATATGAAACCAAATTTACTAATGAAATGTCGCTATTTCTGTTTTTAAGAAATTCATTTAATGTAGCTTTAAGATATGTCATTGGTGTCATTTGCAACATTAGCTGAAAAACAGCCAAAATGTTTCTTTAAACTATATTTTGACTTCAATTATGAATATATAACATTTTCATTATAGCATGAATATATAACACTTTTATTATAGCTTCAGTGGGATTAATAAAGGGAGTTAATTTCTAAAATTCTTAGAAAGCTAAAAAGTCAAAGACATCTTCCAGTTGAAGAATTAAGCTTTGACACACAGTTACACACGTTATCTTTAAAATATAGGAATTCATTTGTTAAATCTTGTAAAACAACAATTTAATAATAAATCTGAAATTTAAAAGCTTTTAAGATTATGATTACCCAGATGGCATACATTCTTTGTAGTTTATATAGTGCCTCGGGTAGATTAATGGTTTTTTAACCTCCCTAGCTGTTGTTCTTACATGGCACATTGAAATTGCAACCGAATAATGTTTTGGCCCCAAAAATAGCAAAGAAAAGATTAATAGACAACCATTGAGAACTGTTTAGGAATTTTACCATTTCACAATCCAGCTTTTTTCAGGTCTTAATGTTTTAAGAGCAATATGTATTTAGATCCCATAGTGGTAGAGGGTTGGTGGTGGGTTACATTAATGACTGGTGCATAAAGCGTAGGGCAGCTTTGTGTCATCAACATAATTTATATTATATATAAGTAAACTTACAGTAGGTAAATATGTGTGCAGCAGATAATTGTAATAAGTATTTATCACATACCCCTGCCACTTTTGCGACTCGGTATTGCACTGCCGTGCAAATATTTTGATGCGACGTCATTACGTTATACAAACACAGCGTTAAGACACGCTAAATGTTAGCGATATACTATAAGAACGTCAATGAAAAATGTTACTTTTCAATTTAAACAGTTTTTATTTTGGGTATGTGATAAATGAAATATTATACATGTATTATATATGTTCATAACTGAATTTATTGAACTCATTGAATAAAATTATATTTTGCTTGTCATAGGCTTGCATAATATAATTTTATTCAACTCCTTCAATAAATTCAGTATTGGACCTACACTCACTCAATATATTTGATTTTTTAAATTCAATGTAGAATATTTTCTCTACAATCTTTGAAAATCGTGCCTTATGATATGAATTATGATCAGTATGTAAACATAATATACATCTTTTGAAAAAATAAAATTTTAATCCATCACCATGGAATTCTTTGTTGTGTCAGAATGACACTTCATCGATTATCAGTAAGTTTTTATTTACATGTTATTTATCTACAAAGAACTAAATTCATAGTTGCCATTATTACATTTGATTGCATTATCTTGTGTTCACTATTCACTAAACATATGTAAATTCTTCCACAGACTTGCTCCCTCCCTCAATAATTTACTGGACTCAGTCCAAGAGGGAATAAATAGTTCCGTCTCAATTCATCCGTACTAATTTTGTTGTAACTAACATTATCCCTTTGGTTTGTGTGGAAGTGTGCTTTGTGGAAGTGTGCAGTTGTGCTTAACACTTCTGCCTCCTCATCTTTGAACCCAGCTATGAAATTGGTTGAAAAGTTTTCATGGTGCACACTTAAATTTGACATTGCCCAATGCATTTTAATGTCTGAGACAAGACGCTTCTGTGTTCTTGGGGTGCGAGTCTTTTTCATCATTCGTCTTGCAGTATTTAACACTTTGATAAACTTCACATTATCTGGCGACTTACTGGGCGTGACCAAAGTGATATGAAATCCAGTGCCCTTATTCCTGATCATTAAAAGAAACATTTGAAATAGTCGCTCCTCATCAATCCTTGGGGTGACTACATAGACGGTGGCCCCACATCCCAGCCAATCATCAATCAGGCTTTTCCACATCTTCATGATAAAGTCATGCATCATTATTCCGCCGCCCTCTGGTATCATGTCAATCAAATCTTGAACCTATTGAAAAATCATAAAAAGCAAAGTTAAAAGTATAGAATCTCTTTTATAAACCATAATTGAATATTATTACACAAACATAACCTAGCTAAGAAGTAAAAAATTAAATCATTCTTTTTTTTATAATTCAAAACAGATCTCGAATGATTATAATCATTCTACGATGTGCTGTATGTCAGTTTGGATTAAAATATCCGTCCGAAGGGTACCAGTCCATTGGGCGGTAACTTAAGACTTGACGAGATACACCCATTATTATAATAATAAGGTATTGGTAACCCTCTGGATGGATATTCTGATCTGATTCACAAACACGTGTATACATGTCGGGCACGTCCCCCATGCCAGATGAAATTTCGGTCCAGCATGGGTAAAACAACTTGAAACAACTCCAAAGGCAAGAATATATGTAATCTAACTCTGCATAACATTATCGTTGGCCTGTGTTCAATCTGCAGTCAATCAGTACTTCATTAAATTATTATTTATTAAATTATTTACGTTTAAATGAATACAGTACATAATTAACTAAACTTAAGTATACCTCCTCAACATTTTTGTCGAGTTGTAAAAATCGTGTAACTGACGTGTCTGAAGCATCTGCCAACTCTTCGACCTCGTCATTTCCCGTCTCTAAAACATTGGGAAATTCATTTGTCATCCATAGCAAATGTTCTTTTCCACAAACTTTCATAGTTCCTGATCTTTTGTTTAGTTTCAATGTTACTTTTGGTCCAACACTGATTTTAATGATGTCTTCCTTTTCCCTAAATGTATCATTTGGATACATGACTTTGAATATGTTCATCCACCATGGAACTATATCCCTATATGTCGATACTATGACGACTTCGTTTCCCTTGTCAAAGAAATCAATGTCAAACGGTGTTGGGGTACTCCACACCCGCGCCAACATGTCAAGTCTCTCTTTTTTAGAAGGCATTTTTTCATAAAGTTGTTACACAGGATTGTTAACATGAAACTGCTGTGATTACATCTGGAATGGTTACCCAAATTAGGCTGAACTTTGATACTTCCGTACTTTTTCGTCTTTAAAAATTTTGTAAACAAAACCAAGCGAGTGTCAGGTTATTTTACTGCCTGTGAATGTTGGTATCTCGGCTTTGTTAAAACTCTTTAGCGTACTACGATAATAAGGAACAATAAATTTGACAAAATTCGTTTTTTAATTACAAAAAAAAACGAAATATTCAGTAATTATTACACCTGTAATTATTTCACCTGGGCGCAGCCATTACTGAATCGCTGATTGACTAGTCACAATATTTTGTCAACCAATCAGATTGCTTAAAACAATAACACGTTATCACGAAAATATGGACATATTACGCATGCATATGCGTATCTAAGCCTCCATAGCTCAGTGGTTAGAGCACTGGTCTTGTAAACCAGGGGTCGTGAGTTCGATCCTCACTGGGGGCTGGTGAAAAATCTTTTCTTTTCATTTGAGCAGGTATAATTTATTCTTCAAAATCTACGTTGTACCACGTATAATTATAGATACGATTGAACCAAGAAAGGAACTGATATTGTTGCAGTATACATATGAAATGTACACATGTATGCTATCTAAATTAACACTAAACAACCTTGTCATAATCTTTATACAGTTTAAATAGCCCGGTTTAATAAATATATAAACCGTGAATTTTACACGTACGTTTTTAAATTTCTACATTATCACGATCCGTCCCGGCATTCATATTCTCTACATATATGTTCAAATTAAACGACACGGATGATTAATACTTTTACATGTGTTTATGCTTGCTCAAACAAATCCCTTTGTCTACAAAAATGAAAAACTGTATATAGAGGATATTCAAGTTTTTTTTTCTATAAATACAGCATTTATTTTCATTTCAAGTGGTATGAAAATAAATATTTCATAAGTGGCAGTAGCCACGAGTGAAATATGATTATTTTCATACCACAAGATGAAAATAAATCCTGCATTTAAAGAAAAAAACTGATTTTTTCTGTCTATAATATATTTTTCTCTTCTTTTTTACCTTAAAATTTAAAAATAAACTTTCCATTTAATTTTGTGTATTGGCTGAATTTATATGAAAGAAGTCCGACAAGACACCAGTGAAAATACGGAAAATATGTTTCACATCATGGAAAAATAAAGTTTTATGTACAGTGAAAATACGGAAAACGCATTTTATCAGCAATATTTTTAATATTTCATTTATTAGTATATAAAAGGTCTGTAGACGCTCTCTCGCCGATTGCATGAAAGTTCCATCATAAGATGCCCTTTGAGTTTTTGAAGTTTAGAAGGATTTATGCGCATAAATCCAAGATTTCCAGTTTCCCCCCAAAATTTGCTATCTCTGGCCAGTGATGAGCATTTAATTATAATTACATGGCTTGTCACAGTATCACTGATAGCAGCACCCTAGAATGTTTTATGATCCTATCATGTTTCAAGGAGAACATTTCAGATATAAGGAAAACGAAGATTTTCATAGGTACATTCAATTTTTAATAAGAGTTAAAGACTAAAAAAAAAAAAACTGGATTACATTAAAAAAGGTTTTAGTCACTTACAACTCATAATCACAGGGACTCGGTTCCGTGTTGGGATAGTGTAGGGTAAAAATAATTTTAGAGAAAAAATAAATTAGAGATCTATAAGTATTTTTTTCTAAAATTGCTTTTTACACTACCCCAACAATGTGCCGTGTCCCTGTGATCACAGTAAAAATACTAATGTAAATTACTTTCATTCAATTTGGTAGAAAAAAGATCTCATCTTTGAATGTGAAAAAAAATTGTAAAAAAGGTAGCGAAATGTAAATAAAGTAGTATTTTGACTTCCATACAAAATACTAAATCACTTAAACAATACCAATTGCAAAAAAGCAGAAAATAGTAAAAAATTGATGACCTTTAAATTTATAGTAAAGTTATAAGTTCAAAGAGAAAATATCTCTTGAAATAAAGATGCTAGAGTTATGAATATTGTCATGCATGATGTTAGTAATGACAAAGAAATTATTTTATCTAGAGTACTAGATATCATTTCTAATAACAAAGATTATACTTAGAAATATATGAATCCATAAATCCCAAGTTCAAAAATGAAATTGAGATAATTCTAGAAATACAGATATAAGTGTTAAGAAACATATTTTGAAGTGCAAAAAATATCAATATACAAATATAATATATAAACAAGAGCTGTCACAGAACGTGACAAATGCCTCAAAGGATTCTAGTTATAAACCACCTATTACATGTTAAGTGTGGTGGTAAAAACTGACATAGTTCGAACCCCAGCAGTGACCTTTAAGTTAGACAAGAAACCTGGGTTAGGTTCACAACACATTGTCCATCTATGGTGATTTAATATTAAAAAAAATTGAAACTTTCATGTATGGATTCGTTACAGAGCGGACACAATAACCACCATTTATATGAACAGAACAGAACATATATTTTATTTTGAATTAAGCATATACAGCTCATCTTCATATACAACAAATATATACATGCATGAATATGAAAAATGGTAAATGCATATCAATAAATGAAATAAACTAGTGCGAGTGTAATACAACACATGTAATATATACAATCCTTATATAACTAAGGTGGTCTTATATAACATTATCCGGCATTCAATGAATCAAATCTTCATTTGAAAGCTTTGTTACAATAATTATATAGCTAATTTTGTTAACACTGACTTCCTTTCTGAATTCAGCAATTCTAAGAATTTAAACATGCTAGGGTTTCTTGTAAAATAGTTGGATATATACTGTTTCCTAAGAGAATCATACAAAGTACAAATCAATACAAAGTGATATTCATCTTCGATGTCATTATTGTTGCAAATACACAAATGTAGTTCATTTCCGGTCATTTCTGTCAATATTATTGTGTCTACCTGTTTCTATGAATAAATTGTGAGATGGTAATCTAAGTTTAGCTAATATATTTCTTAATTTCATAGAGTCAACAATATCCAGGTATTTAGACCTGCTAAAATCGGTTTTTGATATGTTTATTCAAATACAAAGAAGAACAAAATATGTACACTAGAATGCCAATTTGTGATATAAATATCTTTTAAACGACCATGTAGGACTGGTATAAAATATATTTAGCTTAAATGATTATGGGTACATCCACACTTCATTAAATCAAGCACTTTGCAAAAGTGCTTTGACTTTAGACAACCAATTTACAGTATTAGACTTTGACTCTATCTCCAATCTCTGACAATTAACGATATAATTTAATATACAATTGCTTGTTTTATTTTGATATATTTTTATAAAATATTTAACAATTCTTACATGACGTGAAATATATAATGGAAAATCGGCCTACTTCTGCAAATAATGAAAGAGTATTTGTTGACATTTTCGCATTAAGCAACCATTTACAGAACTTCCTATGTACAATTTCCAAATTTTACGATGGTATGTTACCCCATACCTCACAGCTATATGTATATAACATAAATATTCAAAAAAGTTTAAACCCCAGCAGTTACCTTGAACTAAGGCGTAGGAACACGGGTCTTAAGCGCAAAACATCATGCATTTATGATAATTTCATATGCGAAATAAAAAATATAATCCTTTTATCACATTAGTTTTCGAGCAGACACGACCATCTCTGCCTATATGTATATTAACATCAAAAAATTGACAAAGTTTGAACCCACAGTGACCTTGACCTTGTAGAAACATGAGTCTTGTTCGTGGCACACCATATATATCTATGGTTATTGAATATGTGTGAAAGAAAAATTAAAATCCTTTCATGCATACTGAAGTTTCAGAGTGGACACGACCACCTCCTTCTATATTTATATAACATAAAAAATGACAAAGTTTGAACCCCGCAGTGACCTTGACCTTAGTCGTAGGAACCAGAGTCTTGTTCGTGACACACCATACATTTAAAAGTTATTTCATATATGAAAGAGAAATTAAAATCTTTCATGAATACTGAAGGTTTTAAAGCGGACAGGACCACCACCTTCTATATTTATATAACATAAAAAATGACAAAGTTTGAACCCCCGCAGTGACCTTGACCTTAGTCGTAGAAACCCGAGTCTTGTTCGTGACACACCATACATTTATGGTTATTTCATATATGAAAGAGAAATTAAAATTCTTTCATGAATACTGAAGGTTTTAAAGCGGACAGGAACACGACCTTCTATATTTATATAACATAAAAAATGACAAAGTTTGAACCCCCGCAGTGACCTTGACCTTAGTCGTAGGAACCAGAGTCATGTTCGTGACACACCATACATCTATGGTTATTTCATATATGAAAGAGAAATTAAAATTCTTTCATGAATACTGAAGGTTTTAAAGCGGACAGGACCACGACCTTCTATATTTATATAACATAAAAAATGACAAAGTTTGAACCCCGCAGTGACCTTGACCTTAGTCGTAGGAACCAGAGTCTTGTTCGTGACACACCATACATTTATGGTTATTTCATATATGAAAGAGAAATTAAAATTCTTTCATGAATACTGAAGGTTTTAAAGCGGACAGGACCACCACCTTCTATATTTATATAACATAAAAAATGACAAAGTTTGAACCCCCACAGTGACCTTGACCTTAGTCGTAGAAACCCGAGTCTTGTTCGTGACACACCATACATCTATGGTTATTTCATATATGAAAGAAAAATTAAAATACTTTCATGCATACTGAAGTTTCAGAACGGACACTACCTCCACTGTCTATATGTATAAAGCCTGACGGACTGACAGACAGACGGACGGTTCGATTTTAATATGCCACCCTTCAGGGGCATAAAAACATCTAAGTTCAAAGGGGAAATAATTCTTTAAATATTCATGCTAAAGTTATGAATCTTGTCACACATGTATAAGGAACATATATTTTTAAGTTAGAAGTAGATACCTTAAGAAATAAAGAAGTAAGTAAAAAGGTAACATTTTTTTACGAACAAAAATGAGTTCATGGGGAGATAATTCTGGGAAAATATTGGTGCTAGAGTTAACAACATTGTCACATATGATGTAGTTGATGGTAAGGAACACATATTTGAAGTTTAAGTCAATCCCTTATTATGAACTAGAAAGAGTAAAAAATAAAATTATTTTATGGAAAATTATATGTTCAAGGGGATATAGTTCTTACACCTTATCACATAATGTGTATGATCATAAGGAATACATGTGTACATATAAGAAAAATATTAATGACCCTTCGGGGCGGGGCAAATTTTTACCCCAGGGCTTTGGTCTGAAAAAACTTGATAGACACTCAGTATAAGATGTTTCATGCCAAATATCTAAGCTCTAGCTCTTTGGATTTAAAAAAAAAAACAACAACATTTTATAATTTTTTTCCGGTTGCTATGGCAACCAAAGTTCTGCATGGAATTTTATTCTTTGAGCATCTTTGGTAGAGCCTTATGCAAGGAACACTCCTGCAAAGTTTCAACAAATTTGGCTAAGTTGTTTAGGAGAAGAAGTCGTTTAAAGAAATTTTTGACGCACAGACATTGTCCTCAGATGAGCTAATAAAAAGTTAGAGATAAAATGTTTACTGCATATAAGCATTAATTTAAAGTATGTACGCTTGCGCCGGCTTACAAGCCAAGGTGAGTAGGACAGCTCTCCATATACTTTATATAGTTGAGCTAATAATAAAAATATCACTTACCTGGTCACTTAGTTAAGAGTCTTGCACTTTGCAGTAAATAATTACATCTTTAACAATTTTTTTGTTGTTGTTTTTTGTTTGTTTTTTTTAGCGGTTTTTTTCGGGGTGGGGGCGGGGGGCAGTTCACTCAGTAACATGAGTAACACTGAATAGTGACACTTTACTATGGAAGTTTGTTAATTAAGAAGATGATTATCACTTATAAAGGTATATCCTAACATATAATTCATTTAGTAGCTAAAATTTATCTTGTGATATTTAGTATGATATTTACAAATAATTCAAATAATTGCTAAAAGTTTCACAATTCACTTGGGCCGCAGACCCAGAGAAAAAACATTGATAAAAGTGAGTGTATCTTCAGAAATTTGATTCTTCAACGTTAGGGCCATTAGATAAGAATACAGAGGGCCAATTAATGATGACAAGACTCTCAACTCAGTGGAAGTGTTAATGGGAGATATACAGTTAATAGTGATTTACTAGCTGATAAGCCCTTACGCTGGGAGGGTTTATGCGTAGGACTGTCTAAAATAAAAATATAAAAATCCCATTCAATCTCTTCCCTCTTATCCCGCTCATGTATTTTTTTCATCACAGATCATGTAAAGCATGTAAAATTGCCATATTGAAAGTAAAAATCTTTTTTTATTAGATCAACTTTATATATACAATGTATTTCCTTTTGTAATTGGTCGGCTATTGTCGAGACTGTACACGATTGATTGACTAATTGCGAAAAAACAAAAGTAATCTTTTGGACCGTACAATTTCTTTTATTGAAACATAATAACGATCCTCTTTAATCGATTCTTTATGATTTTACATTCTTTGAGAGTTTAATATAGCTATGATTATTTCGGAATTCATGATATACAATAGCTGCCGATAAAGGTACTTCATGTAAAGGTAGAGTGATACTATTTTATTTAATTAACATTACAGAATAAAATTTCTTCATATCTTTCCTTTTCATTGTAATTTAATCCATAATTATTGATAATGCATTCATAGAAAAGTATGTATAAAACGGCATACAAGATTACTATAGTCTATTGTATTAGTACATATACTATTGCGAGCGACGATTTACGTTCGTATATCTAGGCATCGTATAAATCGGATTAAATGTATTTCAGTGCAAATGTTTTAAAAACCGTTGTGCTTATTAAAAAAATGTAAGTGTCCATATCCACAATAGATACCACCCGAAACATTCAAAAAGTCTAAAATAATTTTTTTTCATCTTTTCTACCTACACTTTCGCTGTATATATTAATGATATCCAATACTCTAAAGGGCCATCCGTGGCTAGTGGCTAGCGGAAGTAACCCGCCAAAGACTTTGGCTTGGCTGTCCATCTAGCTTAGTAGTGGTTCTTGAGTAGTCTACGAAAGATGATCTCAATCGCCTATGGGCATGCGAGTGTTGGCATTTCCGGTGCCGCAGTGTCTTAAACCTCACGCAGATCAACTTAAACAACTTATAAAGAATGACTAATTTACTCAACTGTTCCGTTAGACTGCAATAAATGTAACACAAAATATAGATGATAATTAAGGTGTGTTTGCCGAGACACATGTAATTATGTATATGATCACTGCAAAGCTCTGATTTGTCAAAAAGATAATGTGCACATGTAGCAAATATCAATACATTTCAGGCTGTGAATATGAGTTCATCTATGGCTGTAGGTGTAGCAGTCTCGGCAACGTTTGTACTCTTAATTGTAGGGCTAATCATCCTCGTGTGTGTTCTAGCCAATCGGAGTCCGCGGAAGCGTCAAGGAATGGCCAACACTGTCAAAAAAGGCACCCAAAATATCAGTAAGAAACTTGTCAACTATAAAACTACGTACTATCTGTGATTTCTTCTACGAAAACACGTCGGAAAATGCAAAAGCTAGAAATTTAATCGGACGAAAGTTGCAGACCCGATCCGAGTTACAAAATTTTACTCCTTTTCATGCAAACACTATTGGAACCAATTTGTGAATTATAAATATATGACTTCAACATTATTATAATGTACAATGTACATTACTTTTCAATGCAGTTTTATAATGTACAATGTACATTACTTTTCAATGCAGAGAGTGTAATTACAGTCTACTTTAAGATACAATTATTCTGATACAGAAATAAGCAGTTGTTTACTGAAATTTTATTCACATATTCTGTTTTCAAGAAAAGAAAGCTGTGCAAATAAAAGAAGAGAAGTCGAGAGATGGCTGCTGCGCCTGTTTGCCATGTTGCAGAAAAAATCGCATAGAGGGACGTAAGTTGTTTGTTCTATATGTCTGTATCCAAAATACTTTATATCGAGTACCAGTTTTGGTGCTTGTATTTCTACCACTTCAGTCCGAGGCCAGTTTTAAAAATTAAAAGGGTATCTTTGTTAAGGCATACCTTACGCTTAGCGGTTAAAGAAATATCGAATGCTAAGTGTTCAACCCACTTACAGTTTTAGCTATATTTTTCACCTTTGTTTTTATCTGACGGATCAATTGAAGTACTATGATGGACAGTTCATAAAATCGTTGGGATTGAGTTGTTTAAATATTTGTTCTCTGTTTTGCTACATCGGGCCCTTGTAAGTGTTTCTGGTTGTTGCTGTTGCTCAACCTTGTCTTAAAATATCAACTACTTTCGTTTTTGTCAGTGGTCTGCATTTTTGTATCTATACTTACAGATTTTTTCGTCTAATATAACCATACCAACTGTTAGAATTTCACTTGGGTTAACACTATCTCGTCATATAGGAACATATGGGGGGAACGAGTGAGGTTTGGTGCACCTATAGCCGGTTTTACCTCACCAGCAGTACCGCCTCCGTGGTCGAGGGGTTAGAGTCAATGACTTATAATCCAGTTACCTCTCTGGCGTGGGTTCGATCCCCGGGAGATGCTTTGGTAGTTTAGCGCGGAGGAAGGTAGTCTAGTACTGGTGTAACTCTCCAGGAACGATGGTTAGGAAACTATCCGCCTATATGACAGAAATACTGTTGGAAAAAGGCGTAAAATGAAACAAAGAAACAAAACCTCCCAAGCAGTGGTTTTGCTATTGAACGTTCCGAGGTGGTGCCCCTCTATATTTTTTTTTACACGATTGCCTTATTTATTGTTTTATTCTGTGTAGGGTGACACGTTTCGTGATACCCTAGATCTTTTTTTATCGTCATCAGTAAATACCCTTCTTTTTCCATTTCGTACCCCTTTCCTGTTCATTTACGTTGCACCCAACCCTTGTTTCTTTTATTCCCATATCAACCCTTTACATGTATGGAAAATTACCTTCATATGAACTTTGATAAAATGAGTGTTAAGAAAATTCTAATGTTTAATTCATTAAATCCGATGCGTTTTCTTTTAATTTTTATGTTGTTTTTTTATCTCAAATATATATCATGACATTACACACTGTATTTATTAATTATTTTATTCTAATCAGCTGTACCTGATCCTCCATTTGGTGTTGAGTTAAGTGACCCCACATCTTCTGAAATAACAATTTTATGGAACGAACCTACGACCGGACAAGGCGCCGTTCCAATACTGGGGTACAATGTGTATAAAAGATTTAAAAGCAACTATGAAACTTTAACAAAAGGTTTGTAGTCTGTGAACTTCTACATGCGTAAGATTATTTTAAGGATCCAATGTTCGTATTTATCAACATTTTATTTTCAATGAAATGGACACATTTACAAATTCATGTTCATTTCTAATAAAAATTTAAACATTATTTTAATTTAAAAATCAACAACAAACAACAAAGTTGTCAAGTGTTAAAATCAAGTGTCAATATTAAACCTACCTTTGTCCGTTACTATAGGATAAAAGTTACATATACCATGTTAAAATATACACTGAAATAACTAAAACTCAGTAAGGGGGCAGAGGTAAATATGATATATATTTGATATATACATGTATATATTAAATACATTTTTATACTTTATATCAAACTTTATGATATCACTAAGATTGCTTATATTATTGCATTTATTCAACTACAAACGTCACATTCATATTATGCTAAATTAAATGTACATAGCTACTGAAAAATTGAAAATTGGAATAAAAGTAAAACTCTTAAGCAGTAAAGTACAAAAAGCTTGTGTTGATAGTGCGAAAAAGGTGTCCACATGTACAATGGCGACAGCCCTTTTTGTGTATATTCTTTATTATCCTTTATCTCTTTTACTGTTTACAAATATCTAAAATCAAACCGCAAAGCGCTTATGCGAACTAGACGGGTTGTTACCAATGCTAAACCTCTTTTATGCAATCAAGTGACCGTTTGGAATGACATACTATTATAATGTATGTTTATCTCTTACCAACCTTTTTCATACATTGTAGTGGGAAAGGTGACTGGAGATCAACTAGAATACCGTATAAAAGGTCTGACTGCAAACAGGATGTATATTTTTGGTGTTTCTACAAGGGGCTCTAATGGAGAGAGCAATATTGTTGATTCACAAACTATAACCCTTAAAAAGGATCCAGGTAATATTGTAGTTATATAAATACACACGCATTTTTATTGAATACACTAAGAATGTAATGTTTACCATTTGTCTACCTTCAAGTCTTAACCAAAGACGACGGTGTCTTTGAAGGCATCTATGTCATAGGATTAATGGAAGGGTTTTCTTTTTGCGTTCCAAGCGACATGATATCGATCGCCCAGATCATTTTCAATTTCGACAATTAGAAGAAGATTTAAACATTAAGCGTCTATTATAGACGCACATATAGAATTTTAAACACTTTTATTGAACGAGTTAAAGCCTACTTTCCGGTAGTAAGACACAAGTAGAACAAAACTCAATATATTTATATATCATTATCTTATAGTAACACCAGGAGCACCTACAGAGTTTGAAGCGACCACTCAAACCAGCTCAACTATCACATTATGTTGGAAACCACCAAGGAAAGATGGATATGCTAGGATAGAACGTTACTATATCATGATAAAGGATCTGGATAGCAAATCTGACTGGAATCACTTAACAAAACTACAGGCGTTTGACAGATTTATGGATTTTAAAGTTACGGGTCTAAAACCTAATCATCAGTACAGATTTAGAGTAAACGCTGAAAATTCAGCTGGTCTGGGACCATATGCAGAAACAGTTAACGTTGAGACAAGCGACATTGAACCGGGTAATACATTTGTGTTCTATCACACGTTTGGACACTCCTTTTATAGCTTATGGTTAAAAAGATAGGGCTTTGCGTTTCATTGGTTAAGATATCTTTAGGTTAAGAAAAAATATGAAAGACAAGTAGTCATTATTACAAATATTAAATTAACATATGTTATATTAATAAATTAACATATTAAGCAATATCATTCGCAAGATTAACAGTATAAACAAACTATTATTTTCCTATATTGAAGCTAGTTATAGGCGAATCATGATTTTGTGTTACTTTTTGTTTAAGCAAAATCCCCCATACACAGCCAAAACAGAAGTATCTCCAAATCGGCTCAAGAAGCCATTAATCATTTCGACTTCTTGCTCTCAAAATAATAATGTTCCTACCATATCCACATGTTTTCAATGATTAAACGTTAAATACCAATAAAATGATCAATATTTTTAACTTGCAGCACCTCCTGAAAAACCTAATGGTCCAATTAAATATGGGAAAACTTCTCCGTCTTCTGTTACATTATCATGGCAACCGCCGGAACAAGATGGCGGAAAACCTCTTTCCGGTTATGCTATAGAATACAAAGAAAAGAATGAGAAAGGCTGGCATAAAGCAGGTGTTTGTGATGCTAGTCATACGAAGTTTACAGTATCATCGTTACAAGAAGATACTACATACATATTTAGAATAGTTGCAATAAATGTAATAGGAAACAGTAAAGCATTGGTCGGTGGTAAAATACGAACGAAACTTCTGGAAATTCCACTGTGTAAGTTACTGTTTACAAAAGATGAATATGGTTTTTATCGTTTAGTCCAGAGTAATCATAGTTGTTAATAGAAAGAAATCTTAATTCACAACGAATTTTCATTATTATTCTAAAAATATATATATACGTCCATTGGAAATGTATGTATCAAAAGAAAAGCATCGCAGATTTCTTTCGTTTTAACATAATATACATTTTTCATATTTTTACATTTCATAGCACGCAGATCATCTGTTATTCTGGCAAGTCGGGGCTCATCTAGAGGTTTACCGGCTGGTAGAAACATAGGGTCTAGCCTCGGTGAAAGGCCACTGCGTGATTTAGAAGCAGGGACCAATTCCAAAAGAAATACAACAGTTATAACTAAAACAGATGAAACAAATGCTCTTCGAAATAAATTAGAGAACCTAGATTTGCAACTGGAAGCTGATCCGTTTGTACCTAAAAGTGACTTTTTCACGTACAATGAGACAGACTATCCGGGAAGTCTCTCTCACAGGCATGGGGACAATAAAACCCGGCACTCTCATCTGTCTCCGTTACCGGCACCTCCCCCGGAATCTGACTTAATCGGTAAAACCAAAAAGCGTTCCGAAAATTCAGAAATTCCAGAAAAGCGGCGGCATTCTGTCTATTCGCCCCTACCGAGACCAAAGTCGTTCCGTGACCATAGCAGATTAACACAAAGAGGCGAAAGTGACACAGAGTCAGGCGATAATCAAGAACATGCAGAAAATGAGGAAGCTAATTATCGAGAAAATGACACTAATGGCTTTGCAAATACCAAAACTGGGCAGCAAAGTCAAAACAATGATATTCAAGACACTATGAATCAGACAAATATTATAAATGGCGTTTATACATCACGTGACGTAATACGTCATCAGCCAACTCCTTCAAATATAGCTTATAAGCATAGTCGTTTTTGAACCTTGTTTGAAAATGGCGATCTCCAGACATCGCTTATACACACACCGTTAAATAAGTAATTTGTATCTTACGCCTGATCTTATTCATAAGTGTTGGATTTTTTTGGATACTTTCTTTTGTTAACATATACAATGTACGTAGATTATAGTTATTTATTATCTTGGATGATTTCATAATTAAATGATAGTTGTATTACATGTAAAACTGTCATATGTTGCCATCATGTTGAAAAGGTACAATTTAAGAATTTATAATGTTTTCAATATTTCAGTTACAACTAACTTATGGTTTCATCAAACACCTGGAAATGCAAAATTTATTTTGAATATTCGGTTTATAAACATGTTTATAAAACAAAAATAGCAAAAAATAAGTACCAATGATAATTAAATATGTGATATTCGAGGTAAAAATACAAGATCTAATATATGAGAATTTATCGCATAAGCATGCATTTGTTCAAAAAATAAAGCGTTCGTGAAAGATATAATACAATGTTCATTTTTTATTAACTTTTATTAATTAATTGAAAAAAAATAGTCACAAAATCTAATCTATCAAACACATGTGTAAAACAAATGACGTCGGTAAAAAACACGATTATAGAAATGATATACTGACATGAATTTAATATGAATTTAATATGAGAACCAAACTGACAGATATTGTTGACATGCCATTAAACTAAATGTTGCGCATAAATAAAGAATAACCAGATACTTTTATCTTGAACTATGTATAGTTAAATCTTAATAATAACGTTGCTGAAGAACAAAAAAGCTACGTAATCATATTTTACTTAAAGTTGATAAAACGGCAAAATGAAAAAAAATCTTAGTGTTATATTTTCAATAAGAGAAAAACATTCTTATTACCGCTGTATTCCTTCAATGTTGCAATATTCTGGAAAAATTTCAGACGTAAAGGTTTTTTGAAAGGCATACGTCCAAGTTGCTCAATAAATGTGAAAAGATGTGTGAAACTTTACCTTGCATGTGCGAAACTGTTTGCATTAATTGACAAATGTTTAAATGACAGACATCAGTAACATATGTTAGTTCAAAATAACCAAAATATTTGGGTTTGCATATATTTCTCCATAGGATTATAAGCATAACGATCCCGACACAAAAAAGCAGTAACGTCAACTGTATGAAGAAACGTTGACCAATTTTAACAATGTCACGTCGTCATAAGAAGGCAGGGTACTTCGTTCAATTTTCACACGCGCACTTCGTATTCTTTGAAAATTGTAGTGATTTGGCCGGCAAATGATGTTAAAGCACTTAGTAAACATAGCAAGCATAGTATCAAAATAAATGAATGATCTCAACGAAACACTAAGATACGTCACTTTTTTACAATTGCCACATGCTGATGTACAAAATTGAACCAATGGAACCATTTGTCATAAGTTGATAACTCAAACATAGTACTTATTTAAAGTAATCGATTGTTTTATTTTCAAAATTCATCTGTGGAAAACTAGAAAGAATGCCCTGACATGCATATGGAATACATTTGTCAGGTACCAGTACGAGTTACATAACCGTATCATTCAGTCAATTTCATCCGAAAGATATGATCATCTATTTTTGGCAGCAACACATTATTTCTCTCTATAATGCATATAATGGTATTATTGGCCTCCCATGCATCAAAAAAGTACTAAACATCACAGTAATCATCTATGAATTAATGATTTCAAAATTTAAAGGTCACCTTTCGGTAGATAATAATTAGAATACAAAAATACATATAACTGAAAAACACATCAAAATGCAGCACTGTTGCCTAAGCATCTTTGACCTTCACCCTTGAAGTGTGTGTATATGTTGTGAGGTGTATGTTTATACCATGCGGGATACAATGAGGAATATAAAAGGCTGGAACAAACAGCTGGTTCCCGTAATGGTTATCTCTTTACTATCATTTATAGGGACGGACGATGCAGGAAACCTTAATTGATATAGTGTCCAATGATAGTCTTCAGAAGGCTGTCTTATTACATTCTCCTAACTATTCGTTTCCTAGGGTAGGCTATCGGCGCGTCAACGAAGGGCTGATGTTATTGATATTGGTCTTATTCAGTCATTCAACAAAAGAGAAAAAATAACAATTTGTTTTTAATAACATTTAGAAAGTGGTTGGAAATGACTTCGGTGTACTGCAGTATATCAGGTAACCTTATATTTTTTCTCATTTTTTCAAGATCTTTCAGGAAACATAAATCAATTATACAGCTATCTATTTGAGTGGCATTATGCCCATTTTGTTTCGTTGTCAAGTTTAGTTGAACTTGATATTTATTTCAAAAGATTGACTATTTTGAAAAAAATTACCAATAGTTGATAATTAGAAATTTTAAGGATAAAATATAAAAACCTCCTAAAATATAAAAAGGCTGTCCCACTTTTTTAACAACTGATACATTTTGAAGGATATTTATAGAAAAAAATCCATGTGCCATGTAGGTTTCAAAAGATTGACTATTTTCAAAAAATACATATAGTTGATAATTAGAAATATTAAGGATAAAATATAAAAAACCTCTAAAATATAAAAAAGACTGTCCCACTTTCTTTATCAACAGATACATTTTGAAGGATATTTATAGAAAAAAATCCATGTGCCATGTAGATTATTGAATCTTCATTTTAAATGCAGAATATGAAACTTTGAAACAAATATTGCAATATGTTAACTATTTTGACATTTATTTATACTCCCCAATTAACATACAGAAAGAAATATATTAAAAAATCCAATATACCTTAAGGAGTTATAACAGCAAGTCACTTTATTTCGTTGTAATACTTTTAGCTATGATCTTCAATGATGACCGGTATAAACGATTTGATACTCTCAATTGTAAACGGAATAATTTGAAGATTATTCAATGATATCATTCAGATGAATATACAATATCTAAAGGGGCTTACATCTATTTATATGGTAGATTATTTTTGTGAAGCAATGCACCAATGACTAAATATGATGCATTTGATGAAATTTGATCAGTTTATAGATTTTCTTTACTAACTTCGAAATGCTGTGACCAAACTGAAAATTCTTTTTAATTTTATTTTATTATTACCATAACATTACTTCATTTGACAACTTACATATCTCTGTCTTAAGTTGTCAACAATAATGTCATTTTCTTCCAAAACATGTCTGTTTAAAAATTTATTCAGCATCTTCCAAAATGCTTTTGCAGCGAAAGTATTGCTAGATAGAAAGCTCATGCGCGGTAATTGAATGACTCTTTGAGTTGAATATTGAATAATGCTAATATCGGTTCCGCATTTTTTTAAAATTTTTAATTAATTTATACTATTTCATATTTAATTATTTTATTACTTTTCTCCAGTTTTCTTTGTTCTCAGACTTTGTAATTTTACTTTAATTATGCTGACACCAGCAGGCGTTAAGTGCCTTAAAATATGATAGTTTTCTTGACCTTAATAATCATTGTTACCAATACTTTTAGTGTTCAAGATTAAATGCCGCTTACACTGGTGCGAGGGGGTGCGAGAGACATAAAAAAGTCATAACTTTTTCAACTTCTATTTGTTTTTAATTGGTTTCAAAACCTTAATTCCTCTTTCCAGAAATTCCTTTTTTATCTCAATAGTTCAATAGGTAGAGCTATTGAGGCACAGACATAGTGGATAAGATCGTGACGTGAAACATGCCAGTATAGTATCTGTGACGGTCTGAATTAAGACAAAATTAATTCACGGCTGATTTCAGTAATGAGTTGAAATACTGCCAGGCCCAAGCCCCTCTTACACCGCCATGGAGTATATTATTTTTCCCAATATGTTTGTGAAATGCACGTATCTTCAAGTATTTCTCAGAAATTGCAAACTTGTACACAAATGTATATTAATTGGGATTAGATTATATAAAACAATGTTTCAGTTTTATGTTAGGCGGATATAATCGGAAAAATTCCCCTTTTAACACACATACAAATAAAGCAATGAATCTAAAGAAAACATACAAATACAATATATAATGTCAATTGACACAAGTTTTGTAAATGAAAACAATGAAAATTGGACAATTATGTTTCATATATAAACATGTATCAACTGTTTCGTAGCATGACTCATTGCAAACAAATCAATAATGGAATTTAGTTTTAGAATCATAGTATGCAGCCATTTATTTATACATGTAGATAATTGATGAAACAATGTTAACAACCCAAGAGACTTTAATCAAAATTGATATTCTTGTTTATTTTCAAGGACTATAATGGAGTTTGCATGAAATTGTCACTCATGTATTTAGAATAAAGCATGTGCGCATCTGGCTTTAGTTAACCTATGAAGATTTGAAAATGAGGCAAATTGCAAACTACTTCATACAGTCCTAAAAGGAAGATCACATAACTATAAATATTGAAATGCTACTAAAATGCTTCCTTTCAATGTATCAATAATTAAATGATTGTAATAAATGTAAGTGACACGTGGTGCACTAAAAAGTAATACATATACTCAGTTACATAAATGTTGTATAATACATTTTGTTAGACATGTTATCAGCGTATGAATATTTTAAAAGGAGAATATTCTTCCATCATTTCACTTCTTTATTAACTCCTCGGCGTTCTATATGCTGCCGTAATTTTGAATTTGGCTGTTATGAGGCGAATAACTGACGCATGAACGCTTCAAGTGTTTCTTAGCCAAGGAAATATCGCTGCTCCAGTCACAGATGAACTGTTAAATTTTCAAATGTACAAAACTATTTTCCGTACCAAACATCTGGTATTTTCTATTTACATATATCTAATTCAACATCATTTCAAATAACACTTTTCCGTCAATAATATATTTAAATAATATATATATATATATTGTAATATATTTTAACTATAAGGAGATGACAATATCCAGTATTTGACTTTTTTGGTTTAATTATGATAAAAAAGACCTTTTTACATATGCATGTTTGCTCCTGAACAAATGAATATGTTTTCCGCACACTGCTTCCCGACATTCAGTAAGTAAGAAATTTGTAAACAGATACAGGACAGATCATATCCATAAAGAAAAGTAATAATAGGTGATCTTATATCATATACATAATGCATTATGGTCCGTTCCTTTGGAATCAGATCGTTAAAAAATTATATGGTTGTCAGATATTCATCTGCAAATAATATGTTCATAAATTTATAATAAAGTCATCACAATTTTGTGTCTCAAACGATCAACAGAAAAAAGTTTGTTACACATTGTAGATTCAATGAGTTATCAAATTAAAATTTTAAAATTAAAACTTATGGTTTCGTCAAACACCTAAAAATACAGTGGTTATGTTGAAGATTCAGTATAAAACAAATTACTAAATTAAATATAAAATAAATATTTGATACTCAATCATTGAGTTAGAAATAATAAAAAAAATCAAAATCTAATATACGAGAATCTACCACCTGAGCATGTGGTTGAGCAGAA